CGTGTTTTAAAACAAAAATAATTAACTATCATATTTATCCATTGCTTTGATAAACTTATAGATATTATACTTTAGCATTACATAATGATATTACATCACATTATTGAATGTTATATTTTTCTAAATCAAATGCTATATACGGTATTTATATATTGTATATATACTGTATATATATATTCAGTAGATTAACTATTTCATAACCAATTAATAATTATTTAATTAATAGTAATTCTATTAAATTATTAATTATATTTTGTTTTATTAATTGATTTATAGGTATTTACAAATATGTAAGTTATGTAAGATATTCACTAAATGCGATTCATATGTTAGCTTATTAATAAAACATACATAATATTAAAGTTATTTATAAATAGTCATCTCTAGTTTTGTATTTATTCAATATTTAAAATTAATTATAATAATAACAATTAATTTATTTAACATTTAGATTTTTATTTAGTATAATTTTTTAATATAACATTTGTACATTTTAATAATTTAAATAACAATAAAATTAAGAGCATTTGATTATTAAATAATCAATTAAAATTAAATTAAAATTTTTTACATTTTATAACAAAATTAATATATTATCATAAATTACATAATATCACTCATTTTGATCATTTAGTGGCTTATAAAGCATTGAAACAGTTTTTCTAAAAACTTTATTATTATTTTTAATAATATCTTTTGTTATTTCTTTGATATGATTTTTAGCCTCTTTTGTAATCTGATACATACAACCAATTGGATGTGGAGGGGGTGCCCGATGACAGGCCATCACATAGAGACCGAGTAATCCCTGACCAGCTTTCAAAGCTATAGGTGCTGCTGCTATACCAGTGCTAAGWGCCTAAAGTTTWTAWTAATAATGATTATTATAAATTAATTATAWACATAAATTGTAATATATTCAATAAAATTAAYCATACCAATGGTAATGCAAGTGGCGATATTTCATCATATATCTAAAATATTTTTTWWAARTAAATAAAATTAATTAGTTTTATTTCCAAAAATTGACAAAATATTTAAATAACAAAATAGTGACAATTATGAAATAACATACCTGTCTATTAACATTTGATTTTAGCGGCAACAATGTATTCATCATAGGATTATAATAATCATCAATTGGATAGCAATTGATAAAAGTTGTACACAAATTATTAATTAAAATAACAATAATAACAAACTCAATGTTGATAACAAATTTGTACATTTTGTGGCAGTTATTGAAGATTATTAGTAAAAAATAACCAAAAAATATAATATAAAAATTAATAAAATATAAACTTTTAATATAAAATTTTGATTTCAATTTTACTGATGATTTTTCTACGACTAACGCTTTGTTTATATACATATGAAAATAACCCGATTATAACTAAAAATAAAAATATAAGTACATTAAACTTGAATTTACAAAAAATATGATTACATAACTGTATTTTCATTTGTCGGTTAGTATACTTTATTTAGATATTTGTTGTTATTGTTGTTGTATTACTTGTTAAACTACTTTATTCTTTAAATTTTTATGTATTTAAAAATATTAGACAATACTATTGCATCATATTATGCAATGCATTGTTATATTTAGTAAATTTATTTTTATTTATATTATGAATGGGATTTTCTGATATCTAGAGTTCATGTAATAATTGAATTAATAAATGTATTAATAATAAGAAAAATAATAAAAATAATAAATAAGCATATTAAACTTAAATATTAATATATTTGTGATATAAATATTTATGGGTAACATTATAATTTATTTTATAAAATTACATAATACTGTAATTATTTTAAAACTATTATTACGACTGTCGGTAAAATAATATCTAAATGTTTAATATTAATGGACAGTAATGACAATCAAAATTGGATCTGAGTTTAATTAATACTATCGGTAACTGCAATGCCGATCACCTATGCAACTGAAATAACCCAAAACATAATTGTTTAGAGTTATTATATGCAAACAATTTTAAATATTGTTTAATATGAATATAAAATAATTATATATTTAACGTACAGTAATATAATGTACTAAAACATCAAATAAATATATAAATTTTAGAATGACTTTTAAAGTAAGTAAATTTTATTTTACTAAATAATTAATTATACATTTATCATTTAATATATTATAATTATGAAAATAAATCAACAATATTATTTCTTTATGATATTATTAATAAAATAAATTATAAAAATTTACAAAATTTTGAAAATACTTATGATGTGTTTAATTAGAAATACCAAAATATATGTCTAACAATAATTTGATCAATAAATTGTTTTTTAACATATAATGCAATACAATACTAAAGCCTAGAAGTTCAATAAAATAATATATAGATATAATAGTATCAAAATTTAAAGACAACTGAACTATACTTGATTTTGAATAATAAAAACTATTATTAAAATTATTATTTCTAATATAATTTAGATTAGATTAATATTTATAGTAATTTCTATTTTGTATTTATGCAAATTTAACAATAAAAAAATGAATTAATTGATAACACTCAATTAATTCATTAGACATTTATGTTTTTATTTATTATAAAGAAAATTCAAATAACATTTTTACAATTTAAATAATAAAATTTAAAACATTTAAGTATTAAATAATTTATAAAAAAGCAAATAAAAATTATATACATATTATAAAAAATTACTAAATTATCACAGATATAACTGTCATATTTGATCATTTAGTGGCTTTACAAGCATTGAAACAGTTTTTCTAAAAACTTTATTATTATTTTTAATAATATCTTTTGTTATTTCTTTGATATGATTTTTAGCTCCTTTTGAAATCTGATACATACAACCAATTGGATGTGGAGGGGGTGCCCGATGACAGGCCATCACATACAGTCCGAGTAATCCCTGACCAGCTTTCAAAGCTAAAGGTGCTGCTGCTATACCAGTGCTTAGAGCCTAAAGTTTATTATAATAATTATTATTATAAATTAATAATAAACATAAATTGTAATATATTGAATATATTATTCAAATTAATCATACTAATGGTAATGCAAGTGGCGATATTTCATCATATATCTAAAAAAAATTTTAGAAATAAATAAAATTAATTAGTTTTATTTCCAAAAATTGACAAAATATTTAAATAACAAAATAGTGACAATTATGAAATAACATACCTGTCTATTAACAGTTGATTTTAGCGGCAACAATGTATTCATCATAGGATTATAATAATCATCAATTGGATAGCAATTGATAAAAGTTGTACACAAATTAGTAAATAAAATAACAATAATAACAAACTCAATGTTGATAACAAATTTGTACATTTTGTGGCAGTTATTGAAGATTATTAGTATATTAGTATAATACAATAAAAAAATAAACTTATATACAATTTTAAAAAGAAAGTATATATTTTAATTTGACTGATATTTTCTATGACTATCGTTATGTTTATATACATATGAAAATAACCCGATTTATTCTTAATACTAAAAATATCAGTACATTAAACTTGAATTTATAAAAAATGTGATTACATAACTGTATTTTCATTTGTCGGTTAGTATACTTTATTTAGCTATTTGTTGTTATTATTATTATTGTTGTTGTATTACTTGTTAAACTACTTTTGATGTGTTTAAAAAATGATATACAATAATATTGCATCATATTATGCAATACATTGTTATATTTTTTATAATGATTGAGATTTTCTGTTATACAATATTTAAAGTTTATTTAATAATTGTATCTACAAATTTATTAAAAATGAAAAAGTTGTTTATAAATAATAAAATAAGCATCTTAAACTAAAACATATTTGTAAAATCAATATTTATTGTTAACATTATTATTTATTTTATAAAATTTTGTTAAGTAAATATAAGTATTGTTAAGTAAACATAATAATACTGTTATTATTTTAAATCTATGAATTGTATAATTGTTTAAGAGTTATTAATATATATTTTAAAATTTTAAATTAATTAAAATTTTTACTTTTATACAATTTATAACTAAAGTAATATATTATCAAAAATATTTTTACTTATTTTGATCTTTTAGTGGCTTATTAAAACAGTTTTTAAACTTTATTATTATTTTTAATTATATCTCTTGTTTTTTCTTTAATATGCAAATAAATTTCAGATATTATTAATATTTATCATACAGTTATTTACTATAACATATATATACTGTATATACTAATAAATATAAAAATTTTATTAAGAATTTTCATATATAATAATTTTATTCTATATAATTATTGTTACATTATAATATTTTTACAATTATAAACAATATTTCAACTTTTATAATAAATAAAATAAAAATTATAAATATACAAATAAACAAAATATTAAAAATACTTATTAAGTGTTTATTTAAAAATACCAAAATTTAAATAATAATATTATTTATTATTTATAACTATTACTATATTTTAAAACAAAATAGATTATTAATAATATTATTAATTATATATTGTTATATTTGATGTATTATTACAATTATTTACAATTAAACTATAGATATTTTGAGTAATTTATATATTGTAGTTAAATGAATTGTTATCTTATGTGAAATGTTATCTTATTACTAAAATATAAATATTATAAATTTAATTGAATTCTGTAAGATAATTTTAAATTATACTTATTATTAATAATAATAATTAAGACAACTGAATAATATTTCAATTTAAATTATAAAAACAATTATTAAAATAATATTGATTAATATTAATATTTTATTATTAATAATTTAGTTTTTAGAAAATACTTTAATATTAATACAATAATAATCAATTTATTTATTTATTTAACATTTATGTGTTTATTTATATAATTTATTTATATAACATTTGTACATTTTTACAATATAAATAATAATAAAATTAAAAACATTGAGTAATAAATAATGTATTAAAATTTTAAAAATATACAATTTATAATAAAATTAATGTATTATCAAAAATATTTTCACTCATTTTGATCATTTAGTGGCTTATAAAGCATTGAAACAGTTTTTCTAAAAACTTTATTATTATTTTTAATAATATCTTTTGTTATTTCTTTGATATGATTTTTAGCCCCTTTTGAAATCTGATACATACAACCAATCGGATGTGGAGGGGGTGCCCGATGACAGGCCATCACATAGAGACCGAGTAATCCCTGACCAGCTTTCAAAGCTATAGGTGCTGCTGCTATACCAGTGCTTAGAGCCTATAGTTTATTAAAATAATTATTATTATAAATTAATCATTTACAAAAATAGTAATATATTCAATAAATAAGTATTATTAACAAATTAATAAAATTAACCATACCAATGGTAAGGCTAGTGGCGATATTTCATCATATATCTAAAATAATTTATTTAAAGTAAATAAAATTAATTAATTATATTTTTTATTATCATTTACATATTTTTCTAAATAGTAATAATAATAACATACCTGTCTATTAAAAGTTGATTTTAAAGGTACTAATGTATTCATCATAGGATTATAATAATCGTCAATTGGATAGCAATTGATAAAATTTGTACACAAATTATTAATTAAAATAACAATAATAACAAAATAAATGTTAACAAATTTGTACATTGTTTTATTGAAGATTATTAGTAAATAATACACAACAACAAAATTAATAAATATTGAAAATGTAATTTAGTTTTACCGGTAAAAATAAAGTTTTGATTTTAATTTTACTGATATTTTCTATGGCTATCGTTGTGTTTATATACATATGAAAATAACCCGATTTATTATGACTAAAAATAAAAATATCGGTACATTAAACTTGAATTTACAAAAAAATATGATTACATAACTGTATTTTCATTTGTCGTTAGTATACTTTATTTAGCTTTTTGTTGTTATTGTTATTATTGTTGTTGTATTACTTGTTAAACTACTTTATTTATTTTCTTGATGTATTATATTTATAAAATATAAGACAATACTATTACATCACATTATGAAATGCATAGTTAAATTTAGAAAATTATTTTTTTTAATTACTATGAATAGGATTTTCTTATGTACAATATTTTTAGTTCATTTAATAATTGTAAGTTACAATATGTAACCATAAATGTATTAATTGTAACAATAATGTTTTATATAAAATTAATAAATTATGCTTATTAAACTTATATTTGTGAAATAAATTTTATTTTTAATTCATAATAATAATGTAATAATAAATCTAAAACTCTATAATTGTATATAGTTATTATATGTAAATAAATTTTATGTAATTCACTTAAATAAACATTAAAAAATTATAATATTGTCTTTTATATAATTTGATTTTATATGTTATTATCAACACATTTACTAATTTATATTTATAAGTTATAATTATTTAATTAAATTAACAATATTATTTTTTAATGCTTTTCATTGACAAAATTTCAAAAATACATTTTATACTTAAATTAGAAAAAATTGTTATTTATAAAATAGTTTTACTCAATATTTATAATTTTGATAATAATTTTTTCAGTCTTAGTTATGACGACAGGTATAAAAAATATAATATTAATTGATAACAACTATTAGTTATGATTTTGAATATTGTCTGCAATCAATAATAAATACTTTAAAATAAATTATATGTTTTGTAATAAAATATAAAACAAAAGCAATTAATTATTAGAAATATTACACAGATGATATATCTAGTGAATTATCAATTATCTAGTATTTTAACAAAATTGTAATTTTTTATAATAAAAATTTAAATTATAATCAGAATAAATTAGATAGTTAATATAAAATGATTAACATGATATTATATACAGTAATATATATTATGTATAGTATATTTGTATATCATTAATCAAATTGATTAATCTATTATAAGAATTTTTAAAATTACTAAATTTAATTAAACCTATATCTTATGTTAATTTAATAGCATATTATACAATACATCTATAATATTTTGTATAAACCAGATTTACTATTAATATTATAATTTATTATTTATTTGAATTTATTTAATATAAATATAATATATATTTATAAATCAATTATTTGACTTATTATCGTTATATTATTTTTTTGTAGTTTTATTTGTTGAGCACTCATTTCATTATTTAATATAAATGATTAATTTTAATGTTTTAAAAAAATTATATTTTATTTATCTTTAAATATTATATTACATTTATACTTATAATATTACAAAATTAGTAAAATTTATTAAGAAATTATAATTGTATTTCTAAAACAAAATATATTAATTTCAAATTAATAAATTATAACTTATTATAGTGATTTTTTAAAATATTATATACTGTAAATACTAGTATAAAAAATTTGTAAAAAATAATTATTATTTTAAAAAACAAAATATATTTTACATCACTTAATTAAAATTCAAAGTTATTTTATTGATATATTTATTTTTAAAATATAATTTATTAATACAGAATAATTTTTTAACTGAAATTTGCAATAATTAATAAAATTAAGTTAAAAATATATGACATTATTATTAAATAACTTGATTTACAAGTCACTCAATGAAAATCTTTTTATGAATTGTTTTCTGTTGGCGTCTTTTTTCTCAATACTTTAACATTATTTTTAACATTACTTTTAACAATATCTTTAATATTATTAGCCATATGTCCTATTCTTGTATAATGATTTAGACAACCAAGAAAACTGTTAGACATATGACAGGCCATAGCATACAGAGCACCGGCATGTACTGGTATTGATACTATTGCTGATGGTATAGATGCCATAAACTTCTAAACTTATAAAATGATTATTTTAAAAAATGCAATTAATATCAAATAATTTCAACAACAAAAAACAATTAATTTACCAATGGTTTCATTAAAGTGTCACTCAATTGTTTAGATGATATATCGTCACTTATCTAAAAAATATTAATTAATTTTTTAAACTTTTTTATTTTAAAACATAATTTTATATAAAAAAAATTATAGATACATACATATTTATTTATATTTGAATCGGATGATAACAGTGAATTGACAATTGGTTTAGTCATATCATTAGTAGGATAACAATTAATGATATTTTGTGTCAAAATATTAATTAATAATATTATAATAAATTTATATTTTGTTAAGTTCAACATTGTGCTAACCTAACAATAATTTAATTAAAAATTTTAAATAAATAACAGCCAAAAAATATAATTTATATGTTATTTAGTGGTAAATTTACAATCTTAATAAATACTTATTTAAACATAACGTTACATAAACAGTTAATAATATTTTATAACATATATTATTTATAACTAACTAATATTTTGGTACTTCAAACTTGAACTTAATATTATGATTACATAAATGTATTTTTTGTTGTATTACTTGTTTAGACAACCTTTTGCAGTGTTCTCACGCTTAGTCATATCAATAATCACTTTTAAAATACTATTATATTATATTATGTAATGTTTTGATAGATGCATATAATTATGATAGTATTTTTTAGAAACATTTAAATATTAGTTTTAAATTATATCGATTTTTATAAATAAACGCAAAGTATTGATAAGTAAGTATAAAATTTCAATTGTCATTAGTTTCTAAAAAATATATTATTTTATTTTGTATCATTAATTATATAGACTTATTTTTTAAAATATATTCATTGAAAACATAATTACATGTATGTATAAAAATTAATAATATATTTAAATTAGATTAAATATTATAGAAAATATAAATTCTTAAATTGCATTTAAAAAATTTGATTTTCAATTAATTCTTATTTTGTGATCTTTTTGATGATTTGTTTTTTCCATTGATTTTCTTTTCTTTTTTTCAAAATTTTAATAATCCTTTTAGTAAATCTTTTGCATAATGATTAAGACAACCAAAAAAATTTGTAGACGTATGGCTATGACAGGCCATAGCATACAGGCCTACCGCATGAATAGGTAACGATACTATAGCCGACGGTATAGATGCTATAAACGCCTAAATTATTAGAAAATACATTATAACAGTAAAAATATTAAATAAATTTAAAAATCAAGTAATCCTACCAATGGTTTCATTATATTGTTAATCAATTGTTTTGATGAAATATTATCGTCAATTGTCTAATAAATAAATAAATATTTTATTATTTTTAAAACTTTTATTAATACTGGATTTATGATAATAACAAATCCTATATATATWTAWAYATTATACAATTTATTATGCTTTTGATGACTTAAAAACTGTTGATAAATAAATTGAAATTAATCATTTTTATTATTACTATAAAATATTTAAGTGTCAATATTTTTTTTTAATTATTTTTTTTTAATTTTTTGTATAGTAACAAAATTTTATATGTTTGATAGATACTGTATTATAATGACAGGTCATCACATAAATACAATTTATCAGTATATACAGTAAGTATATTATTGTATATAACTATTAAATTAACTAAAAAATATGAATTAGATACAAATATCAGATAAATAACTATCATATATATAATATTTAATAATATAATTAATTAATATTAAAATTTATCTAACAATTAATAATGGCAGTACTTTTTCAAATATCTATAATAATTTATAATTATAAAAATTTATTAAATACATACGTGTCTATTGATATCAGAATTTGATAATAACAATGAATTGTCAAATGGTTGTGAAAAATCTTTAGTAGGAAAACAACTTATTATATTTAATGTTAAAATATTTATAAAAATAATAATAAATTTATATGATGTAAATTTTAACATTATCATAGAAATAATAATTTAACTAATTTAACGAAAAATAAACCAAATAATGATCAATTACTATATTTATTATATAATATAATTTTTCTAATTATTATTACTATTATTTCAATCACATCATCCCATTAGCATTAAAATGATAAGAATAGCATAAATACATACAACTAACTAATATTTTCGTACATTAAACTTGAACTTAATATTTATGATTAAATAACTGTATATTTGTTGAATTACTTGTTAGACAACCCTTTTGGTGCTCTCATATATATACTGTATAATCATATCAATAGTAACTCCTAAAATGCTGTTACACTAAATTATGCAATGCTTTAATAGTATGCATAGTACCGGTATTATATTTATGATACTATTTATAAGATATTTAAACATTATTTAAAAATTATATTATTTTTAAAAATTATATTTAAATTTATTAACATATAGATAAATATTACAAAATAATTATTGTTTTATACTTTATATACAGACAGATGTTTACTTTGAAATTACTTTTGTATATTTAAATTTTAAATATGTTTTTATTTATTAATAATTTTGTATATGTTGATAAAATAATTTTATTTAAAAATTTTAAAAATAATTTATTTAACATATATCGTAAATAGATTATTATTATTTTTTATATAAATAGTTAATACTCTATCAAGTATTATGTCTAAAATTTAAAAAAATTAAAAATTAGAAAACATATTTACAAATTTTTATATTTAATTAATAACATAATTAATTTATAATATTAAAATAATGTATAATAATATATAATTTATATGATAAAATTGTTTGTTTACAATTTCTATTTAAATTAAAACATTATTATCATTAGTGGCACAGTTATCATATTTACAATTGTTTGTATCACTGTTTTCTATATTAAAGGGTGGGACCCACCCGCCAAACTCTTTTTCCAATAGTTCGGCTACTCCTATAGTCAAGTGGTCATTATATGGTGCGGCCACCACTTGGCAACCCATTGGAAGACCATCTTTGGTCAGTCCTAATGGCACCTGTGTTACAGGATTACCAGTTATGTTAAATATCATAGTATAGCCAATATTATTTGTGTTCAATAGTGTCACATTATGTTTGGGTGCCGTAAATGGTAGGGTTGGGTATATGAGCACACCATTGTCACCTATAATAATAATAATATATAAAAAATAGTTAATATGAAAACTTATTATTTTTATCAATCAAACAGACCTAATAATTGGTTTAACTCTAACTTCAGTTCCTCTCCTTTGGTGACATATTTCTGAAACTTTTCCGTATGTCGTCTTTGATTAGGATTATATAGATTATAGAGAAGTACATTAATAGTAGTACTGAGCCGAAACTGTGACCGTCCGATCATACATTTGGCTAACTCTGACCAACCGTGTACTTCGCCGCATCTTTCGGTAAGTTCTGAGCCGAGATACGGGGCCTCGACGTTGGCCAACGAACAGCACCAAATCCATACCGAGTCCTTCATATTGCGCAACACTTTATGTTCGGCTGGTCTACCGGTTTGGGTATCGAGAAATTGTGTCACTCGTTGTATGCATTGTTTAATATCTTCGGATACATTTGTTTTGAATGGATCGCCGTCTTCAAGCATATAATATATTTGTAATTTTTTAACATCCAGTTTCTGATCCAATTTCAAATGTTTCGCTGCATTGCCGGCACAGGCCGTCAACATTGGCTTCAAATCACTGGCATATCGACACATGGGTCCGATTTGTAGATACTTTTCCCGGTCCGGATGTCCCACATCTGGAAAGGTTTCTGTTATGGGAACGATATCTGGAGTTGGCTTATGACCAAAAATACCGCAAAAATATGACGGTATACGTATTGAACCACCCAAATCGGTGCCAACACCAACTACACTTCCAGCAGCAGATATGAGTGCGCCCTCACCTCCCGAACTGCCACCCGATATACGAGAGTTGTCATAAGGATTATTGGTTCGACCGTATATTTTGTTGTTAGAGTCCCACCACAACAGAAACTCCGGTACATTTGTCACACCTATTGGTATAGCACCGGCATCTCTGAGATTTTGAACAACTCTAGCGTCCCGTTTAGCTTTTGTCCCTTTTCTTGAGTAAAGACCAGCAGTAAAAGTCATGTCCTTAACAGACACACACTCCTTAATGGAGACGGGAATGCCTAGTAATGGTTTTTGAAGTATAGATTGGCCATTAATGGGCACCTGACCGGCCAATTCAAGTGCAACCAATCTGTCCACTTCACGAGCCTCGGCAATGGCCGCATCAAAACGATTGCCAATCAATGCATTGATTAACGGATTGACACTTTGAATGCGTTCAATGTATGCTTTGACTAAATCCTCGCTTTTAAGCTTTTGTTATCAAATGAAAAATAAATAACAAATATTTATTATTTTAATGTTTACAAAACATATCATTCAAATAATTTTATTATGACATTATTAACATTTGATATTATTTGTACAATTTAATAAATAAATTTATTTCCAATGAATTCATTGTTATAATTGCTGCACAAATAAACAAATGACTTATATTTAATTGTAATACTCATATAATGATACAAAAATATGTGAAAACTAAAATACTTGTCTAACAACTGTTTTGCAATTAAAAAACATTATTTAAAAAGGAAATAAATATAAACATATAATTAAAAAAAAATAATAATACAGTGTATTTTTAATTTGCAAATTATTAAATTATCATAAAATGCAATGTACAGGTATTTTGATAAAATGTAATGCTTTTTTTGGTAATAAATTTAATATATAATACAAAAAATAACTATTAAATATCTTACTAAATAATATCTCATCGCTATATAAATATATATCTTTTACAAATATATAATTTAAATAAAAGTGTCATAACAAAATATATACACATATACATACACACAAACACACATACCTTTCCATTTTTTATACGTTTGCTTAATTCAGATGCCGGCTCAAGTAGTAGACAATTGGAAAGTGGAGGCAAATAGTTTTTATGAGACAAATATATACTACCGACACAAGCGGTCAATATGTCGGCACATAAACGGACAGTTCTTAAAAAATAATACTCCAATAATTTCATAGACATCTTAATTGTTTACTATAATAAAAATAAGTTAGAGTTTAATAGAATCTGTAAATATAATAATAATTATTAAACAAAACAATAGTAAATAATATTAATAATATACTATATTATGTATTATATTACAAAAGTACTACAAAAAGTAAAATAATAATATTGGATAATATTTATCTTATAAATTATATAAGATGCTGTTATACAGATATTGTATACATTAAATATTGAAAATAAATATAATTAGTTTGCTATTTAAAGTTAAACAATTTACCATTTATTGTATGAGTACTTTATATACTGTATATACAGTATTATTAACTTTTCCTTCTATAGTTTTACTCTAAGTGAGATGATCAGGGAAAATTATATTTTATTTTTATCACACACACACACACACACATACAATGTACTCACAATTTTTATAACAAAAAATATCATTAAAAAATTACTAACAAATAAATAAAGTTTTAATAGACATTATTTAATAATTATTTCCCCCACACGTCATATAAATTTATATTCAATAATATAAATAAATTTTGTTGTTTTGATAATATCGTCGGCGCACATGACATAAATAATATGACTAACACTTTAAATAATAGTTTTTATTTGACTTTAATATACTCTAAAATGATTGACATTAATAGACATTGACAATACTGTATATATATATATATATATATATATATATATATATATATTATACAGTATATACACAATTCAAGGTTTCACACTATCAGGTCCGTGGTTATTAAATTAGATATTTGTTTAAAAAATAATGGTTTTATAATAGAAATATTTTTTTAATATTTAAACGATAATAGACTGCATAGCAATAGTAATAAAAATGCCGTAAAACATACAGAAATCCTGTATAACAGATGAAAGACTATTGAACTTATATTATGAGACATTTTTTTATTGCAGGTAAACATTGTTGATATTTTTTAAATTAGCAAATATTTGCCAAAATGTTTGGCATTACTTTTACTTTCAAAATAACTATTTATTTTAAAACTAATAGTGCAATAATAAGCACAAACACAAACAGATACTTTTTTGAATAATAATTTTTCCTCAATTATTAAGTATAAAATATAATAATTTAAAAAACTCAAAATATTATAATATCTTACAAACTATACATAAGTTAATTGTGTTTAGTATTTCCATATCATTAACGATAGACTAACAGATAAAATCAGGAAAAACAAGTTATAAAACTTAAAGTATCCATCAAATGTATAATAAGTATTAGTATTACTTTTAATTTTTTTATTCAAAAATTATTAAAGTTTAAGTAGTTCATATAAAATGTCATATAATTTTTATTTTTATTAACTAGTTTATAATATTAATATAAATTAGAGTTCTATATAATAACTAGATTACAATTATTTAAATTTATTTTTTAGATAAAGATAATTAAATATTATATATTATAGTTTAATATTATGTAAAAAGACTTTTAATCTTACCTTATAATCAATATCTAATATATACAGTAATGCTAAAACTTATAGTTTACTTATTAATAAAAGAATTAATATATTTGTATTATGTTTTATTATTGTTTAAATATTTTATTAGATGATATTGTTTATATTAAAAAGTAATTATTAAATCTTTATAAAATTACTTAGACTTATAGTTAAATTATATTAAATTTTGATTATAAAATAATAGTTATTATGATTTTTAAAAATTATAATGACAACTGAAAAAAGTTATAATGACTATTGAAAAAATTGATTATAAAAATATATTTCATAATATTTAATAGATAGAAAAATACTATTGTTAGTTATTTATATTATTAAAATTAAATATAATACTATATTTTAATAATTTACTAATTAATAAAAATATATAAAACCTTATATAGATTTTTGAAAAAGTATTGTTGATTTTAACCATAATTGTTGAACACTTTGCGATTTTCGTTGTATAAAATGATGAATAGTTTGCACATAATATTCACAATACAATAGAAAAACTTCACATAAGAGTTGTCCAAAAAATATAATATCATCACAAAGTGTGTTATCATCCAATAAATTACAATAATAGACACTCATATTAATTAATTGTAACTTATATTTTTTAAATAAAAAACTATTACGCTTTAAGATTTCTTTTTATCTGAAAATATAAAAATTTATGTCATTTTATCTAAATCATTACTAATGTTTTTATGATATAACTAATTTTTGTTGAATAGTATAACAATATTATGTACAAAAAGAGAGTAAAAGGTTTATGAGTAAACTGTTTTAGTTTTTTCAGTCAAAATAACACTTAGCCTTCAATTTTTAAAGGATATCCGGACATTATATTTATATTTAATATTATATTTTAACCTTTAAATGTAAACAAAACTATATATTAAGTTTTTTTATAGTTTTAGACAATATAATTGATATGAAATAACTTTCAATTTTAATATTAAATTTACATTATACTCTATATAATTAGTCAATAGAATTGAATTTTATGTAAAAATTTTTAATTAATAAGACATTTAAATATTATATATAATACATTATTATGACATAATCTTTCATATTATATTTGATACCAATTTTCTCATATCTCTCGACAAAAAAATCTGACTTTACTTATATGGCTATTAAGGAAATTGTCAGATCTGATCCTCAGTTGACCACAACTGTTGATAAAGTGTTGACTCACACCACAAAACAATTGTCGAAAAATTTACCGCTAGTTTTCTAATAGAAACTTATGACCAACAAAATAAGCAAAACTTAAATTTTATTTTTAAAAATTATTTTAGTTATAAAATTTAAAATTAAGTAATTAGTTTTTATATCTAAAATATTAAAAATAATAACAAATTTTGTTTAAGTTTATTATAAAACTAAACAATGTATTGAAGATTATTTTCATTTTTAGTAACCACATTTGCAAATAATATGGTTATGATTTATAAATTAATTATTTTATTAAAACATTTTATAATATAAAAATAATCAAAATTATATGACAATAATTTACTTTGGCATGAATTATGAAAATATCAATAAATACTTCATATAAATAAAAATATATATATATATATATCAAAAATTATATTATAAATTAGATTAGAAAACATTATTAATAAAATTAATAATAAATATTAAAGTCTTAAATCAATCATTTATGCGCCACTTCTTGATAAATATCAAACTCAGCACATGTCAGGTCCCTGGAGTTACTGCCCTGAAGTCGCCACGTTGTGTACCGGAAAACCTGGTCATCATTGGGTATATACAGCAATAGTATATAAATAATTTGTTTCATTTAATTCAATTAAATGGTTTCATTAATTAACTTACATTGAATCTGCTGGCGTACGGCACAGTTTGGATTAATACAAATCGATAGGTTTTACCCTTTTCCAGTGGACAGTCGAGTTTATTTTTATTGTAACCCATATTACAGGCATTTTCATCGATACCAAGATAGGGCACCTCTACATCAAACATACCACCCGTTCTCAACGATCCGTAAAGTTTGACATTATCGGTGTTCTGGTTGGCCACAAAGTCTACGGTAATATTGACCGATTCTCCGGCCCGAAACTTACACGGRCTTCGGGTACAGGGCTCAATGCGCAATGATTTGATTTCATGTTTGCCTATATAATCAATATATTAAATTAATAGTATTTAAATTTAAATTATATCACAATATTTTTACCGCAGTCTCTAAATGGCCACTCTATCGTTAATACATAACATATTAAACAATAAAATATTATCAATGAAAACACTACATTAATCGACATTTTAATGTTTATTAAAAATTTATTTTTAGTAAAAAATCTGTTGAATTAGTATTTTTTAGAAAACTTGTGTAAAACCAAATTTTTTAATTATGTGTTAAAATTGTTAATAATGGCTAAAACTTTGATATCCATAAAATTATAGTAATTATAAAAATAGTATAAAACTTTCACTTTTGTCGCAATCAATGTTGTATTTATAGTTGAACTTAAATATTTCATATCTAAACTGTTACATAATTATTATTATGTAATTATTTAGTATTATTTATTTATTTCAATATGATGGTACTTCCGATGATCTATAATCCAATTTTTACTTTTTTTCAATTGGCACACTATTGGAAAATTATTTTCAATTATAACTTTTACTATTTTTTTACCTTCAAAATAGATAAAAATAGATCAGTTTCATAATAACAAATATACGTTAAATTTTATTTACACAGATTTAACCTCATGAACTGAACTAATTAAGTAAAATAGTGGTTAATAAAAGTATGTAATTTTTTCACTTATTTAAAAAAATGTAATAAACAGATATAACAAATAATTTTATTTACTGAAATTACAATTATATTATTTTTGACTGGATAACTTTCAATATATAATTTTAAAAACTTTATAATAAACAAACAATATAAAAATTATTATAGTCAAATTATTATTATTTTTTAATTAAAACAATAATTTAGTCTGAAAATAAATTAATTTATATAAAATTTTATGTTTAACTTAACACTTCATATTAATTATATAAGTTTTGGTAATTAGATTAAATTCAAAATGATATAATAAAAAATTAAAAATCTCGATATAGAGTATAAATACAATTAAAGCTTTGACAACATATAATGCTTATTGTAAACAAAAAAAATAATTGAATAAATTAATCAAAATATAACATAAAGTCAATTGTCATAATAATTCAAAAGCATTTGGAGTAATGGCATTATATAAGTAGTCATTAATTGATTTTATCAATAATTTTATTTTGTTTGAAAGTAATGGTTCAACAAGTGATCTGACAGGGACTGACCCAACCACCAAACGCCCGTTCGAGCTCTTCAGCAGCAGCTATGGTCAGCCTATCGTTAAGTGGAGACGATATAAGTTGAACACCAATGGGTAGACCATTACGAGTGAGACCCATCGGCACCGATGTAATGGCAACGTTCAATGTGTTAAATAGTTGAGTATATGCAACGTTCCACACCTTAAGCAGTGTTGCGTTATGTTTGACGGCTTTCCCATAAAAAATTAATAGACAATCAATTAATGTTAATTTTATTTATTATTATTTTTTTTAAATATATTAAAACAACAATACCTTCTTGAGGATGTGCAGGAAATACTAATATACCATTATTACCTATAGAATCAAAAAAAATAAAATAAAATAATAGTACCGTATATTATATATAAATTATAGTGAAAATAATAAATTTCTAGTAAATCATATCTAATGTATCAGTGATTCAAATAGTTTACCTAAGAGTTTGTGCAAATCATGTGTTAAATTGTTTTTCATTTCTTCAAATCTTTTCTCATCCAATGAATTAGCTATCAGTTCCGTCAGACACAGTATGAGTGCACAAAAAGTATGGTTTGAAACACCTATTAAGCTCTTCAATAGCTCTTTGAATGGATTAATCTCTCCGTTATGATTAGCCAAATGTTGTGCCGTTGTGTACGTCGTCTTATCGCTCATAGCGCACAACCATATCTCGAGACCGTATTTAAAGTCTTTGAAGTAAACCTTACGAGAAAGTGATCCCTGTTTAGTGAAATGACCGATCACTTTATGCATGGCATCGGATATCTCCGGTTGTATTGGAGTATGAAATGGGTTGTCGTCGGACTCCATGTAATAAAAGCGAATGTTTTTGAAATCGACCGGTTTGTCCAATTCAAGCTTCGCTGCCGACGGACCGGCCATCACACGCAACATTGGCTTCAGATCGCAAGCGTATCGACACATCTAATACAGAAATGACAACAAATTAATGTTACAATCATTTGTCAAACTAATTATCGATAATAAAAACAACTCACGGGTCCGATAGAGAGCAGTGATCGGCGTTTTTGCGACGGCGGCGGATATACCTGATCGGGATCTAAGACTAGCGGTGTTGTCTTGTGGCCGAATATACCACAGAAAAAACAAGGCATACGAATGGAGCCACCGATGTCAGCGCCAACCTATCAGTAAAATAAATCAAAATCTTAATAATACTGTAAAAACATCCAATTTATTACTATTGATATGATACTAACCCCAAACACTGAACCACACGATGCTATAAGAGCAGCCTCACCACCGGAACTGCCTCCCGATATCCTTGACTTGTCATAAGGATTATTGGTTCGACCGTACAATTTATTATACGAGTCCCACCACATGCCCAGTTCGGGCACATTAGTCATGGCTATGAATATTGCTCCAGACTTTCGCAATAACGATATGATTTCATTGTCTTTTTCAGCGATAATACCTTTTCTTGTGTAGAGACCAGCTGTCAAATACATGCCCTTCACGTACATCGTGTCTTTGGCAGTAAAAGGGACGCCAATAAATGGCAACGAAAGAACCGATTCATTATCATCGCGACTCTCGTTATTACTAATGGCATGTTTGATACGACTGTCCACTTGTTTGGCTTCATCGATGGCATTGTCGAAATCATTTTTAATGATAGCATTGATATGTGGTTGTACTTCACGGCACCGGTCGATGAATGCACGCACCACTTCTTCGCTTCTCAACTATATAGGTGTCGATATTTATGATAAAATATATTTATATATTAATATATTATAATATATTTCAGATAACAATCAATACTTTACTAATATATGTAAAAACTAATTATATTTTTAGTAGTACAGCAATTGGGCGGAACATATTATTGTATTATTATTTTGATTATTAATTCATATCAACTATAATATGTGCAATATTTCTGATAATCTATTAATAATCTATTATTTCTTAGTAAAAAACTTAGTACAATGTAATACAATGTAATCTATTTTTAAGATTTATAAACAAACTAAGAAAAAAATGCCAATAAAGATAATAAAGATTAACCATTAGTTAAAATATACACCATTTGCTGATTAAATATATTTGAAAATTATGAAACATTAAAATAAAACTAATTGTAAATATACTAAAATAAACAAAATTATATAATTTTTAACAAATATTTGTAGTTTAAAGGTTAATACAATATTTTTAATGATAATCATAGTTTATAAATCATTAATACTGTAGTTACTGATAACAATGATCAAGTATTATCAATATATATATATATATACTGTATATACATTATTGAAAATTACTAAAAAATTACTATTTAACTCATTAATCATATAAGTCTAAAGTATTACAATATGATAATGTTTTTACTAGAATTTTTAATATTTAACTAATCAATTTGTCAAATAATACAATAATTATTATTAGCTAATTCAAAAAATATTGAACAGTAATACAGGGTTAGGCATATAAGGCGCAAAAATATAAAAATTCATTATAAAAAAACTACATGAATTAAAAATCTGAAATAAATTTTATAATGTGAAAAAAAGACTAAAGTTTTGGTAAAAAATAATTTTAAAAATTAATAAAATAATATAAAATACAAAGTGATATTTTTAAAGATATGCATATTTTCATCTATATATTAAATAATGAAAATATCAAATTTTCAATATTTTTTCCATAAAATCTTAATTTTTCAGGCCTAATTTAATAATATAAATTTTTAAAATTTAAAAAAATTCATTAAATTACTTTAAACTTAAATTTTACATTATTCATGGTTTTATATTTTTTTAGTTTCATAAAAATCTAATTTTTATTAATTTTATTAAAAATCACTTTTACTAAACATATGACATACAATATAATTTAAATAGTTTATTTTTAAAATTTTAAAACACAAATTAAAAAATTGTGTTATTTGTGAAAATGGTTTTTTTATTATTTAAATTTATTTTATCTTTACATTATTTTTTTAATAATTATTATTTAAAATATTATTTAGAATACTAAAAAGAATGTTTTTTGAAATTTTCATTTAATTTGCTAGTCAAATATTTGATTTAAACTAATATTTATTTTAAATTTAATTCCTATTTTCTATTACTTTAAAATATTTTAAATTAGTCCAAAGTTTTAATTTATCTTCTATTAATTGTAATGAATAATATTCAATCGAAAATTAAATATTTATAATCGTAAAAATAAAAATAGAGCAGTTTTTAAAATTTTTATAATTTTTTATCAATTATAAATTTTTATATTTTTTAAAAAAATTATAATTAATTAAAATTAACTTAATTAGTAAAATTTGACTTGTGTTTGCTGTAATTCAACACAAACTTAAGTTGATTTTTGTGAAAGATTTACATGATAATCTTAGTTTTACTAATATTGTAGTCAGTTTTTCCACAGACGGTATATTAAAATAAAAACACTATCATAAAAATTTTAAATTATTTTTATAAAAATATATATATAATTGATAAAAATAAATATGAAAATGACAGAGATATAGCGTTATTCTATTTTGCGGCATATATGCCTAACTCTGTATAACTTATATTATTGAAATTATAAACTCAATTAATTACATCTACTGTAACGTAGAGTACAAATGTAATGCTTATCGTATATAAATCATTAAACTTATAAAACAATAGCAAACAGTTGTTTTTAAATCATTTGTTGAAAATGTATTTTTGAAAACTATATATTTTTACATGTATGACAACATTGTGTGTGTGGAAACCAATTAATACAATAACTTTCATACAAAACTTGAAAGTATAGTTATATAAATTTACTGTTTATATTATATAAATGATCCAATATTTAGATATTTTTAGATAAAATAAACAAATGCTTACAAAATTTTGCGATAGATATCATATGCGATGGATAGACACATATGAAAACATACATTAAGTGATTTAAAAGCTATTTTAGAAACCATTAAATTTTTAAACATTAGATGATAAATATATAAATGTCATATTTATAAATTTATTTTGTTATAAGTTATGCAAAATCTAATAAATATAACATAAAATATAATTATTTTTTGAAAATTTTAAATTTAGCATAAGATTTACATAAATAATTAAAAAAAATTCACTAATAAAAATTTGACATTATATATATATATAATTCACTAATTTAATTCAATTTAATTTATTTGTGATAAAAATAAATATTAATCAAATTATAAAACACATAATTTGCATATCCGGGAGTAAATAATTTTAATATATGATATMTTAATACTAAATTATTAACTAATTCAACATTTTATTAAAATATTAATTTAAWCAAYTTTTATAAAAAATTATCCTGGATACAATTTTGTTTATCATTAAYACACACACACAYACACACACACACACACACACACACATACACACACACACATACACACACACACACACACATACACACACACACACACACACACACACACACACACACACACACACACACACACACACACACATACACACACACATACACACACACAATCAACATTATTATTAAACTGTATAAATAAATAAATTAATAATAATATATACAAATGATCGTTGATTATTGAATTATCTCATAATAATAATAATAATATTTATAATATAAAAGTCTAATACCCTTCCGGTTTTGATATCATTGGCCAAATCGGTGGCACTCTTAAGGACAACTCTGTTGTCAATTGGCGGCAAATATCGCAGTTTTGTCGGATGCCAGACACCGATGATGGCCACAATAGTGTCCAAAATTATCCGCAATAGTCGGGCCACAAATCGTTTACCGCTTTTGATTGACATTTCGCTGATTTCACGTAAAAAATTGTGCGAAACTTTTGTCATACTTTTCAATCCAAAAATAAATAAATAAAATAATACAATAATAATAACTATTATTATATTTAAAACTAATGTTTTATAAACAAAACTTAAAATCTTTTATTTTTGTCGGTTTGCTATTTAATTATAAACTTCACAAATATAAGTATAATTTTTTTTATTAATTAATAACAAAAATATTAACAAAACATTTTTTCTTTGGTTAAAATAATCAATACTTTGAGTGTCTCTTAACTGTAGAAAAATATTCAACAAAAAAACTAATTCAAAATATAGAGGAAATTATTTACTTTTCACCCAAAATACAAACAATTTTTTGTTTTACTTATGACTAAAGCTTTATAATAATTATTAAGTTATAATAATTAACACAATTATATGTATCACTGGTTTTCATATCAAACAACTACAGTGTAAACTGCAACTCGTAATGCAATGCAATATAATTATTGGGAAAAAATGGATTTTTTCCTTAAAATATATGGTTTGCTATATATCTGTATATATGATATATATTATATAATTTACAGTATTTTATATTATAAACAAATATAATATGCTTTTTTGGATGACAACACACACACGATATGAAACACACACAACAACACACAAAACACCTATTATAACGATTCAATCAATTTATTACTTAATATATTACTTATTATTTCAAACAATATTACATTACTAATAATAATACTAATACTATAATATACTACATATTCTAAGCACTGTAATAGTTGTTAGTGTATGTCATTTAACAGTAAACACATCTCACAGTTATTAAAATAATATTAAAAATATTAATAATATTAATAATATTAATATCATATATTAATATGTATTTACACGATATGTTTAGTTTCCCTTTCACTCTCTGTGTGTGTGTTTTGTGGTGTTATGTTTTGCTCATATGTTTTATGCATTCATCGCAATAATAGTGTATGTGTTGTAAACATTTTGATGTCATTTATTATGTTTGTGCCTATAGTTTATAACACCAGATGATAGCATCGATACTATAATGTATGTATGTATGTAACACAGTGTGTGTGTGAGAGAGAGAGAGAGAAAACAAATTTAAGGAATTGAAAGTATTTTTTAAAAACATTTTAGCCTAGATTTAGGCGAAATTAAATATTTGTTTTTGTTTTGTTATTTTTTTGTTAGTTAAACTTTTTTTCCCATCAATTCTTTTGGTATTTGATTTTTAAAATGAAAAATATTTTATTGTAATGTAATTTTTATTATATACTAAGTTTTTAAATAATTTTAGTGATTAAAATTAGTTTTGTTTTGACAATTTTACTGATAAGCTAATAAAATTGTAGACTTATTGTATTAATTTACCTGTACTATACAAAAACATGTAATGTTTGTATAAAAGTGTTATTTAAATAATTTTCATCAATATTATATTGAATGCATAAATCATATTAATAATTAAATCGTTTAAAATATTTTTTAAAGATTTTATTTTATACACTATATAAAAACCTTGATTTTTTATTTAAAATAATTAATTACACACATTATTTTTATTTTAACGTTTTTTATATTTATCATATTTAAAATTAAAATTAATTGAATATTTATCTTTAAACTTTTTTTTGACTTGACATTAAAAATTGATTCATCAATTAAATAAAAACACTTTAATTTAAATATATATTCTTTAAAAACAATAGATTTAAAACTTTTGCATATACTGTACATTAAATTACGTTAATTATATAATTGTTATAAATATAATAAAATAATTTTATTAATATATAGTGAATATAAATAAAATTACTTTATGATAGTGTGTTTTRCGAGACAATTAAATTACTGTTTTATATTTAATTACTTATTTATATTACTGTATAATATGATAATACAGTATAACTTATTATAGTCTATAGTCTGTACTATAGTAGACTCTATAGTATATCAGCTACAGTGTATCTTATAAATTATAATCGATAAGTACTGTATTTTTTGACTAATGTTTTTCAAGGAAAATTATTTCAAAAATTAAGTACAAAAAATGTATAGATATAGTTAACGATTAATATTTATGATATTAATAATATGACATGATAAATTTATATAATTGAATACAAATTGACCAAGTGCTATTGGACTGTAGGTTAACTTACTATTACATATATAATATAGTAGTAATACTATGACTTTCATGTACATTGATTACACAATTGTTTGTACCTAAACGGCAATTAAAAAATAGGTAATAAAAATTATAATTATTCAATAATATTCAAGTAATATTTAATATTGATTTGATTAATAGTTGGAATATTCCTATTGATACAGTGATAGTAAAATTGCAATATAAAATGATTACAGCTGTTTACACATAATTTTGTTTTAGATTACTAGCCATAAGTATTTTGTTAAATATTTATCAATTATAAATTATTAGKATTTTTGTTAGAAATTATAATATAGAGATAACACTTATTATTATATTTTAATTGATATAATAATTGCAAAATTAAGCTATTTATTATTTAAATTATTTATACTAATATTGATAAACTAATTGACTATTTTTATTACTGAAAAAAATGTTTTTGAATCTACTGATAATAACAGCAAGCTTTTTGGCCAGAAGTATGACAGATGATAGTAATGTAGACATAACTAAAGGTCCGCCCGATTATGACAAGCCATGGGTKGACGGCTGGGGATTCAACGTTAGTGATCCGACTCTATGGAAGCAACTGCACGACCAAATAGTTAACACAACCCTTCAACACAAGGATGACATAAAAGTAGTGTTTTTAGGCGACTCTAAGATTGCAAGATATATGTCTGAGGGAAAGGCCGTTTGGGACGAGTATTTCCGCAAAGATGGCTATTATAACTATGGTATACGTGGAGACAGTACTCGACAAATATTGTGGCGAATGAGTCACCAGGAGTTTGAAGGATTGACACCTAAAGTACTAGTCTTTATGATCGGTGGCAATAACTTTAAAAATAATTATAACAAAGGTTTCCGAAAATAGTTTCCCAAATAGTTTCCCTTTTTTAGTTAGTTTACTGAAAAAAATATTATTTGAAATATTTATAACTATTTTTTAGGAACCGACGAAGAGATAATCAAAGCTATGGTTATCATAATAGATAAACTCAAGGAAATGCTACCGCAAACAGAGATAGTAATTGTGGGACAATTGCCTCGTAAAGGTAGTACAGATAAGAGGGCCCGTAATATACACCAACAGCTGAAAGATGATTACCAGAAGAAAACAGTAACAAAAGTGCACTTTTTAGACATCTTTGATGAATATCTCAAAAGTAATGGCAAACAAAACAAACAGCTTTTCATTGATGATGGCATTCATCTCAATGAAGATGGATATCGCATATTAGCCAAACATATGACTACTATAATCGATAAATTGTTGAAATGATAATAATAATGTATTTTGAAATAGTTATTGTATCATATTATATGATTCACAAGTATATTAAAAATTAATAAAATTATATTTTTAATAAAGTATTTAATACATATATAATATACATAAAATTATTTAATACCTATTTTTTAAAAGCAAAGGATTATCTAAATAATTCATTTATATTTACAATTAGTCTTTAAAAATAAAATATTTATTCAGAATATATATAGTGTAATATCATTATAATTTAAATAAATGTCAGTCAAAACAATTCATTTTCTGTTAATTTATTTAAATACAAATTCATTAATATTTTTTTATTACTATTTAATAAAACAAAACATGCTTTGGTTTGAAGTATTAATCTTTGTATTTCTTATTAATCTATTTTAAAAAGTTATAGCAATACGCGCGACAATTATTTTGATTTTTAAGATTAACGATTATTATGTTTTTATATTTTTCAAATTATTAAATATACTGTAATATAGATATGTGTTATTAAATAATTTGATTTATGATTTTGAGACAACAAATATGAGTAATAAAACTATTAGCAATGAAACTGATGTGAAAACAACTACACCACCATTAATAGCAAAACATAGTGATTATAGTGAAGACGATCGACCATATAGTGAGCAATCTATACGCCAAAGACCACTGTCATCGTTGAACGTTATGATCAAAAACAAAGGCTATCAGTTGAAAGAATTGATGGGAAGAGGACATTATTCACTGGTCTACCGGTGCTTATGGGATCGGTCACCTAAAATGGACATTGCCTGCAAGTGTATTGATTTGGATACTGTTGATAAAGAGTGGAAAAGCAAATGTTTGAAACATGAATTGATTGTTATAAGAAAACTAAAGCACAGACATATTGTCCGAATGTATGACATACTGGAAACACCTAATATTGTATTTATATTCATGCAATGGGGTGTCAACGGTAGTATAATGTCACTGATGGCTAATCAGAAAACAGCTTTTAAGGAAAATCAGGCAAAACAATGGTTTCAGGAGCTGACCAATGGTTTGTCTTATATGCACCGCAAGAATATAGCGCACAGGGATCTCAAACTCGACAACTTTTTGTTGGACGATAATTATATGGCATTGTTATCTGATTTTGGTTTCTCCACAACCGCACCAATTGGTCAAAGTCTTATGCGTCAAACACATTGCGGTTCACCGATATATATGGCACCAGAAGTGTTGACGGTCAACAAAACTGGCAAATATGACGCCAAGATAGCCGACCTGTACTCTATGGGTGTGTGTCTCTATGAAATGATCACATTTGACAAACCATTTACTGATGATATATCCATTGAGAATCTCATTAAAGAGAAAATCAAACGTAACTATCAATACAATGTTCAGATAAACGACAAGTTGAGTACAGATGTTAAAGATATTATATATAAGCTCTTGGATCCCAATCCCAAGCATAGGATAAAAATAATTGATATTTTCAATCACAAAGCTCTTGAAAATATTATTTAGTTAATAAAATTAAATTTAAAAAAACAAATAACATATAATTTTCAGATAATTACAACAACACAAATACTTTAAATATTGTTTATAATTATTATGATTTAAAATCATTTTGATATTTAATAATAAAATGAATTTGAACTTTAGAAAAAAATTATTTGAATATTTTTGACATTTTAATAAATAAGTTAATTAATTAGACTATTTGTTTGGTAACACTAATATGATATTGTAGTAATAGTCAATTATTATTTTTTTTATAAACGCTATTGTATTTTATAATAACATATAAATTTGATAGGTAAATGAAAATTTCCCAGATGAATTCAAAATTTTGTGAAATTTTATTTTTAAAATACTATAATAATCATATGATTACCGTATATTGAATTATCTTTTTTTTATTATCTAAAGTAAAAATATATAGAAAAATATATTGATATGATTTATAATTTTTTCCACAATACAATCCGGTTAAACGTAATTGTAATCTATTATTACTATAATTAAATAAAATTAATCAATTTATATAAATCAAATTGAAAAATATATTTTCTTTAATATTAATAAAGTATTATTATTTTTATTAGTAATCTCTCCACTATATTACAAATAGCATGTGATAAAAACATTTTTTTTTGAAAAATAATTGATAAATTTGTGAGAAAATCAAAACATGATTTTCTAAATCAATTAGAGTAGATATAAATGTGTATTACAGTACATGTAAATGTATATGTGTTTTATCATATTTTTTCGATTGCAAAAAAGGAACTAGGTAAGTTACAGTATATAAAGATATGAAAAATTGTTGAAAAATTTAGTATTGTTTTTTTCTTATATACTGTACTGAAAAATAAAATATTGAAATTATGTATATACAGTTAGCAATTGTATTATTTTCATTAATAAATATAATACAAATGGAAGAACCGGATATAACCAAAGGACCGCCACCTTATGATAAGCCTTGGGTGTCGGCGTGGGGTTGGTTTGGGGAGACTGACCCCAAGGGATGGAAGGAAAGACACGACAAAATGCTTAACCAAACACATAAACACAAGAAAGACATACAGATTGTCTTCTATGGCGACTCTAAGTCAGAGTACTGGATAAGAGAGGGCAAGAAGGTATGGGAAAAGTATTATGTCGACAGAGATGGTTATAATTATGGTATTGGAGGTGACAGTACTCGACAAGTGCTTTGGCGGATACAGCACAAGGAGTTGGATGGATTGACACCAAAAATACTAGTCTTTATGATTGGCGGCAATAATTTTCACGAAAACTATAACAGAGGTTTTGATTTTATTTTAAACAATATTTTCATTAATCATTTGAATGGTGTATTAATTTGTTAATAATTAGGTACCGATGATGAGATAGTCAAAGCTGAGCACTTGATTGTTGAACAATTACACGAAAAACTACCGAAAACACAGATAATATTTGTATCACAATTACCCAGAGGTAAAAACGATGACAGAGCCCGTGATATCAACAATATGTGGGACGAGTATCTCAAACACCATAAGAATCCATTGTTTCATTTTGTCAATCCTTATACAAAGTATAACAATAGTGACGGCACACAGAATTTGAATCTTTATATTGGAGATCACATACATCTAAATGAAAAGGGATATACAATACTGGCTGAGACTCTTGAACCGTTAATTAAAAAATATTTGTAATTTATTGATTATTAACTTATTTTTATATAAAATGTATAATTTATTCTAATGAAAGTCAAATGAATTTATCAAAACATTTTTTTAAAAGTTTCAATGTTTATTAAAAATAATTGTGAAAAATAATATAAACTATTAATAAATATTACAGGTACTTAAAAAATTAACTTAGATTTTTATTACATAGTCATAATGTTTTTTAAAACAATAAATTGTATACAATAAGAGAAAATTTAATTTAGAAGAATTTATTTCTGACAACAATTTCTAAGAAAAATCCAAAATATTCAGTGAATTTAATGACAAAAAAATAAAAAACATATTTTTTATATTATATTTTTCTTTTCATTGTTTATATAAAAAAAATCATTTTGATAATGAATCTAAAAGAAATGTAAAGAAAAAAATCTCATCACTGGTTATCATTATTTCAAACATAATAAATAATTAAGTTTCTATTGCAACAAATATTTCAATTTATATGCTAATGGGACTATTATTACAACTTACCGTAATATAAAATCACATTTTTATTACATTTATGTACAAATAAATAGTATTATTATTATAATGAATACAAAACTGTGTAAATTATTTATTTTAATTTATATATAATTTATTTAATTGATTAAATATTTAAAAAAATGTATGTCAAAAATAGTATGTCAATTGAATTTAATATTAAATTAAATGTTGAAATTACAGATATTGTTTAAATGATAAAATTATTTAATTAAAGATTTACGATAAAAAAAGATTCTAATTTGAGATTTCATTTAATTGTTAATTCAATTAATAATTATCTTTAAATATATCATAAAAATGTAATAATTTGGTTAAAATATCTTTGAATGTGAATTTTTTTATAAAACACAATTCAGTTATTTTGGGCACATATTTACTGTAATTACATATTTGAAATAAATCACATATTTTGATACCTATATACCGGTTAATTGATAGTAGCAATGACTTCATCAGTCATTCATCTGTTATGGCATTACTGATGAGATCTTTACTGTCAAACAATACAAGTCTTGCCATTTGTCCGAATGTCTTGTTGTATGTCCTGATGTTTCGTTCATCAAATAAGACGATCGGATCGTTGGGTACCAGATATGACTTATGTCTGGACAACAAATGAATAGTATAAAAGTTTTGTTCCCAAAGTGGATACATATCGTTGTAGAGCATTGGCACTAAGTTTTGGACGCCCAGTGAGCGCGGCTCCCGATGTACTAGCGATGGCTTTGGGTTCAGTATGTCCTGTGTGGGCAACTGTCCCGCGTTGTAATACCAACGGGTCGGCCGATATTTTTTATATGACTCGTACCACAGACGCGGGAACCGTGCGTTCTTATGGCCGATCAGTATCTGAGTACCTGTTCATCAAAATATTGTTTAGTAATTTAATTTTATCAGTAGATGACTACTACACGACAGCGCTGTTGTTTGTATAGCTTATACCTATATTTTCGTCAAGTGGCCAACCAATTGTGAACTCGTATTTGCGAAATATGTCCAAACTTTTGACAACATAGACATCGTTGTCCAAAAATATACCGCCGAAGCGCATCATAATATCTATGCGGACAATGTCTGACTGATGATAAACTGATGATAACTTTTTGCCAAATATAAACACCGGTTTGACAATAGATCTGAGTTGTAATCTGTGACTATCACTTAATGACATCAATTTTTCCCAATATCGGCCCCGAAGTCGATCACAATTACAATGAAAGACAACTGACACCGGTTTCTGGTTTCGTAGGACTGATAGAACCGACACGTAATGAGAGAAATCCATATACGGGTTGTCCAACACTACATAGTGGACAATGTTTGGCACTACGGATGACCCAAAACCGGTTACATTATTACTGTTATAATCGGTAAACACAATATCCCGATATTGAGACTCAATATTTGTGTCAACAATATCGGTATCACTAAACACTTGTCGACCGATTGGGTCATTGTTTTTCAGATTTTGCGGTTGTTTTGCGACACTTTTTATAGAAAATAATGTCTCAATAAATAGTGTAATCAATAAAATTGTTATCAAAATTGTCAATATTTTGCAATATTTTTTGCCTACACTTAAGGTATTAATAAACATTTTTTATAGGATTTTAAATTGAATTGAATTTATAATTAGTTTATGTTTTATGAATTGTTTTAATAATCCATAATTTTTATATAAATAAATTATAAACTGAATAAATTTATATATATTTACTAAAATTAACATTTCTATATAATAGATGTATAAATGTATAAATTATATATGTATTACAAACTTTCAGAAACAAATACTTTAAAATAAATATTATATTATTTCTCGAAATATTTGGCAAAATATTATTAGTATTTATTTGATGTTATAATGTTTACATATAAATTTTATATAATTTATATCAATATATACTATATTGATATATATATATATGATAACATGTTGTTTGGCATAAAAAAATCATTATTTTATCCAACAATTTATTACAAGACTTTTACTTTTATTTTTAAAACTAAAGGTTTATATAACATAATAATACTACTGTTTCGTTGGTGTTGTTATTGTTGTTGTTTTTGTGATGTTTGAATAAAAACCGGTTTTATATTACTTATTAAGTAATACTGTACTTATACTTAACATTACTATAGATTTGAATGCAAATGCATTTGGATTTTAAATAAATTATATATACTGTATATTTGCGCTATTTTTGAAAAAGTATTTTTTTTGTATTGATCTATTATATCATATCATATCTTATTATATTAAATTATATTATCTGTTATACCATATGATGTATATTATAATATTATGTATATCAAATTAAAATATAAACTCTTATGTTTAAAAAAAACAAATTGAAAAAATTTCAATCTCACTTTTGTAAATACTCATGATATTTACGTAGATCAATAAAATAAAGTTTAAAATATATATTTTTCGAAATTTAATAAAATAATGTAAGTTATAGTCTAAAAATGATTACTTACTATGAGTAAAATATGTAATATTAAAAAACAATTTATGAATGCAATTTTAACAAATTTAAACAAAAAGATCTAAATATTATGTTATTTGCTTTATACTGTACTTTCATAATTAATAATTAATTTTTCAAAAATAATAAATTAGTTTCTAGTAGTTGTCACAAACATAATAAACATGAATTTAATTATTTTATAACTTTTGACCTATTGTTTGTCGAGAATCATATTTTATTTGTTTAATTAAAAATAAATACAAATTATAAAATTTAATGTCAAATATTCTTATAATTAAATCTAATAATATTATTTATAATATAAAATATATAATTTAAATCAAATTTTGAATTAGATTTATTTGAAACATTTCTAATACATTGTATAGTTTTTTATTATTTATTATTATTTATTTTCTATTTGGTTTTTAGCAAAATTAAATCAAAATGAGTGATTTTTTCTAAAACTTTATTTTAAAAGACATTAAGAATAATTTAATTGTATTATTAAATGTATTATTAAATTAAAAATCTTATTTATTATTAAAACAATATCATGTATTTTCTTTTTATTAACACATAGTGTATAATATACTGATAGTTTGCTATCTAAATATTTTAATTATCTTAATTATTGTATAAGAAATTAGATTATTTACACTTAAATTCTTGTGCATTATTTTTATGTTTGACTTAAACAGTATATATTATCAACTAATTTAATACAGCATTTGCTTATTTGAATAATTCATTGACAATCATTGTCTAACTTTTTTACAGGTAAATACATTATAAGTAGTCTTTATTATCTTAATAATTTAAACATTATTCTGCATAATAAAGTAATTGAGTTTGCATATAGTTTTATCTAAATAAATTATGTTTTAAAAAAATAAAATTTGGCAATAAAAATTAATAAAATTTAATTGGATACAAATTAATCAACAAAATATTTTATTTAAAATATTAGTCACTTTATATAATTAATAAATAAATTTAGATTTATTTTATTAACATTTATAATTAAATTAACTATTCCTAGTAAATTTTTAATTAGTCAACAATAAATAAATAAATAAACATAGCTAAGTAACTAGTAAATATTATATTTGATAAAAAATTTAAAAATACATTTAAACAAAAATGTTTTTATTGTCAATATTTGATATTATTTGGTCCCAAATGAGAAACTTTTATTTTCAAACTTTTCAGGTGTTATATATTCACAACTTATCTAATATTTATTAACACAATTTCTGTAGTGTACGGCCAACTAAAGTGAAGACCAGTATATCTAACAATATATATATATATATATATGATTTGTTTTTAGTGTACATTCATTGATTGTGAGTAAGAGCCAAAATAAAGGATGTTTTATGGATACAGTAATTATTTATTAGCATTAATCTATCAAATGGTCGGCTAACTGGAAACGAGTGGCCAGTCGTGTGAAAAACGTGTACAAACTTGTACTGTGTTTCTATGTTTAGTGAACACATAGGTTCGTAAATTTACAAACACTTATATTTTATATACTCTATACACTTATATACAGTAAAGTAGTAATATATATCAAAAATGTGTCTTTCATGAACATTATTAGTATTAAAACAGTGTATAATTTATATATGCTAGTTTATAACTTATAAAAACTTAGATTTTTAAAACTATAAATCAATTTTGACAAACGATTGTCTAAACAATTGTAGTGAAAAATACATTTTTATTATATTCATTGTGTTTTGTTTTGTTTAAAAATATAGTTTCATTTCCAAAGTCTATTACACAGTATACAGTATATTATGTGTGATAAATATATCATTTTATTATACCATATACACTGTATATCGGTATAAATATATATATATATATTTATATATATAAAGTTATATGAATGATGGATATAATATCTATTACAAAATATATTACTATTAAGATTTTTTGTTGTTGTCAGCTTGAATGTGTGTCAAATCATTAATATATTGTTTCACAATTGCTAACTGTTTTGATAGATAAGAGAAATTTGTTTTATAATATTGTACAATAATTTATTGAATAACATGTATATACTATATATCATATTTATATAAAGTGTTATATTGTATATAAAATTTTGTTTTATATATTTATATATTTGCTATTTATTTTCTCCTTTAATTTATTTCAGTTTATGTTCAATTTATACTTAAATATAAATATAAATAAAACAAAATAAAAAATTCAGTTTAATATTCAAAATAAAAAATCATTTTTTTCACACACAATATAATTATTATTCTATATATTATAAAAAGTGTTGATATGAATGAAAGAAAGAAAGAAAGATTGATAGATAGAGACTTCAGGTATTGAATTTGTAAATATGATTATTAAATTTATTTAGTTTATTATTTTATTTGCCTTTATATATATACGCTATACTGTATATACAGTTATTGTACTATATATATATATATTATACAATAAAATACAATGGCATCTTTATTTGTCAGTAGTGTTGTGTACATTATTTACTATACATTTACGTGACCGGCAGTAATGATGACAAATATCACTATGAATTTAAATCTCAATAATATTAAGCACACATTTTGCTTTTATTTTTTTTATATCATCGACTTCTTTAAAATATCATAATGTTATGTAAACGCTATGTACAGTATATGTATGCTTTTAGTGGACAGTATGTATGTTTATAAGTGAACTGTTTGTTTTTTAAGTACAGTAGTATAGATATTATATATATATATATATATATATATATATATATATATATATATATATATAAATCATGCGGTGTTTTTGAAAGTTTTTTATAAGAGTAACAGTACTCACAATCCAAGAATCGATATGTTTGTCAAACTTGAAGAATATTTTTACAGAATATAATCCGGAACAACACATCTCTTAAAATAGATATATAGTATAGAATAATCTCAGTGTTTATTCTGTATATATATATATACAGGAAGTTTCAAAACTATGTAACAATTATAATTGTTTTAATGGTTTTATTTTTATTTATAATATTTGTCAATCAAAATAACAGGTAAACAATATTTAAACTTATCCTATTTAATATAAAAATTAACATAAATGTTAAACTTGATATAATGAAACATTATGAACACATCATTTTAACTAATAAATATCAATTGTTAATTGTTAAAATTTTACTTAATTTTATTAATAATAAAACTTAAAATGTTAATAAATATATTTAAAATAATTTTTTAATATAAATATTAAATTTGGTTTAATATAAAAAATAAACTTAACTAAAATTTGTCAATGATTTTTGTTATATTTATAATTTTCTTTATATACTTAGTTTTGAAATAAACTGTATGGCTATATATATAAATACGTTTAAATCTTTATATCATTTTATAACTGCAAATCAAGACATTGATTGACAGGTATTTAGTTATAAGAAAAATAGTCATTCACTTAACAAAAGTTATGTCACTCCATATGTTATGAATGAAAAAAAACTTTTAAAATGTCGATTATTTTATAGTCACACTATATTTTTCGACAACTATTGCTATACATGTATATCTAATATATTTAACGATCGGGTTTTTTCAAAATTAAACTTTATTTATTTAAATGTATATCAAAGCTACTATAAAATACTAAAATTAGATATACTGGTACAGTATATACTATTTATATAATAATAAACATGAAAATATTTTGCATAAATAAAATGTACTGTATTTTTATACTACATATACTTAAAAATATACAGAAATAAAATATTTATAAAGATATTCATTAAATATTTATATATCGTTTTTACGTAAATATCTAATAAAATTATTAATATTGTGTAATTAATATTTATATAATTACTACAAACAACCATAACTTTGCACAACATAATAAATTAAATTATCAAAAATTAATTAATATATTTAATATATATATAAATTTATAGTAATATACAACTTTATATTGTAAATTACATAATCCACACAATTTTATATCATCAATTGTATTGTTGATTTAATTATCTAAAAATAATAAATCGACAAAATCAATGCTATTTAGTGTGTTGTTTATATTATTTGTTACAATTAGCACATTATGTTTTGTCAATAGCAAAAATCTATGCACTAACGAATGTAATTAATTAACACTGGATTATATTATACCATTATTAATATTAATAATATTTTATAAATAATAAAAATAATCTAATTTACATTAAATTAAAATTTATTATTATTATATTAATATCCATTGTTTTATTGTCACTTATAGTTGACATCGAGTATGAATGTGATTCAAGTGAACAAATAAAATCAGATTTATTAGACATCGATCCGGAGGACACCCCTGAGGTCTCTGAAGGCAATAATTCAACTCAATTCATGTCAACTCCCGATCCAAACGATGAATTCACAGAAGACACTGAAGATGAAGAATAGTTGTTTAAAACTTTATGTTAATTATACTGTATATACAGTATATTATATATGTTATAATAAATTTTTTAATTATATTAGAAATTTTTTATTAATTTCTACAATTTTAATCTATAAAATATTATTTATACTAAAGTTTTATTTATATATACTGTATATTTATATTTTATACAGATGTAGGATATTATTTTTTAGTTAATTTAGAAGTGGATTAAATTTTTGTTATACATTGTAATCAAAAAGTATTTATTAATTTAAACTAACATACAATAAAAAAATAATATTAAATAAAAAGAATTATTTTATTGTTTGTAATATTCTATTAAATATTAGATAAAATTTAATTAAAAAATATTTAAAGATACTGAATAAAGTATTTTACCTTTTAGCTATTATTTCATATAAAATTTTTAATATAATATAACATAACGTAATATATATTTAAACATTTGTAACAAAATGATTGGTTTTGAATTATGATACCTCTATTGTCTAAAAATATTAAATTGTCTTTTCTTTTTTATTCAATTATTATTATTATTATTTATGTATTTTTTATATAATATATAAAAGTATATAATTAAATATTTAATAGATATATTAAATATATTATTTATATATTTAATAGATATAACAGCATATCAAAAATTAGAAAACAATAAAAATATGTTGAATTGATTGAATTGGAGTGCTAAGAGAGTAAATGAGTGAGTGAGTGGGTGAGTGTGTAAGTGAGTTAGAGAGAGAGAGAGAGAGAGAGAGAGAGAGAGAGAGAGAGAGAGAGAGAGAGCTTATGGAGAAAACTGAGATGAAAAATACGACTTTTCCTTTTAGCTGTGCGCGCATGAGAGCACTGGCATGAGTTTAGTTGGACGGGTATATCAAATGATGAGTTGCATTATATAAGACATGATATATACAGTATATATACATATATTCTGAGATTCTGAGAGAAAAGTTTGCATGAATTTCTCAATCTTTACAACCATAGTGTGTGCTTAAGAGACAATCTACTTGTGTGTCAATAATACATTATTTGATATCATATGTATAAAGACTTCTCATATGAATAGTAGTATTAAATTATAAGTTGTATGACTTTTGATATCCATTTATTTATATTCTAGATATACTACAGTATATATAATATGTATTGTATATAATTCGGAGTATATTATATGAAAAAAATATTCTGTTATTGTATTCTTATTTCACAATAATATTCTGTTAATAAGTGTCTCTAACATTATTATGACTATAAGTACAGTATATATATAAGTTATCTAAGTATTATATCTATATTTTCATCATTAAGTTTAGGTGTGAATAACATTTCATAACAATACACAAATCACTTAACACAACACTCAAAGATGCTTCACTTTAACAATGAAACAAAATTTATTATAATAGTGTATCAAATCATACTGTCATTACAAATGTACTGTATATTGATTATTACTTGAAAAAAATTTACTATAATATATAAAAATTTAATTATAAATAAATATTTTTAGTGTTAACTATTATAAATCTACATCCAAGTGTATAAACCTAAACAATTGAATCAAAAATGAGTAATTATACTGAATTATCTGTGTTTGATAATATTGACAACAATAACAGCAATAGTAACTACAGTAATAGTAGTGAAGTTAAAAATTTAGATACAAGCAATCGGGACGAAAATCTGGCCATAATGGAAGTCATTGTTTTGGCCATCATTTTTGTATTGATTATTGTGGGCAACATTTGTGTTTTAATAGCACTGGCCGTTCGTCGGTTCAAAATGACTCGTATGTACTATTTTTTACTACATTTAGTCATATCGGACATTATGACCGGCTGTTTTACGGTAATGCCTCAGCTGGCCTGGGATATCACCCATCGATTCAATGGTGGTAACATACTGTGCAAAAGTGTGAAATTCATGCAACTATTTGGTCCATATTTGTCATCGTATGTATTGGTTGTGACAGCAATTGACAGATATCAAGCCATCTGTTATCCATTGTCTAACTGTAAGTGGACTTCACGTAAGTCCAAACTGATGATAACCATTGCGTGGATGATTTCCATACTATGTTCAGCTCCCCAGGCGTTCATATTCTCCTATCAGGAGATTCCCGGAAATGTCGGTGTATACGACTGTTGGGCTACATTTTCTGTACTACCGGCGCCGTGGGGCGAACGTATATACGTAACCTGGTATACAGTGACAGTGTTTTTCATACCACTCATCATTATTACCTATACCTATGTCTATATATGCTATGAAGTGTGGAGTAATGTTCGCCATAAACGGCAAACTTTGAAACCAGAGATCAGTTTTATTGAAATGAGAAAGACATGGATGAGAAACGAAACTCAAGGCAAACACGACGATAGTTGTGACAGTACTACTGATAATAGTTTTTCTGCTGATGACAGCAATAGCTATAAAGTGTCGGCAAATGTCTCATTAAATCCGAGAACTCATTCAATATATCGTTTATCAAAAGCTAAGATCAAGACTGTAAAAGTTACTGTAGTTGTGGTCATCTGCTATATTGTGTGCTCCAGTCCTTTCATTTGTGTACAGGTTTGGGCTAATTGGTGGCCGGGAGCTCAACAAACGGACTTTTGGAGAGGTATGTTAGCTTTTTTTATATTGACAATAATAAAGACATAGTTATGATCGATAACAACTGAATCATAAATTATTTATTATAAAGTTTTTTTTGTCGATCATATTGTACCTAAATATGATAATACAATATATGCAGTAATATAATTATGGTAATTATACGTACATATACAGTACATATTGGTTTATTTTAGATATATATTATGCAAGAAATATAAATATATTTTATTTTATTAGGAAAATTATAATTAGTGATTAAAATATTTATATTCAAAAAATAAATAAATTTATGTTATATTGAACTACTAAAATGAAATGTAAAATAATTTTTTTAAAATTTCTAATTATATAAGATATAATTTAATTTATTTTTTGATATTGAAAAAAATCATAATTATATATCGTATATTTAAAAGTTAATAAGTATAAAATATACTTATTTTATTTTATTTTTATTGTTGAACTTTCTTATCATTATTATATAAAAGATATTTTTCACAGTTTGTGGCACATAAAAAATACGATATTTATATTATTTAAATTTATAATATTTTAACAAAGATTTGAGTAAAAAGTTATGATTGAATATCATATATATATATAATTTTCGGATGAAATTAAGCATAAATTTCTTTTTTCATGAGCACAGCACCAGATTTTTGATAATCATTTTAAAAAGAAAAAAATTATTATTATTTTGCCGGTCATTGAGATTAAAAGATATATTAAATTTAAACAAAATCTGTTGTTATATTTATATGAGATTTTTATATTTAAAATAAATTTATTTTAACATTATCATCATACATGAATAAATCGATATTATAATGATTTTGATTATTTGTATAAATATTATAATTTTTTTGATAGGCTGCTTATAATTAGGTAAATTTTGTTTTCATTGATTTTTTTATTAAAAAAATATTTTAATCAATGTTTTTTTGCAAAATCAATAAAATAATTTGATTAAGCAATGTGAAAACTAAATTAATAGCAAATATGTTATTTCGATTATATTATTTTCTAAAGACTAATGTTTATTTAGCACAAACACGTAATTTTTATACAAATGTTAAAAATATGAAATTACTGTTTACAATAAAATTTGAATCAATCCATATATAAATATTTAATTATTGTGTATATTATGTGTCTCTATGTTTTGTATTATTATTTATCAATATTTAATTTAAGTATAGTATAATATTCTTGCAATATATCCACCAAAAAAATATTTGCACATAATATTTAATTCTTACTTATTTTTTTACTATAGTAATAGTATAGTTTATAATTTACTATATGTATAAATATGTAACTTGAAAATCATTTAAATGATTTTTAATTAATATATTAAAACGATTAAGTACTATATTCACAAATAATTAACTAATTAATATTAATAAACAATATAATTTATAGATTTTATTTAGCTTATAATTTAATATATTTTACTTTATATTACATTTTTACTTATCAATTCTGGCTATAATATCACATATAATGTTTAATTTTTTGAAATTATTATTGTATCTAAAATAAATTTATATATTTTGATATTATACTTAATGTGAAAAACCTATTTAATCTATAATATATTTATTATATAATAGAAAATGGTATAATAAATAAAAATAAATAATAATATAGTAAACTCATTATAAGTTTATAGTAAATAATATTTTAGTTGTTAAAACTCAAATAATATTGAGAGTGTAAATGATATTAAAATATTAATACAGACATATAATATGATAAATTAATAACAATAAAAATAGTGTATAATATAATAATAAAGTACTAAAAAAATAATCAGATGACTTTGACAGGAAATTAAAAAAATATTGTTAAAAACAAAATTGAAAATTGTTTTTTTTAAAGCACTACAAATATTATTAATTGGTTGAAAAAACAATTACAAAAAAATGATAAAATAATTAAAATTTGATCATTCAATTATTGATTTTGCAACTAATTAACTACAGTTTAATTTATGCATTTTATATATGATATAATGTTTTCTAATTAATAACTTTATAGTCTTTATTAAAATATTGTTGTTGTTGTTAAATAATTTGTGGTAACATTTGTTGCTAAAACATTACAACAACAACAACAACATTAACAACAAACTCATCGTTAATATAAAAGATGAAATGGTTTTAATCATAAATTGACATTAAATTATATTTTAGTCATTTTTATGAGAGGGACTCAACTCCTCATTAAAACATTACATTATTGTTGACATAAAACGCTTAAACAGATCCTTACTTTTGCTTACTTACCATTTCATTCACTAAATGTTAAGAAATATTCAGTAAATAAATTATACGACAGAAACTACAGTAAATATATATAATATTTTTTTTTATTTACGTTATTATTATTATTATTGTCTTTTGTTTGCTTACAAATACTTTAGGGAAATATCTATATTTCTCTCTCTCTCTCTCTCTCTCTCTCTCTCTCTCTCTCTCTCTCTCTCTCTTCTCTCTTTCATATATTCATTCGTTTTATGTTAACTCTTAATACTCTAATATAAACAATATTAGTCTCTAAGAAAAACCCAATTAAATTTTGTATAATTATTATCATTTAGTGAACATCAAAAATGTTTTTTTTTGTGTCTAACAGTTATTTGTATATAATTTGTTGCAATACATTTGAAATATTTTAATTTACTTTTATCTACAAATAAATAATTTAACAAAACATTTTAATAATTTATTTGCAATTCATTTTTATTTATAAAATATTATTTTTAATATTATTAAGCCTTTTATAATATTGATTTTTATGAACATTATATTACTGTATATATTAAAAAGATTATTTTTGATGTTTTATATATATTTAGGGAAAATTGTCACAATAGTGATGCTATTGTCGAGTTTGAACAGTACTGTCAATCCATGGATTTATTTATTATTCAATCCAAACCTAATGAAAGCGTTGCAAAACTTTTGTTGTTGTGGCCGACAACCAACTGGCCATCGATTGAGGACAGGTAGAGCAGGCAGTCGAGTAAATAGTACAATAAATACCAAATTGGACAGTGATTTTACACGTGTAACTTAATTTATAACTTATCACTAATTAAATGTAATATTTATTTTATAAAAATAACCTGTATTAATTAATAGATAGTTTGTATTTATGCATAGATCATGCATTATCATATATCATACACTATAGAGTAAATATCAGTAAATATTTTAATTTATTATTGTCATTTATAATTTATGTTATTAACTAATTTATTATATCCAAAATAATGTTGTACTAATCTAAATCAAATGTTAATAATTAATCAATAAATACCTATTTTAAATAACAAATTATTAGTTGTGTAATATTTTTGTCTTATATAATGATTTCATATATTATTGTAGATTAAATATTTATTACTTAATTTTAAGTTGTGTTCATATATCTATAAAAAAAATATTTGCTTAACTTTTAATATTTTATCTATTTGCTATAAAACTTTCAAAAAACCAATACATTTATCATTTATAATAAATGGCAAATAACTTTTAATATTCATATTTTGAAACAGATCACATAAAATGATAAGATATTTTTTGCTTTAAATAATTTATATGTTTAGTAGTATAATCTAATGTAAATGTATATAAAATTAATGCATAACAAAATTCTAAGTGAGAATAATCTTTAAAAAATATATTTTTACCATAAAATATTTGAAACATTATAGGATTAAAAATAATTATACATTAAATAATAAGTTAAAAAAAATATTTTTCTTTTTTAAAATTTTAATCATCAAATACAATGCTTTGACAAAAGCTTGAAAACTGTTATCAGTTAAATTATAAAGATTTAATATACTTTTTATTTATATTATTTATAAATTAGTTAATTGAGTAGCTAATAATAAATTCAAAATCCATTTATTTAAATTATTTATAATAATAGATACATACGTTAATAATATTACAATCATAAACAGTAGAAAGTAATTAAATAATTAGTATTTATAAGAATAGTTATTATACTGTAGTTTAGAAGTATTAATATATATATATATATATATATAAAATCGATTCAATTGATTAATGATTAATTGTATGGTATTTACAATTTTCTTTCAATCCTAACAATTACTGTTGAGATAAATATGTTTTAATTAGAAAATAAGTAAACAAATTTTTATAATTTTCAAACACTTTTAAATTAGTTTTCATGTAATTACATTTTAATATACACGAGTTGATTGCTTAATTAACTATAAAATGTTATTATGGTAAAGAAAAACTGTAAATAATTAAAATTTTTATATAATTACTATATTTTTAAATCTATTTTTTATTATTATTTATAATATACGACAAATATTTTGATAATTAAAACTTATAGTATACTAGTCAACATATTTATTATTTAAATGTATATTTGTTTTTGAATAAATTTAAAAAAGAAACAAATTATAATTATTTTTATTGTCTATTTATCATAAATAACATTATTATTATTACTCTCACAATAAATAAAAATAAAAATATATATATATATTTAAAATTTGAACACAGTTTWAAAAATATATTTGCATATTATTAAAATATGATTTGTTTTATACATAAAGTAATTTACAATAATGTGTACATAAATTCTTATTTATAAATATATCATAATTAATTTAATATATTTTTTATTATTATTTAATATAAAATTTTGAGGTCACAAAAAATTAAATTAAAATTTTTACATTTAACCATATTTGCATGATATAAATTATATTATAGATATATTTTATAAAAAAATAGTTTTTATATTTTCTATTTTATTACAATTTTATCTATTTTTAAAATCAGGCATTTATTTTTTTATATTATGTTTTTATAATTTAATAAATAATTTATAAACCGAATAAATATTAAATGTATTTTATATAATGTCAACTTTAATAATATTTTCTTATAAATTCATACTTATTCAATATAATATATTTTCTATACTTTATATTATATTATATATATACTATATATTGTAAATTCAAAATAAACTAACAAAATCTAAATTTATCTAAATATACCCTGCAGAAATATTACGAATAATTTAAGTATACATTGAGTAAAATTTTATTAATATATAACAATTTATTTTATATTATATTATATAATTTATATGGTATTTAATGACAAATTATTTGTCAAAATGATGACAAACACTCAAATGAACACTTATTTAATTTATTAATCAATAGTTTTTTCCACTAATAGACACACACTCTCGGTGTTTGTAATGTATCTAATAATCTTAATTTTATTATTATTATTATTATAACTTCAATTCATACAGAATATTAGTGTCTAAATGTTACTAATATAACAGTTACTAATAATAAAGATATTATCATCACATTTAGTATGTCAGTGATAAACCAAACTCTTTGCCAATGATGTCATAGCAAAAGTATCTATCATTTGTGACAATATTATTAGATATTATGCAGTTTTATACAATATGTCTACTATATTTCAATTAAATATAAATTATATAATACATATTTTTTTTATTTATTACACTAAAAATATTTTTTTCAATTATAAAAATAAATAGTAAAAATAAATTATGTTTAACTAAATTATTATAATTTGTTTATCTAATTAATAATGAAATGAACTTTTTAACATAAATCTTTATTTATATGAAATTTATTATTATTAAATAATATTAAAATAATAAAAATTAGTTTCTTATAAAATAGAGTAATTTATACTAATAGATAAAAAACATAATATAAAAAATGCTGTTAAATAGTAAATGAAATAATTTTATATAAACACAACTCAAAGCTTTATATACTTGAAAAAACTATAATTCAATAAAATTCTTATTATTGTAAAAAATTATAGTAATGTAATTGATTTACAGCATAAAATGTACATTATATATGAAATTTAATTATAGATTTATTTTATTTATTTATTTATAAATTATATTTTATTTAAATTAATATAATTAATTATGGTTAAATTGTAACAAGCATTTAAATAATTCACAAAATTACTAATCAATTATTTACATTACAAATTTTCACAACTAAACTATTAACTATAGTTATTAATATTAATTATATAAGTCATATTTATTTTAATATTTTTATTTATATTTGATTTTTATTTCATGAAAGTTAGTGTACTTAAAACTACACATAAATTTTTTTATAAACATTTTATATGTGAAAATTGTTTCTATTATTCTAGAAATTCTATATTACTATTGATTTAGGAATTACTTATAAAGTTACCATTAAAAAAGTTATATAACAATATTGAGTATAGATTGAAATAAATATTTTTAAAAACTATGTCTTAATATAAATATTTTATCAAATTAATAAATTAAATTATAACTGTCTATTTATTGGCTTTATGTTTATTGATAATTAATGGTTTTAAGTGCAATATAAAAGTGTTTATATTATGTAAATAATTTAATTAATAAAAATAAACTGTAATTTATTTAATTTATTTCTGATTAAATTATATAATTTATATACAGTGTATATGAAATATTAATTAATTTAATGCTTTTATTTAAAATGATATTATATTATTTTAAAAAATAATTTAATATAATTTACATAATCTTCAACATTATTGTTATATCTATAAGTTTGTAATATACGGTTTATATTAATTTCTAATGTAAGTTATAAAGCTTAAGCAAATTATTATAAAATGAAAATTAATTGTTTATTAATTGATACAAAAATGACAAATCTCATTAATTATTGTATTAAACAACACATAAAAAATAGAAAATTTAGACTTAATACAAATTATTGTAAATGTCATATAAAAATAAAAAGATTTAATTGATTTTTTAATTGAATGCAGATTTTATTTTACTGTAATAATCAATATAATATTTTATATTAAACGATATATAAAATATATATAATATTGTTTTATTATAAATTGTTGTTAACAACAGTACTACAGTAATAGATACAAATGCCAACATTAATAAAAATAATAACCAGTTATATGTGTGTATCTGATATAATATTGCAAAGAAAAGTAAATTTTATTTATTCAATTATTTATTATTTTATTTTATAACAATTAATATTTTAATACATCATATATTTATATAGCAATTTATGGTTATATATAGTATTATACCTGTATATATCAATAATAATAATAATAGTAAAATAATCAAAGTAATTTATATTTATAAGTGTATTATATTTTTTWAAAAAAGTTTATCAACATTAGACACAATATAACAATATTTTTTTACAATAAATAAAAATTAATTTTTTATTAAAAACAGTAATAATATGTTAGACAATAAAAATCGTAGAAATTCAAAAAACTTTGAAACAATTAATTTGGAAACAATTTATAATAATAATGAGCCAGAAATTGAAGAAACTACCAGTGCCTGGACTGAGACATTTATTATAAACAATTTTAGGTTTAATGATCGTAATCAACAACAATCATCATCACCACAACAACAACATTGTTCATCAAATATGATAAATAATAGTATATTTTTATCACAAAATTATTTATGTAATTTTATGTCTACTACAAGTAAGCAATGATAAAATAGTATACATAAATTAATTTTACAAAAATTATTATCTAAATTAATTATTAATACAGTTACAGGTTTAATATTTCAATTAATAGCTAATACTATATGCATTATTTGTATAATTATAGGTAATAAAACTTATTTAATATTATATTCTATAATTTTTTTTAATTTAAAAATATATTTTTTTATATTTAGGATCACTATATATCACTGATTGTCCTAATTCACCGGTTATACCGAAAATACTTATAGCTAACAGCGGTTTTTATATAATGATTTGTATTATTGAACGTATTAAGCAACTTATGATCAAAATTAATTTGACAATTATACTCTATATTAATCGCATACAATTGATATTAATCATTGGATCAATTGTGTCATTTTTAATATGTAATATTATATTGAAAATTAATCACATAATAATTATTACGAGATCATAATTTAATTGAAATATACTATAAGTACAATAACTTTTTTAATTATTTTTATTTTTTTAGGGATTATTGTTGTCTACGACAGCGTGAGTCCTAACTTTGAAGACAGATATCAACAAAATTATTGCAACAAAATTTTATATCTATTTTCATTTTGGTTACTTAACTTATTGCTAATAAAAATTGCAATTATTATAATTATAGCCACGGGTTGTTGTCTGTTGAGATAAATTTAATCAATATCAATATAACACTTTAAGATAATAGTTCTGTTTGTATGCGTGCACATTTCATCAACAACCATATTTTAATTCAAATCTAAAAATGTATTGTTATATTTTCAATTATTATTTAAAGTAATGTTATTTCTATTGTAAATTTTAAATGATTATTGAGCTCAGGTAGGTTTTAGGGATAGGTAGGCAGATGCTGTGTAATAACATATTGCTATATTCTATAAGTCACACGGCACCGGGAGGTTAGCTACCTGTGCTAAAATTTTGTAAAATTTTCTCAAATGCAAAAATTTCCAATTTGTGTGAAAATTTTCAATTTTTATTGAAAGCAATTTTATTTCTATGGGAAATTTTAAATGTTTATTTAGCACTGGTAGGTTTTAAGGACAGGTAGGCAGGTGTTGTGTAATTACACTTTGCTATATTGTGTGAGTTTTAGGGCACCGGGAGGTAATCTACCTGTGCTAAATTTTTGTAAAATTTTCTCAAATGCAAATTTTTTTTCGAAAAAACCATTAAATTTTCAATTTTTATTAAAATTATTTAAATTTATATAAAAACTAAAAATTCTCAAAAGTTTAGACCAAATAATGTCTAATGGTTCAGTAGTTTTGTTACATTAGGTTATGTAGTAGTTGTATAAACAAATTAAGTCTCATTCAAACTACTTATGATGAATATTTTAAAATTAGTAAAAGAATTGCACGGCTATAGACGTTGCGCGGGTTAAACTAGTAATATTTTATGATTATAACAAAAAGTTTATATAATATTTTATTATTTTGAATTTAAATTATTAATTATGTGATAGAATTAATAAAATATTAATTTATTATTATTATTATTATTATTATTATTATTATTATTATTATTATTATTATTATTATTATTATTATTATTATTATTATTATTATTATTATTATTATTATTATTATTATTATTATTATTATTATATATCAATGTACTGTGTTTGTTGATTTCATATGAATATTTAATTTATAATTTTATTGTCAATTATATATTCAATATATAATATTATATATAAATTATTTTTGTGTTATAAATATGTTTCTCGAGAAACGGTAGCATCGATTAGTAATAAACAATGTACAGTAAATATTTAGTGTATATATATATATATATATATATATATATATATATATATATATATATAATATAATATAATATAATAAAGGTATATTATATGATAAAATAAATAAATATGTTTAGCAACTATGGCAACACCCTATCTAATAACCCACTGACACCTCATCACTACAACACATACTATACACTACATGTATATACTGTACAATATTTTATAATTAAAACATTTTGTCTGTAATTATCAGTAATTTTTTAAAAAATAAATAACATGTCTTTCAAGTTTTCATATAATTAAACTAATTATCAAATACTAGAAATTGAAATAAAATTTAATGTTATGAAGAAAAAAATATTTTTATGTATACAAATAATAAAACAATGTTATTAAGTGTATAATATGTTGCTTTGATTGCCTATTAAGTGCCAAAATTGGCAAAAAACTACATTTGTAATGTAAAAAACTATTTTTTTATATATTAAAATTACATTTATTCTTATCTGTTATACAACTAAATTAATGAGAAATAATTTTTTAAAATTTGATTCATAGTTAAAGTGTGTGTCCATTAAATTTATTGATATATAAAATGACCAATAAATATGATTTGTTGTCTAAGCCATCGCTGGCCAATAGATTATATAATCGCTTGATTCGTGAGACAATATATCCGACAATTGCTATCTTATTATCGCCAATAGTGGTAATGATGGCCACGTATATTGTGGTCATCAAAAATAGTTATCTTAAGCGTGCACTTATACCACTGACCACTACCGCAAAGCTAACAGTGCTCGAGGCTTATCATTCTATCAAATGGTAAGTTCATATAATATTAATATTTATATAATAATACTATAATAAGTTGCTTTGTTAAGCAATTTTATTTATCATAAGGTATATTAATTAGGATACAATTAATTATTTATTCATTATAAATAGGTCAGACCTAGAGTGCTGGTCAGTGGTGGGCGGACTTATACTATGGGGTATAATATCGTTGCACTTTCCCGGACGCAAATATCACGGCCCGCCTACGCCTAATGGCTACAGACCTGAAGTATTGGATTATTATTTTCCCAGAATTTATGGATTTAATTAATATTAAATTAATTTTTTAATCCTATTCCTAGTACTGGCACTCGGGCTTTAAATACTATATAATCTCAATGATAATAATATGCCCACTCATATGGAAATACTCGGTATTGCACTTGTATTACAAAATACCGAATCTCATGGCTATACTTATATTATTTGGCATTATATTTGTATTTATTCTTTACTTAAAAGGTAATGTATTATATTAATAAAAAAAATTATAGATTATATTTTATTAATTAGTATAAATCTAATGTACTCATAATATAGGTCTGGTATTTCCCGATCCGGGTGTGTGTGATATAACAAAGAATCCGATATTTGATTTCTATTGGGGTATCGAACTGTATCCACATTTGGGACCTTTTGTCAGTCTAAAGGTGCTGATAGTGAGTCGCTTTGGTATGTTTCTCTGGCAATTGTTGGCACTGGTAGCCTGGAAAGCCAACTATGAACTGTATATAGCCAGTTACAATCGGGGTCATATCAATTGGCCACTGACCACCAATGTATTGCTCACCAGTTTATATTTGGCGTTCAAGTTCTACACTGAAGACAATTATATGCAGGTTTTGTTATAAAAAAAATTACTTAACATTTTAGACTAACTCTCATATAATTAGTTATTAACCTAATATTATTTAGTACAATGTTTTTCAATAATTTTTAATTAATCTCTAATATAATTCAGTAAAAATCTTATTTGTTTACTATTTGCCAGTCATTTGATGCCATTCACGATCGGTTCGGCTTTTACTTGGCCTGGGGTTCAATTGCATTTCTACCGGGTATATACTCACTGAGCAGTATATATCTAGTCAAGCACTCACCTATGGAACAGTTTGGCCTTTTGTCGGCACTGGTAGTATTATGTTTGGGTGCTATAGCTATTTACCTAACTTATTGTGTGGACAGTCAGCGCTCTCATTGTCGACAGACAAACGGAAAGTGCAATATTTGGGGACAACCGGCTAAAGTGATACGGTATTTAATAATATTATAGTAGATTTCAATAAAACCTAACTGTTTCATATTATTATCAAAGTGCAACCTATTTGGACAACTATGGTATCACAAAACGCACAGTTCTATTAGCATCGGGATACTGGGGTATAGCCCGACATATCAACTATACGTTTGAAATATTGGCCACATTTGCCATATGTTGTCCATCACTGCTAACAAGTCCCATACCGTATATCCATTTGGCAACAGTTGTCGCAATGCTTTTACACCGAACCCATAGAGATAACCAACGGTGCGCCAAAAAGTATGGCTCGCATTGGAAAGAGTATTGTCAAATGGTGTCATATAAAATGATACCTGGCTTATTTTAATATTTCACAATCTTTTTAATATTACAATAATTGTAATAATCACTAATAATCACCAATAATATACATTAATAAGTTGTTATTTAGTACACAATTATTTTATGAATAATATTTTATGTTATATAATGTTAATAATTATTATTTTATTAGAGACAAATATCAATTATACGAATTAACAAATAAAATAATAATTTATTATATTAAACAAAATTATATCTATTATAACTAATAATTTTGAAAATCGCAAAAAAATGAAATTGTTAATCGCACAATCATTAATTAGTAGTATAATAATGTGTAATAATTATTATTTATATAAAAATACTGCTCAATATTTTATATAAATTGTAGATTATTGTAACAATTATGATCTCATATTTAATAAATATAATATTTGATAAAACTATTTTGTTTTAATGATAATAATAATTCATTAATAATTTAATTTAATTTTGTTTGTTAATGAAAGCAATGTAAATGTTTATATAAAGTAGATAAAATTAGTTATTAATTCAATATTATGTATAGATATGTATAAATATATAATAAAATATACTTATTAAATATGAAATTAAATGCAATAAGTTATACATCTACTGGGTTATTTTTATTAAATATTTAAATATTTAGATTAGTATTCAACTATTTCTCTATTTCTTATTATTTTAATAAATATTTTATTTATGATTAAATTATTATCTATTAATAGTCTTAGACAATAAGTTATTTAATGAGTAAAAAATGTAAGAAATAAACTACAAGTGTATGTGAAAAATTTAATTTTTAATTACAGATTCTTTATAATTATTGATAATTTAAATTAATAAAATGTAATAAAACATTACTAGTTAATTAAATAACTTGATTATTATGTTATAGAATTTATAATTTTTATTGTTATTAAAATATATTAATATTTCAAATAATTACTTAAAATATTAAGATAATTACAGTAAGTTGTACAGTATTTGATAACCACTATAAAGTACAATAGTGATTTATTTTAATTTATTATACTATAAGATCTGATAATTCATTTTTGTTACTATTATTTTTAATTTACCGGTAATTATACAAATAAAATAAATATAATTTTATAATATTTTTTATTTAATATATTTATATAATAGTATATGAATATTCTCGTAATATATAATTTTAGATTAAAAATTGTTCATTTTATTTATCACTAATTTTACGACCAAATGCTATAAAGTAATTGAATTTAAAATATATCTCTTTAGCCGATAAGTTATTAATCTTTAGTATTGATTGCAATTTATGTACGATCTCTTGTCTCACATAATCAGCTGTTTCGGGATCTTTAGCTACCAGTCCCTGATATAGAGACCACGACTCAATGTACCCGAGAAACTCTTGGGCCGACACTGTTATCTGTTCTGTAATACCGTCGATATGTTTTGATTCGTAATTTGTTGGAAATCTCATCTTTCGGTAATGATCTTCAATGGCCACTATTTTCGGGTTCTTAAACGGCGCCAATCGTTCATCAAAATACACGTCATACATGAGCTCAGTTAGACTTTTATCGTCCGGATCGTACGGATCTATACAATCGGGAATCATATACCCGATCAATGCTATCACACCGTTGTTGACCAGTACTMGAGTAGCTTCAGTCATAAAGACATCAAAATCAAACCAATGCGCCGCTTCAAAGGCGGTCAACAATTGGACACTATTTGTAGAAATTGACGGTAACTTTTCAGCTGTCGATACCTAATATATTATCAAATTTGAAAAAATAGTAAAATTCATTAAAATATAAAATATAATAAGTATTATTTATAAAAATATTTTTTATAATTTTATATAATTTTTTTCATTAAATAATTATGACTTACACCATAGCGTATATTATCTAATTGGTTGTTATCGTTGGCCTCTTTGATTTGTGCGGCACTTACATCAAACCCGTAACACTGTTTAAAATGTGGGGCCAATCGTTTAGTTCCCTGACCCGAACCGCAGCCAACATCGACAGCGATATCCCATTTTTGTTTATCAATTTTTTCACCTAGATAATCCAATACGCGCTTGATAACAGTATCGGGAACTGTAGGTCTAAATCGGGCATAAATGTTGGCGTGATTTATGCCTTCAAATATACGAACAGACATTATCCAAGTATTTATGAGTGAAAGACAGACAGACAGACAGAGAGAGGAGAATAAAATTAGAAAACAATTGTCTTTTTCCGAAAGTTATATTGTTTTCAAAGGAAAGTATCTAAAAATAATATTAATGTTGTTTTTAATCACTTATATATAATAAAATTTAACTGTATTTACAACAAATCTAACAGGAATTACATCACACTTATCATAGAGTAGTGACTATTTTCATGTGTTGACAATATATCACAAACAAGTTCATTGAAGGACATGTATGGCATAGTATTCAAGGCTTTTTCTATGTAAATCAATGATCAAATAAACATCCAGATCATAGTCAATAGCTAACTATGATAATAATATAATTATTTTTCAATAAAATTTACATATAGTATGAACTTATCATGTTTTAAATGCATGTGATTTTATAATAAAAAATTATTATAATTTATTATGTGATTTTATAATTAAATGAAATTGTATATGTAAATTTATTTATGATTAAAATTTTTGAATTTCAATCATATTGTGTCACTGGCTATGCAATAGATTGATGATACTCAATAAGCTCAGGTATCCATATTATGCCATGTTGTATCCATGAGCATGAGCACTGTTACTTTTATTGGCTAAGTTGTTATAATTATTTATTAATATTTTTATAATAAGAATCTAATGTAAAAGAAATTAAATATAATTATATGGTTTTAATGAAAATATTTTAAAGTATATTTTACATAAAAAAAATTTTTTAAAAAGTTTATTAAATATTAGCATAATAATAATAATAATAACACGAAATATACAATATATAAGACACAGTAGAATATAATAGAAAATGTAGTAATTATAGTAAATTATTTTACATTAATAAAAGCTATACAGCATATACAGTAAATACAATATAAATTTATATATATATAATTTATATATAAACTATAAAAAAATTTAATTTGTAAATCAAATTATGATAAATATATATGTGTTTTAATTTGATAGTTTACGGGCCAATGCTATAAAACAGTGATAATTGTTAATCACTTGTATATTCGATAAATCATTTATTTCCAGTATTTCCTGTAATTTATGTCTTAATTGTTGTAATATCTGTTGTGCAGTATTTGGATCATTCTTGACGATTGTCTGGTATTGAGAGGACGACTCAAATCGGCCGACAACATGCTGTGCCGGTACTGTTGTCGACATTTTAATGTCATCTATATATTGAATCTCGTAATTGTCCGGAAATTGTAAATTTCGGTAAAGATTTTCGTGTAATGTTGTCTGTAGATTACGGATGTGATGGGGATTACGATAAGGGATCAGCCGTTGGTCAGAAAACAATAGTTCATTAATCATATGAGTAATGCGCTCGTCATCTGTATTACGAGGATCTCTTGTGTCGGGATATGAAAAACCAATGATAGCGACCACTCCATTGGTGACCAATACGCGCGACATTTCTATCATAAATTTTTCAAAGTCAAACCAATGAACCGCTTGGACAGCGGTCACCAATTGTATGCTATTTGTGGGAATTGATGGCATATTTTCTGCTGGACTAACCTAAATGAAACAAAAACTAATTTATTAATAACTAATAATATGACTATCAATATAAATGGTTATAATTTATAACAGTATACCTCATAACTAATATTATGTGGATATATGGCCTCTTTTGCCATTTTAATCTGAGCCGGACTAACATCCAAACCGTAACAGTGTTTGAAATACTGAGCAATACGATTGGTTGCCTGACCCGAACCGCAACCTACATCTACAGCATTGTTCCAGTCAGTACTGTCTATTTTATGACCCAGGTAATCCAATACCCGTTTGATAACACTGTCGGGAACCGTAGCTCTATATTTAACATAAAGATTGGCATGTTTTCGGCCCTCAAATAATCGTATAGACATTTTTTTGTTTCAAACTTTTCACGATTGTATATAAATTATTATTAATAATAATAAACTAATATTTCATTGATAGCACAATACATTTATTGACTAAATTATTAATATTATACTAACCTTTATATAATCCTTTTTTTAACAGTTTTCACAGAATTATTGAATTATTAAATTGAATATAAAATACAATTTCAAATATATTACATCACATTTATTACCAAATTTGTTTCGTTATAATGCAAACACACATTCAATGTAAACCAGTATTTATTATACTCAAGGATTTCAGTTATGGATGTCATATGTTATTTAGTATATAAATTGTTTATATTATAGTTTAATGTACTTAACTATAGATTATATAGTAGTATATAGTATATAGTATATATTTATAATATATATATATATATATATATATATATATATATATATATATAAATGCAAAGAAAAATATTTGATAAATTTTGTCAAGTCATTAATATATATTTAATTTTTATCTATTTATGTCAAATTTATTGTTTAGATTTATTATTTAGATTTATTGTTAAACACATTTTTTTATATATACTGTTTAATTAGTTAGTTTACGTCCCAATGCTATAAAATATGTATAATAAGCGGTAATTTGTTTGTTAAGTAAATTATCAATTTTTAAGATTGCTTTTAGCCTGTCTTTGTAGTCCTCTATTATCATCTGTGCTGACTCGGGATCTCTGGCCAACAGTTCCTGATATCGTGAACTGGACTCGAGTCGACCGATTATATCCAATGAAGTGATTATTTTAGGTTGACGTATGTTATCTAAGTATTTATATTCATAATTGTCATCAAACTTGTAGTCCATATAATTGTTGTCTTTAATTTTTGTGTCCGAAAATCGTGGCATTCGTTGATCGCATCGCCAGTCATATAACAGTCCATTAATACTGTTGTCTTCGGGATTGTTCGGGTCTATTGCTTCGCCAAACAGATTGCCCACCAGAGCTACCACACCGTTATCAACCAACACGCGTGTTGTTTCCCGCATAAACTTTTCAAAGTCAAACCAATGGACACATTGAAATGCTGTCACCAATTGGACACTATTTGTATCAATTGTTGACATATTTTCTGCTGAACAAATCTGTTATCAAAATTTAATCATTTAATTAAAAATATATTTATTGTTTTAAACACACAATTACTCACTTCATAGACAACATTAATAGGGTGTTGACTATCGGTGGCCACTTTGATCTGTGCCGCACTCACATCCAATCCGTAACAGCGATGAAAATATTGTGCCAAAGAGTTGGTTGCCTGACCCGAACCGCAGCCAACATCGACGGCAATGTGCCAATTGTTTGGACTAACTTTTTCACCTAGGTAATCTATTATTATTTTGATTACATTGTTTGGAGCAATACTTCTATATTTAGCATAAATATTGGCATGAATTGGATCTTCAAACAAACGATTATCTGACATATTATTACTAATTACTATAAATATTTCCAAAAAAATAATTATTATTTTTTAAAATCTTTTATAGTTTTTTTCAATACTATAAATAGTATACTTGACATAAAATAATCTAATGCAATGACATAATAGTTAATATATTTATCAATTTTCTAATGAAACTAAATTTTAAATTTATTTATATTTAATAATATAAAACTCTTGAATTTTATACACTTATATTATCAATGTTTTTCATTCAGTTAGTTCATGTTTTTTTTGTATTTATTATAACTCTTGAATTTATTAACGAGTAATTTATAATTCAAGGCTATATTATATAAGTACTGTAGTGTAGTGAGTGTTATATCATATTATATCATACAGTATAGTTTTTTTTGTTATATTATACAATACAATAATTAAAAATATATTTATCAAACAATTACTTTATGTTTATTTAGACTAAAATGTGTGATGCAATCAATTTGACACATGTATAGATGTAACCAAACATATTTATAGTTTAATTTATTTTTATTATTATGAAAATTATTATATTTCTACAAAATGTATAGAAATTTAAAAAATACATTATACAGTAATTATTGTACGATATTTTATTATTTATCAATCAATCATATTTTGTTTTAGTAAGAAATTTGTTTTTATTTTAATTTAATCATTTAATTTTCGGGCCAACACTACAAAGTAGTGAGTGATATCTAAAAGTTGTTTTGTGGACAAGTCATCTGTTTGGAGAATTTGTTGTAATTTTTCTGTCAATTCTTGTATTATAGTCTGTGCTGTAATGGGATGTTTGGCTGCCAGTGCCTGAATATGTGAAGCCGATTCTATACCCTTAACAATATCAATAGCCAACTCTGTTTTCTCTGTGCTAATACTATCGATGCGAAGGAACTCATAATTTTGGGGAAATTTAAAGTTTCGATAACTGTTTTCTAGAGATGAAAGTTTGGGATTTTTGAACGGTTGTATTCTGTCATCTAAATATAAATCAGTATATAATTGTGTAATACGATTGTCGTCGGGTTTGTCCGGATCGATGGTGTCGGGTATGAAATAGCCGACAAGTGCTACCACACCATTGATGACCAAAACACGCGATACCTCTGCCATAAAGTTGTCAAAATCAAACCAATGAACCGCTTCAAAGGCAGTCACTAATTGAACACTATTTGAGACAATTGATGGCAAGTTCTCTGCCGGACAAACCTATTGAGAATAAATGTTTTTTATATATAAAAAAATTATTTTAATTCAAAATCAATGTCTGACCTCATATTTGACATTATCGGGATGTTGTGACTCTTTGGCCACTTTAATCTGTGCTGCACTCACGTCAAACCCGTAACAATGTTTAAAATGTGGTGCAATACCATTGGTTCCCTGACCCGAACCGCAACCCACATCAACAACTGTATCCCATTCATTTTTATCTATTTGTTGACCCAGGTAATCCAATATTTTGTCAATTATAACAGTGGGAACATTAGACCTGTATTTGGCATATAAATCGGCGTGTTTTTTGGTCTCAAACAAGCGATCCGTCATATTTTCAATATTTTTTAAAAATTTCAATAATACTTTCTATCCGTATATAAAGATTATATGATATTAAATATCATCTTTTATACTGTACTTACTGTAGTTTTTTAACACAGCATTCATTAAATAGATTAAATGCTTTTTCGTTTTAATTACAAAATAGTTACGTAATGTACTTATTATACATTATTATTGCACAGATACTGGTAATCATTAAATACTGTAGTAATGTATTAAAAACTATAACTGCAGTTCACAAAATGAGCTAAATTTTATTTATTTTTTTAAAATTATGTTGCTTATTTTGTAATATAAAATATTCATCATTAATCTATTATAAAATAGTTGGGGTATCTATTTTTGAAATAAGCTAGGTAGTCTATTTTTAAACATTAAATTTTACATATGTTTTGGGAATATCAGGGAATTTTGGGATGTATTATATAAATTTATTATAAATATATAAAAATATATAGAATACTTAAAATATATATTTAAAAAAATAATTTAATATCGATTAAAGCATTTACAGCTAATTTTATTTTACGAAATTATTAATTACTAATTTTACGACCCATTGCTATAAAATAGTTATAATTCATTGTTAATTGTTTAGCCGACAAGTCCTCACATTTCAATAGTGATTTCAAATTATCGGTAAACTCTTGAGACAGTTTTTTTGCCGTTTGCGGCTCATTACTGGCCAGTGACTGATATCGGGAAGCAGACTCAATGCGGCCGAGAATGTCAGCTGCGGTAACCGTTTTGGTGGCCGTGATATTATCCAAGTAGTGGTACTCATAATTGGCTGGAAATTTATAATCGCGATAATAATTCTCAAGCTGTGATCGATTCGGGTGATTGTAGGCCATCATTCGGGGATCCCGTCGGGTATCGTAAACAAGTTTAGCAATAGTCCTGTCATCGGGATTACACGGGTCTATTGTATCGCCAATTTGATTGCCTACCAGTGCTAGCACACCATTATCGGCCAAAACGCGCGATGTTTCGTCAATAAACTTGTCAAAGTCGATGAAATGGACGCATTGAAAAGCGGTCACCAATTGGACACTGTTTGCTGTGATCGACGGTAAACTCTCTGCCGGACAAACCTAATGTAATTAAAAACACTTTCACTAAATATGATATACTATTTCTTTAATATATTCATATACCATGATAACTGACCTCAAATTGGACATTATCGGCATGCGGTGACTCTTTGGCCACTTTAATCTGGGCAGCACTTACGTCAAACCCGTAACAATGTTTAAAGTACGGGGCAATACTATTGGTCCCCTGACCAGTGCCGCAGCCCACGTCCACAACAGTATCCCATTGGTTTGTCGGCAATTTATGACCTAGATACTCTAAAATAGCTTTGATCACATTGTCGGCAACAGTGGCCCTGTATTTGGCATAAATGTTGGCGTGTTTTATGCTCTCAAATAAACGGATAGACATTATTGATATTATTATTATCAATAAAACTGATATTTTATACTTTCATATAGTTATTTTGAATGGGAAGTATTTTTTAATAAAATTGGAAAGTTATGAGAAATACCTTATCGAAGCACTGGTAGGTTTGGAAACACAGTTGAAATTTTTTTTTATATATAGGATTTTCTCATTGAAAGCTAAAGTAACTGTAAATTTACTGTTAAATTACAGTAATAAGTGATCACATGTTTTGCATGTTTTTAGACAACATAACCATTTGACTATTGCTGTCATCTATTGATTAACTAAATTGAAGTTTAATATTAGGAATATTGCTGTAATCATATTAATTATAACAAACAAAATTTATCATGCTAAATTATTATATTAATACAACAGTATAAGTTTTAATTTATGATATGTAATTACCAGATATTGTGTAATTTATAGAGTTATACTATATATTTATCGCAACTATTTATATTTACAGTATTTTTATTGATATTATTTTTTTTAATTATTTAATTATGATATTTAATTTAAAAGATATATGTTACACATTTTTTTATACATCATATTTCCTAATTGAAAAATATTTAAAATGTTAATATAACTACAGTATATATATAAAAAAAATAATATTATAATAATTTAATATTAATTTCTAAATATATATAATTGAAAGTAAATAAAGTATTTTCATTCAAAACATATTAGTAGTCAACGGGTTTTTTGCCACTAATATTCAAAATAATATTATTATTACAATATATATAATATGTATGTCTGCTCTTTGTTATTGTTATGTCTGTCTGTATATATAATTATAAATCATTGAACACATGACTTACACTAACAATAAAAAATAACAACACTTTTTTCTATAGGATTACATCACAGGTTTATAGTTGCATATCCAGAGCTGGGAAAGGCCTATCTTAGAGAGTGAATGAGAGGGAGAGAGTGTGTGTGTGAAAGAGRGAGAGAGWGAGAGAGAGAGAGAGAGTGAGAGAGAGATAGCTATGTGCCAGTACTTTGAAGGACAGGCATGTATTAGTTAACTGTATATATAAAAGTTGTAAAACTTTTCACTATTACTACTACTACTACTACTTCTACTACCACTACCTTTACTACTTTACTAGTGATACTAATACTAATATTACAGTCATTCAAGGTTTTTACACAATTCATCACATGTTTTATATAACAACTTAATATTATTTTTTTTATATATATTTTAGTTTGAAATCACATGAGAATAGTTTTTTAAGAGTCACTGAAAAATATGATATTTTGATTTTCAAAAATTTATATACAAAACAAAGTACACAAAAACACAGTGATTGTGAAAAACTATGAAAAAAGACGTTTCGTACGATTCAATTCAATTAATTTATAAATAAATAAATAATTATTTTTATTTATTATTTACCGAAGAAAAAATCAAAATAATAAATTCACACAAAAATAAATTATCATTTATTTTATGTGTTGTGAATAAAATCTTTTTTTTTTGTGATTATTATTATTATTATTTAATATAATATTAGTGTAATAATTGATTTATTTGTATGTATTGTTTAATATTATTATTATTTATTGCTTAATTCAGACTATGAGCACAATTACGTCAAATGCCAAGCCATACACACATACCGTGTTTGCTACGGCCCGTCACGCGGATCTGTACGCTAAGTTCAGACCGATACTGCCAGGTGTGGTCATGGACTATGTGTTGGCAAACCTGCGCCTACACTACGAGCCCCACGAGTGGGACATTGCAATAGATGTTGGCTGTGGTGGCGGTCAGAGTACACAAGTGTTGGCCAAATATTTTAAACAAGTTTATGGGTTTGATGTAAGCGCCGCACAGATTAGGGAAGCCCTCGACTCATATCATGCACACAATGTTCACTTTGATGTAAGTGCTCTCAAATGTTATCTTCCGTTCCTCTTAAAACTAGTTGTCCTATCAAGTCATTCACCCCATATATATATATATATAATATCATAATACTATCATATGTTTTAATGTTTATTTAATTACTTAATTAAATGTTTTTATACGATATATATCATATGTTTATATATACAGTATATATATATTTGAAATATCATGTTTGGGAACTGTAGGTTTCGATAGCCGAGAGTATTCCGCGCATTGAATCCAATTCCTGCCAATTGATAATTGCCTGTCTGTCCGCCCAATGGTTTGATTTGCCAAAGTTTTTCGCCGAAACCCGCCGAGTGTTGGCTCCGAACGGTATTGTAGCCCTCATCGGTTACACAATGTTCGAGCCCATAGACCCGGACCGGCCCAACGATCAAACACTAACCGAATTAATGCTGGGATTGCGTACCGATCCCGTGATAGCTCCGTATAAGTTGCCGAACGCCGATGCGGTTGACAAACGTTACCGAAATATCAGTTTTCCGGATTATTTTGAATACATATATAAAGATAATATCTTAAGTCAAATAGTGATCTGCGCTCAAGACATCATCGGTTTCATTGAAACCTGGTCTCCATATCAACAGATGTTCAAAAAGAGTCAATCGGAGGCCAACTATTTCCTCAAAAATTTTGAACAAAAACTAAAATCCATTCTCACTGTCGATGACTTATCTGAGAAACGGTTGTTATGTAATTACAGATATTATGTGGCAATGGGGCGCAAAAAGCCTACCACTTAATTATCATTCAAGTCTATACCGTCACCTCCTATGATATTATTATAATTATATAAATTACATAATTATTTGATTCATTAAATAATTTAAATTTATATATGACATAATCATTTTAATATATTGTATAAATATACATACCATGTGATTGTTGTATACATTATTGCTATTAATTGTCAAATAAACATATTTTTTGTTTTGAAATATAAATGTTTGGCTAATATAAGATATAACTGACGACAATCATCATTACGGTAGTAACTATTGGTAACACTATTAGCTAATGTTATCAAAACAAACATTATATTCAATATTCTCGATTCTGCAACAAAAAGCACTGTTAGCTCAGGTATAACATAGAATCTATAATATTATAGATTTATTGTAAAGTTTTAACATTTCTATAACATATAATGTCTGTCCCAAAAGACATCCCATCCATTGAACGGTATAATTGGTTATTTCATATACACTACGCTCGGGGCGAGTATGACCAGTGTCTCAGCCAAATAGATAGGTTGGGCACCTGTAGTGAGTATGCAGTCTATCTAACTGGACTCATACGGCTTCGCAAAGGGGACGCCAAAAGTGCTTTACAGTCTTTTGATTCAATTAAAACCATTAACAATCCGACGTATGTCAAGGCCATCGCCCGGTGTCTGACACTGTTGGGTCGGCACCAACAGGTATGCGACCTCATCAAAGAGATAGGCTTAAAGGTAACGCCCAACGACTGGCAAATGTGGTGCCTGTTTGGCAATGCTCTGCTGTATATCGGGAATATACAGCTGGCAAAGGATGCCTTCCAGAATGCACTTCAGACTACTAACCAGATCGAGCCGTTCATATCACTGGCCCAGTGCCACATTGCAGAAGCAGATTATAAATCAGCCATTTTTGTGCTCAGAAGGGCTACCGAGTAAATAACTGATCTCATAATTATATTTTATCTAATACTATATATTACTAGATTATCACCCAATGATCCGCAACTAACTATCAAACTGGGAATTCTTCTCATAAATCATGGTATGGCTGCCAAAGGTGTCGAGAAAATCCTTCAGATACAGAACCAGACCAATCCGGCCGATCTTGCAGTTGCGCTGGCAATTGGTTCGGTATTGCAAGACATCAAAATGGACATCGATTCGGCACTTTATCGCTATAAGGGAACCAATGTGTTTGAGAGTCCGTCCCTTTGGAATAATATAGGTCTGTGTTTTGTTCTCAAGAAGAAGTTTGTGGCCGCCGTGTCCTGTCTTAAGAGAGCCCTGTATTTGAATCCCATTGATTGGCGCATAAACTTCAATCTGGGACTCATTAATCTACAACTACGACAATATGCCAGTGCTTTTCATTATTTGAAGAATGCTGTGGCCAACAGTGGTTCCACTAATCTTAATATATTGTCACTGTTGGGCATTTGTTTAGAGTGTTTGGAGGACAAACAAAATGCACGACAGGCTCACCTAACAGCAGCCAAGTCGACCAACGGTACGTGGAATGCCGTTCCGGTTCTCAATTATGCCGTTTTTCTATACAATGAGGACAGCCATGAAAATAGAGACACAATAATTGAGCTGTTAATGGAGTTCGAGCAGTGCTGGCTTAAGAGATCACAAAATACTATCGACTTTGAAGATAATGTCATGAGAGTAGCCACTAGTCTGGCCACAGCACTCAGTGTAGCCAACCATATGGCATGGGTTAAGGAGGCCACACAGGCTAACCGTATTGAGGCCAATACTGAAGTTAATGTTACCGCTGCCGCTGTGACCAATGATGGCGATTGAAGTAAAAATATTTATACATTTTCTATATTTTTATTTCAAAATATCAAATAATTTGTTTAATAATACAAATACAGTTAAGTTTTAATACAAAATTCAAAATATTTTTCAAAATTATCTATTTATCTAATTATTGATTATATATCAAATTACTTAAGTTTTCAAAAATTAGTATCAATTTATATCAAAATTATTTAAATGAACAATAATTATATAATTATTTTTATAATATAGTATAACAAAATTATAAGTTTAATTAACAAAAAAATAGTATAATAAACATATATTAAGGAAAAAATATTTGTATTACCAGTAATATTAATTAAATTTAACAAAAACGAAATGCTGATTAACAAAAATTTATTATGTCATAAACAAATTTTAAACATATAAATTGTAAAAATTAAAAAATATATTTTTGAAAGCAAAAAATAATTGCAATTATAATTACTTCCTCTTATTTTAATTTAAATACTGTGATTACTGTATATCAATGATTAATTATAAATTTAGAAAAAATAATAATTATGTGTAATTATAATTGCATCCGATATCCTGAGTGCCGTTTATCTGGTCAACCATGCATTGGATGCGATAATTAAGTTATAGGGATAAACATTTTAACACTAATAATGCTAAGAATTAATGTATTATTATGCTAAATATATGAGTGACCAGATAATCGCAGTCAAAATTCATATAATATATTTATATATATAAAATAAATTTTGACTGCGATTATCTGGTCTTTCATATATTTAAAAATGTAAATAACAAATAGCATGAATACTAAAATGTTGAAATTTATAACATTACCATTTGATCCAATGCATGAATCACAAGATAAACAACAATCACATTTTTTGCTCATATATGAGATCAAATACGGGTATTTTGGACAATAAGTTTAATGGATATGTCCCTCAAATCAAATGATGTTTCAAACAATTGCTGAACCATAAAGATTAAACAATTTTCATTATCTGATGTAAAAACACCTGATCTGATGAATAAATCCAATGTGTCTTTAATACTATCGCTGATATCAATCCATTTTGACCGACGCATCAATTCGTTGACAATTTTGATAATTACTTTAAAGAAACGAATTTCTTGTTGAATGTCATTGATTTGTTGGACAGTGTTTTCAAATGAGTCGATCACAAAATACAAGATCTGTTTCAAGCGGTCAATCATTTTACAAAAAGACTTAATTTGATTAATATTTTGCATATCTTTTAAAATAACAGTAATGTCATCAACAATATTGATCTTATTTTCAATGGCCAACAATTGCTCTTTTGACGGAACAATTATCTCTTGTTGTTTGATTAAATTGGAGTGAAAACTGTCTAACAATTGGTTAATCAATTTCTCAAGTTTTCTATATAATGCAGTAAAAATTGCCTGCTTTTGGATAATCTTGATTTTCTGAATCAATTTTGTTTGATGTAATTCATTGGCATCAGTCAGACAATACATATTACGGGACCAATTGCATAGTTGTTGAAACTGACTCTGAATTATATCATTAAATGGCTGACAGTATGTGATAAATGTCTTACATTTGGGACAACATTTAAAAATCTTTTGTTTGTCATCATTAGTGTCTGTTGTTAACAACACTTTCAATGAATTAGCAGTTATAATGTGTCCACAATTTTCCAGTTCAACGAATTTTTCGGCTAATATCTCATCGTTGGTCATATTGTCGATACCCAATAAATCATTAATGTTTTCGATATTACAAACTTTACAAAATTTCGGACATTTTTCTCCGCAAATACCGATACATAGATGTCCACACTTAAGCAGCTTTTTGCATGACTCCCGACAGTAATATCGATTGCATTTTTCGTAACACAATTTCGTACATTTTTCGTGCGGACACTTCCAGCCACATATCTCAAGTTTTCCGTTATCTGTGGTCACACATGAAATACATAGTTGACTACATGTGTGCTGACATATGCCGTGAAAGCATCGATTTTCACATTTATGATCACACGGCGGACATAAATCGCCGCAACGACTCTGACATTTGTGGCCACAAATCAAAACTCGATTACACGGTTCCTCACATTTGACGTGAAGTCTACTTTGCTGACAATCCCGGCATAAACCTTGACATTTATGACCGCAAATTAATGTTTTCTTACATTTAGCCAAACATTGATTACACGATAAATCCATTTGATTTCTTTCATAGCATTTGACTTCACGTGAATGTCCACAATCGAGGTCAACGGTAACAACTGTCAAACAATCAGTTTTTTGCAAATCAATTGAACACTTGATGTTCACCATATGTTTACAAACGGGAAGTTGTCTTTCTATTATTTCTTGACATTCATTTGAATCGCACGGATCGGAACACATGAGTTTACAGTCGTGACCACAAATCAATTGTTTCTGACATCGCAATTGGCAAGCAATGGGTATATGACATAAACTCCAATAGCTATGTCCACAATTAGGATCTGTTTTGATGACACCGACCCGACAAAATGGTTGACAATCTATTCCACACTTCAGATCACATTTGTGTCCGCAATCGAGTATATTTTCGCACGGATTATTGCATATCATATCACCCGAACAAATCTCATCAATTTGATGACCACAATTGGGAATTGTTTTTGTTACGATTACTTCACATGGATTACACTCTTGGCCATAATGACACTTTTGTGGACATTGATGGTCACAATCCAATTTTTGTTGACAATCTTCTAAACATTTAATATATTGGTGACCGCCGTGACATCGTGTTTCAGGACATGGATGTCCACAATCCATCAAATGGATATATTCTTTAAGACAACCTCCCAATGGAGACTTTTCATCAAAATCTCGATCAGTTTTGACAAATATTTCTTCGGTTGGATGATTGGCACACTTGAGTTGCATTGATGTACCAATTGATTTACCAATTGATAAATGATCCCCTATTTGTTTCCACAAATTGCTGTTTTTGGCCAAAAAATTAAAATCACCGATACAATAGAGACCACGTTTGGCTCGGGTTAGGGCAACATTGACCCGATTGAGTGTCTTCAGGAAACCTATTTCATTATTGCGATTACTTCTTACAAATGACAATATAATAATATCGTTTTCTTCGCCCTGAAAATTATCCACACTTTGAGCTCTTAATTCACCAAAAATATCTGTCTGTGTTCTCAATAATCTATTGATTAAAAATAATTGACCGGAATATGGTGTCAATATTGTAATTTGATTGGACTCATAATCTTGAAAAAGCAAATGTTTAACCAAACGGATGACAAATAGTGCTTCAAATTCATTTGATTTAGTCTTAAGCTCTTCATTACCCAACTCATGATTTGAGTGACACATGAAATAAATGCTTCGTTTAATTCCTTAAAATAATAAATATTTAAAAAATTAAAAATTAGAAAATTAATTAAAATAATAAATTATATACCATTGATGTCAGGATATAGTAAAACACTTTTGTCGTCTTCAAGAGTTTTATAAATATTTAGAGATTTAATAACAGCCGATATTTCGGGTCTCATTCGGTGCTGAAGTTTTAACTGATTGAACGGCAGTTTGTTGTTAATCATGCGCTCAAATAGCGAAACATCCAAACCATGGCATCTACTCAACTCATATACCGCTGGTTGCGGTCTTAGCTGTCGGTGATCACCGATCAGAATCAAATGTTCAGTATTTTTGGTCACTGATGTAATTATATGACTCTCCAAAACTTCTGCGGCTTCTTCTACGACAATGATCTGTGGATCTATGGCTTCAATGGTTGCCTTATATTTAGCGGCACCAGTAGTGGTCATACCGACAATGGCTGACTCACCAATCAATAACATATCTTTTTCTACATATAGTTCTTGAATTATTTCTGTCTCGAAATCATATTTCTTTTGCAAAGAAATCATATCTCGTTTATATGATTTCAGATATAACTGAAGCCAACATCGGTATAGTCGCCACCGATCGCTGTAATTAAGTTGAGTCAAATCGGTTATCTTCTGGGCCTTATCTTCAGCCATTATATCCGTCAATTGTAGTTCTCGTTTCATTTCTCGCTGTAATTTATTTATCTCTTTTTTAGAGATCCATTTCAGTGATGGACGGTTTGCCAGAAAAATTGTATTTTTAGGTCCAATTTTAACATCTTTTTTGACTTTAATTTTGATATCAGTTTTTCGATCCGTTTCTCGCATTTCATTTAATCGATTCACTTCTTGTTTATCGACTACAGACTCAATCAAAGTGTAAACATCGTTACTATTGTCTCCTCTTTTAATAATTGTTTCTTCAGAAGGATTATATTTATAGCTACTATTATCACAGTTTGCTAACCATCTGACTAATGCCACATCCGATTCACTCCAATAGTTTTCCTGAAGAGATCGGATCTGTTTCTTAATCCAATTATAATTTGATAATTGTTTTATCAAAAACCGGGGATTCAATAAATCTGAATTACAATTTGAAATGAAAAAATCAATTCTTTCAATTTGAAATTGCATTTCTTCAATGTATTTAATCCGGGAATAGATATCGCGATTCAATTGCTTATATTGTAATGATTTAACATTTGCTGAATAATTTACTTTTATTTTGTCCCTGAGCTCAGTCAACGTATAATCTTGTAGTTTTTCACTTCGAGATCGACCACCGATTCGGATAATTTTATCGGTAAATTCAAGCATTCCTTCCAAAAACTGGTCCAATGCATGATTAGTGTAACATATAATGACAATTGGTTTCATATTATCGGGCGATCGATTCCATACATTACGATTTTCGTGTAGTGTTTGAACAATTTTGAGGCCAACATATGTTTTGCCGGTTCCCGGCGGGCCTTGAATTAGTACAAAACTTTGCAAAAGTCCTGATTTGTAGGCATCATATTGTGAATCATCGAAACCAAATGTTTGTGCTTTTGGCCACTCTTTTGGTTTTGTTATACAAACAGAATCATACGATTCTTTGTTAATAATACGAGAAAAGTTATATTTTGTCTGCTCTTTGACATAGAGTGGTCTCGAAATGTCTTTACGAATATTAATCACTTGTTTCTGAAATGGAAACGTTTTATCCGTCATCTTCTGCAATGTCTTCAACGTATACTTATAGGCCTCGAAATAGACTTCCGATTCGAACATCACATACTTTGTATCGGGTTTTCTGTACCGAAACTCATCAGTTATTGTCGACAATTCAAATTCCAATTCAAACTGACCAGTGGCCAACTTTATCGGGTTTCGATCGCCGGCCACAGTAGCGAAACAAAATGTTTTGAAGTTATTGGATGAAAGACATAATAGTGAACCAAAGATTAAACGTTTTGAGTTCTGTTTTGATAATAAATTTTTAAAGTTATGTTTGAATATTAATTAATTAATATTAATCAACAATTAAGTCAATATAATTGTTAATACCTCCCAATTAATGTGTAAATTTTTAGCATCAAATTTGGCCGTAAAATTTGTCACCCGATCCTCGCATCGCTGGCCAATAGTAACATCTCTATAAATTCGTATGTCATCTAATTTCTTCACTTTTTGGCCATTAGAGGTCAACTCTCTGTACTCTCTAAGACCCTTACGTAGCGATCGATTAAGGTCTTCGCGAAGCAAATTAAAGTGTATATTAAGATATTGGTCAACACTTGTGTAGTGACCGCGAGTAATGTTTGACTTTAATTTTGGCCAACAATTGGTATTAATTTCATCGATTGTCGGATATATTGATACTTTTCGAAAGTTTTTCATTTCTTTATCAAATAAAATCAAGTAATTAACTGATCCAATGATAATAAATAAACTGTTGCTTACCATTATTGGTCACAAAATTTTTCGGTAAATTTTGTTCTCTTTTAGGTGTTTGACCATCTTTAGTCTGACCACTCGTCTTATCACTCGTAATCTGACCACTCGTAGTCTTACCACCCGTTTTCTGACCACTCGTAGTCTTATCACTCGTAATCTGACCATCCATTTTCTGACCACCCTTTCTCTGGTCACGCGTTTTCTGGCCAACCGTTCTCTGACTACCCGTTTTCTGGCCACCTGTTCTCTGACCATTCTTTGTCTGACTATTCATTGTCTGAACACCCGAAGTGTGATCATTACATTTATCGGGTGCCTTACGTAGGCCATCCTCGGTATCGCCAACTTTGTCTAATCGTTGTCCTCTTTTCTTCGACTTTTTATTTGATTTCTTAGTGACCGGTAGTGTCGTTGACGGACTACTCTTCGTCGGTGTTGTTGTTGTTGTCGCCGTCAACTGTGTGGACACTATTGTCGGCATCTTATGACAGACAGACAGACAGCAGGTATTAGTTATTGTCGTAAACTTCTTCTTTAACACAAAAATTATTGACTAAAAGTATTGTCGAAACTAAGTGTGACTTCAAAGATGTTATTGCATTAGCAATAAAAACGTTAACCAATCATATACTGTATTAAAACACTAATAATCGTTGACTGTATGTAATGTTATGCAATATATGTGTAATAGTTATTAGGGTTTGAAGATATACTGGAAAACGTAAAGTTTATGAAAAATATTATTAAAATTTATTGAACTAATTATTCAAAATACATATAATACGAGACAATTAAATTATTATTAAATAATATTAATATTAATATTATTTTACAAACAAATCTTATATTTATAATAAATTTATGTATATAAAAAATACAGTATTATATTACATACTGTTTATTACTGAAATGTTTAAAAAAAAATAATAACAATAAAGTTTAGGAAATAAATTTATTAGAAATAAGATATTCAAGTGTTGTCAAAATAAGTTAAACTTACAATAATTTAATATAATGTTTGACATCAACTTTAAAAATCTTATTTCAAAGTTTTTATCAATAATATAACACTAAATATTTTTGAATACAGTCTTATACCATAGTTTTATACATTTCAAAAAAAAATTAATACAGTATACTATAGTAATACCTGAATTACATCAAAATACTGTATCAGTTTTGTTTGGAAAGTGTTAACAAAAAAGTTTACTTTAAGACTAACGAATCACTGAACGACACATACAGTATAAATGTTTTTTATTTATGTATTAGTTGTGCCATACATTTGCTAAATACCAGTGTCTTAAATATTAATAGCATTTAAATACCGGTACAATAATATGATGCACATGTATTATTTAATATATAATTTTTTAAATAATGTTTTTTTAATGCTATTTATATAGATGCAAGTTATTTGCAATTTTTGATTATATGCGCAAAGGGTTATATAATTTTTTTATATATATAAATACATTTATTAAGTTTTAATTTACTAAATAAAGTTGGCATTGAAACTATGATTCATTTAGTAATTTATAACATTGTGTCATAGAGTAGTACCGGTAATATACTATTTATTTAATTAAAATATTTATATTTCATAATAGTTAGAAATATTATAATTGTGTAAATATTATACAAGAATATTAATTCAACTAATTCAATGCAAATTTAATAAATTATACATGTATATGGTTTGATAAAAAAATAATTTTAATCTTAGTCATAATTTTTATCAAAAAATATTAATGTACCGGTAATAACATTTTATATAATCAATTAATTTACTTTCATTTTTAAAAATATATTAATAATATAATTTTATTTATTAATATAAGCAATGTTTATTATCGTTAATATAAGATAAATATTATTTCTAAATTAGTTTTATATGACTAATAAAGCATATGTTTAAAATTCATAAAATATACATATAAATGTTAAATGTATAGTTATCTTATCTTGTATTAAAAATAATTATTACATAATTTATTATCACTTTTATTATATTATTTTATTATTTATTTAATAAATGTAAAAAATTGTATAATAGGTTTACACAATTATAAAACAGTTGTTTAGCAATTTATATGAGAATATTATGCAAAAGTTTTTAATAAGATCCATAATTATTTGCTTAAGTATTATATATAACTTTTAAAAAATAAATTAATTGAAATTATTATTTAATTGGCATTATATATATTAAACTTATAAATTGACAATAAAACAAAAACTACTTATTAAATAAAAATAAAATAATTTAATTATTAATTATCATAAAATTAAGATTTTCTTAAAGACAAACAAAAGTTTGTAAAATTTGTAATTTAATTAATAAGTAATTAAAGTAATAATAATAACACTAATGATAATGAAGATTAAAAAAAATTATGATCGACTTAAATGTTTTCATATTTTTGTTTGGGATATCCGTGTTTCGGTGCGACAAACGGTTCGGGATTATTGACGCGCCTTTCGTATTGCATGAATGTCCTGACGGCACAACATATGGTCAACAATGCCGTCACCGCAACCAATACACCCAACAAAAGCAATACGAGACCAATTCGTTTGGCAGCACTCGTATGATTGTCACCAAACCAACTGTTCGCTGGCGTAAACAAGAGTAAACCGCCGATGACTGCCACCACTGCTGCCGTACACACCAAACAACCCATACATTTAAGACAACACATGAAATAACTCTTTTCCTTTTGGTAGCGAAGAGTTAACGGATTGTTTTTTATGTCCATCGATGACAAAACAATTTCAGATCTCAACTGAATAACACTTAAACTATTGATATGATTGTCGTTTTGCTTGAAAATACTGTACAATATATGAATAAAATCAATAAAGTTGTGTCAAAAAATATCAACAAAAAAAATAAATGATTTTATTTCTCAGAAAATTCAAAATATTATTACAATTTGTGTTAACAATATAATAATACATTTTGATTGATACTAAACTTTTATTAATTAATTACAATTTAACAATAATTAATTTACAAACATTAAATGAAATAATTTTAATTAAATAAAAATGTATAACAGTTTTTCAATATAAAACATCAATTATTATTGATAACATTATTATGTAATGTATTTTAAATTATTATTATTATGACAATAGAGTTGTTATTCAACGCGTGATTCAAATTATTTAAATCACAAAAAAATTATTACTATTATTATAATATTATTCTTAACAATTGTTGGTTAAATTATAACTGTTTTTTCTACTAAAAGATTTTCATTAATTTATTGAAACATTTTTGTTTTGTTTTTTTAGTTTTGTTGATTGAATTATGTTAATAGTTAGTGATATGACTGAACAAAAACAACAAAAACAGGAATCGCGTAATAAACTGACAACTGAACTGACAGATGAAATCAAAACTATACTCAAAGATCAAGACATAGAAATGTTAGAACCTATAGATAATGGCAGTACAAGTATTGTGTTTAAAGGCTTACTAACCATAGATGGAGGTCAGGTAGTAGATGTTGCCATCAAGTTTGTCAATTTGGACAAACAGAGTGATAAAGTCAGAAACAAATACATACCACAAGAGATCAGTCTTGTCGAGCGTCTCAAACATAAACATATCATACGTACGTATAAAGTGGTTAAACACAAGAACAAGTATGTGTTTATAGTAAGTGAATTGGCTGACGGAGACCTAATCAAAGTATTGGAAAAGGGAGAACTGTTGGATGAAAAGTTGGTCAGAGAGTGGTTTCGGCAGATAGTAAAGGCCGTGGAGTACATTCATAGGAAGGGTGTGGCGCACAGGGATTTGAAGGCCGATAATATATTGATCGTCAAAAATACGATGAAATTATGTGATTTTGGTTACGCCCGACAGTCCCGTAATGATGACGGATCCGTCAAAATGGTTAGGACACTTTGCGGTACTATTGAATACGCATCACCGGAATCGCTGTCCCGTTTGCAACCGTTTGACCCAATGGTGTCCGACTGTTTCAGTTTAGGCGTAGTCTTATATACGATGTTGACGTTGAACTTTCCCTTTGGTTCAGGCGATTGTGTCCGCAGTAAAGAAGGTAGAAGTGAATTGTTGGCCAACATTAAGGCTCAACAGTGGTCACTGCCGGACAACTATAAAGACAATAACAATATCTGCAGTTTACTAAAACAGTTACTGAATCCCGATCCAAGTGGACGAATCCGCAGCTGTCAGATATTATCTCATCCGTGGTTCAGTACAATACCATCGACTAATCATTTACAACAAACTAACGGTTCTCAATAACATTTATACAGACTATATGTAGTAGTAATACATTAGTCTCATATTTAGTATAAAAATATTATAAATATATAAATGTTATAAAGAATTTGTTACAATTATTGTAAAATCTTATTGTAATTTATTGACAATTGTATAAAATATTTTTTAATCTTAATTAACCACATGTTATGAGAATCATCACATTTTTATACATTAATACATATCATAAAATATTTTATAGAATTTATTATAACTTATTTATTACATGAAAATCTATATTAATAAAAATAAAATAAAATGATTTTATTTAATTAATAATATTATTCACAATAACTAAACAATAGTATACAATCGAAAAGAGAAATTAATTTTGATTTCATACATTAACATATCTATAATATAAAGCTTATATTATAAACGATATCAATAAATTATTGAAAATAAATTTAACTTTAAATAAATATAAAAAATAATTTTTAAAGACTATATTATTAAAGCCAAGCTATAAAAAAATTATTTTTATTTTATTTTATCTAATTATTTCAAACAATTAGTAAAATATACAATTATTATTCTACCGGTAATTGTTTTACGCGATAATTATTCAAATGTTTTATTTTATTTTCTTTATGTCAAACTCTAAAATCATTTAAAGTTTTAATTGTCTGATTGTTTATAAAATGTATAAATATTTAATGACATTAAGGTGTTTAAGGTTAGTTCATTAGTTATTTAATTAATAAATTTATTTTTTTTTACTTAATGTACAATAATATTATACAATATAAGGCACACTATTGTTGGGACAGTAATCACTTCTATACATTACTTCTATCATCGCAAGCATACCAACCAATTTGATGGTCCATCAAATTGGTCGCTCAGTACTATTATGCCATTATTTTGTTTAAATAGAGCTCATCTCAAACATAAAGAGTGGGATCAGATATTTACAGAAGGAATCAGAAAATGTGTTTTAGTGTATATATTAGGTCGAGATTTTAGGGAAACAGTGAGCGGCACCGGTACTATAATTGTTAAACATGAGGATTACAAATGGATTATAACCAATGCACATGTTGTGGGACAGGTTAGCACTATCAGCATACACGGCAATCAGGTCAAAGGTCAAGTCATATTTGCCGATCCCAGTGTTGATTTGGCGCTCATTGAATGCGAGCCCATCGATAAGCTTAAGGAGTTTAAAATAGCAACAAAACGACAAGTATTTGGTGACGATTTAGTGACAATTGGTTATATGAGTTGGTATGTCCACAGTGGACATGACATAATCAATTGTCCGGACAGTCTATATTTAGCCAATGAAAACAATGCTTATCGCATAATTTGTTCGCCATATACCCGACAAATACACCATAAAGCCATAGAACCAAGCGGTTGGTCTGGCGGTCCCACCATTAATATGATGGGACAACTTATCGGTATTAATAATGGAATGTCTAGAGTTATGGGCAGTTTTTCTATACCAGTGCACACGTATCTATTAGGTTAGTTAGTTTTCTTCGTATAAAAGTATAAATAATATATTGTATTAAATTTGATATCATATTTCTGTGTGTTGTTTAGATTTTCTTAAAAGGGCTGAAGAGTATCGCAAAAATCAAGAAATTAGACGTAAATTTGAACGATCTATTAAATTGGGCGTTGAATTGGATGTCCGATATAATGATAACAATCTTATAATTAAAAATAAATTTGTTGATACAAATATCAAGTACAGTACAGTATTGATCAAAGTTGATAATAATTACTAGTATATTGTTAAGAAATTATTGTTAAATATTTAATAGTATTAATGATAAATTGGTGGAAATTAATGGTCAACCCATGGAAACACTGAATCAGCTAAAAGACATACTCAATAGATTGGATGACAATAGTGTGCTATCTATTACTCTGGTATCGCAAACCAGTGAACATCCGGACAGTAAAACAGTAAACATTTCAGCACTTGATTTATCGTTAATTTAATAAATTTTTTAAATAATTAAATTATTGTGTTGTTTAATATTTTTATAGATAATTGTCAATAAATTAAATTATTAGTTTTCAATTTACAGTAGTAAACAATTTTATAATAAACAAATATACAGTATAAACAAGTACAATTGTATAATAAACAATATTGTAGTAAATGATATAAAGGATTTTATTATTTTTTGTGTAATGATATAATAAAATATTTTGTACCAAAACAATTAAAAGTTCTTAATTTATGTGAAAATAGATTTACTTAATTGCACTTAATAATAAATACTCTATAAAATATTTATTATTTATCAATTCAATAAAAACTATTTATGTAACTAATTGCAGAATATATTTATAATCTAATTTAATGATAGGTATTAAATGTGTATAATTGTACTGTATTTTATAGACATATTAATATTAATAATATAAATTTACAATAACTTAGTACACAATATGTTAGAGCTTAGGTACAAATAGTGCATATGTTTTTTTTTATTGAAATATGCAATCAGTACATTAAGTACTAAATATAATTAATTAATAATAATAAATTATTATCACAAATTAGTACATTGGGATGATTGTTGAATGCATGCAATAGCAAATGGCATCTTTAAGCTAACTAAGCTCTCACTGGTAATTTAGCTTATACAGTATTAATGTCATTTATAATATGTATGTACTGGTTTGCACTCATGGTTAACATTGCTAATGTTAAGCTAATATTGCAATTACTTTTTTGTTATCATTTTATCAGTTTTATAGTTATAACTTATACTGTAAATCATTTGATTATTTTATTATTCATCAAACATGTTCTACAAACATATATAAATAGTTTACTACAAATGAAATATATTGTCAATCAGTCTATTAATGAAATATAATTTTATAAATAAATATATCTAAGTCTACATAATTTATTTGTATTGACTAATAAAGTATACTCTAATTGTTAGTATATTTAAATTATTGTTTAAGTTATTTAGTAAAAAGTTTGTTTAAAATGTTACTATTATTGGTGGCATTAGTTGCCGTTTTGCTGGTAGTCTACGTGGTTTACCGCAAACGGCACTTCTCATTATTAGAGAGGAATGGTATCTATGGCCCTAAACCAAGTATAATATCCGGAAATATTGCTGATGTTGTCAAAATGCCATCCATTGAAAGACACGACAGTTTGGTCAAAAAATATGGTAAAATTGTAGGATATTATATTGGATGGCGTCCAACGGTTTTAGTAGCCGATCCCGATTTGGCAAAAAGTATACAAATTAAAGATTTCCACTATTTTGCCGATAGGCCTCATATGACACTGAAACACGGTCTACACCCGAACCCATCGCTGTCGAAGATGTTGATCCGCGATCAGGGAAAGCGCTGGAAGGAAGTGAGGAGTGCACTGACACCGACATTCAGTGGGGCTAAGCTCAGGATTATGACACCTATTGTCAATGACGCCATCAATAACCTCCTCGATATCATTGATCGCCAGTCGAAATCAGGCGAAGAGTTTGACATATATGATATGTTTCAAAACTTGACTACCGATGTCATCGGACGGACAGCTTTTGGTATACAAAGTAATGTCCAAAACAAAGAAAACGACAAATTCTTAAATGCGGCCAAAGATGTCTTCAATATGTCAATCAATCAGTGGATGTTTTTTCTTATTCAATGCTTTCCGAGCACCGATACTGTACTTTACCCGTACAGACGCTTCAAAGAAATGATTGACCATAAACTGGGAAAATCACCGAACGGTATATTATTAGATATGGCCAGAGATATCGTTCAAATCCGAAAACAGAATCCAAATAATCGTCGAAAAGATTTGTTGCAACTTATGTTAGACACAAAAATATCAACCGATGACATCTCATACGATAAGATGGTCGCCGGCAATGATGTCGACGTTAAAGAAAGCGATAACAACAACACATCCACCAAAAAGAATGGTTCTGCAAATGGCGGCGGAAGACGACTAAGTAAAACTGAAATCACTTTAACTGAAGAGGAGATCCAAGCAAACTGTGTCCTCTTCTATGAAGCCGGTTATGAGACCACAAGTACGGCTCTGGGATTTATGGCACATATACTCGTTAATTATCCAGACGTTCAAGAAAAGGTCAGACGAGAAGTACAACAGTTGTATGAAAGCGAAGGAAAATTGGATTTCAATACAGTCAACAAACTCGAGTACATGGAGTGTGTGCTCAATGAAACTATGAGAGTATATCCGCCGGTCATCACATTTGTCTCCAGAGAGTGTCTCCAGGACTACAAATACAAAGACATAACTATACCAAAAGGTGCAGCCGTTCAAGTGGCCACATATTATCTGCATCACGATCCAGACTATTGGTCCGAACCGGAAAAGTTTGATCCGGACAGATTCAGTGCCGAACGTAAACATGAGATCTACCCGTCCTCGTGGCAACCATTTGGAAGTGGACCGCGAAACTGTATTGGTCTCAGGTTTGCTCTATTCGAGGCTAAACTAGCGTTGGCTAAACTGTTGCTCGCATACCGATTGGAATCGGTACCTAAAACCGAAATCGGCAAACTGACCACACAAGTCAAGATACTAACGCTCACACCTAAAAATGGTGTCTGGGTTAAGGCAGTCAAGCTATAAACTAATTAAAGTTTAATTTTTATGTGTGATAATTAATATTTAATGCAAATTTATATTCATAAAAAGTTAATAATTTTTATAAATATAGTCTTAAAAAAAATTATATGAATTCTCATTTTATTTAATTTTAATTTTGTAACATTTAGTAATTGAAATAAATATTTAAATTATATGTTTGATTATTTTTTATTATATAGTACATTTCTAATTATTTTGCTTATTTATGATTTACAAATAAAAAATCATAAAATGTAGATTCAAATAACCTTGGATATATATATAATTATCTTATTAACTTACAGTTAGTGTAAATTATTTATACACTACTCAAATAATTTGATAATGATTGTTTTTTAGCAAATATATAAATTGATTTATTACTTAGTAAATAAAACAAGTTTATAATTAAGGATTAAGTTATAATACAATAAAAAAAATAAATCCTTTAACTAATTTCACTAAAATAATTTATAATCATTGTAAAACTTTTATGATAATTGATACAAAAAATTTAAGAAAATTTTAATATAGTTATATAATTATTAATTTTAATAATTTTTTATTAGATATAAAATAATTTAAAATTTTTTAAAATACAGTAATTATATTGTAATACAAATATATCAGACAGTTCAATGATAAACGTTATCAAATAATAAAATTGGTTAAAATGAATAGCTAATTATTATACAGTACACAATAATGTATTAAATAAACACTTAATAAAAATTTAATTGATAATACATTACTAGTTATACTTGACAAATGATAAAATTACTAAAAACACATTTTTTGATCATTTATTTTTATTAAATGTTCTAATGACTAATTTGAAAAAATAATGTAAAACTAATTAATTATTATTTTTAAAAATTAGACATTGTTTAATAAATTTAAATATGTTATTTTTATTAGTTATAGTTTTATGTGTACTATTTGTATATTTATTTTATCGACGGTTGCAATGGATGTCCAAATTGAAGAGGAATGGCATTCGGGGCCCAAAACCGCACATAATATTTGGAAATATGTTTGATTTCAATGGATTGAATTCAATAGAAAGACAAAATGTTTTGCTTCATAAATACGGTAAAGTTGTCGGCTATTACAATGGCGCCAAACCAACGGTGCTGGTGGCAGACCCGGAGCTCTCAAAACACATCCAAATAAAAGACTTTCAGTATTTCTATGATCGCCAGCATTTTGTGTTGAAATATGGCACAAATCCTATTCCCGTAATGAGCGGTGCCGTCCATCGGAGTCGAGGCAGCCGTTGGAAAGAGATTCGCAGTATATTGACGCCAACGTTCAGTGCGGCCAAACTCAAGACAATGACACCACTGATTGATGACGCGATTAATACTTTATTAGAAATGGTTGACAAAAATTCGCGCGAAGACAACGAGTTCGATATCTATGATCTGTTCCAGGGATTAACTACTGATGTGATCGGACGCACAGCTTTCGGTATACAAAGCAATGTTCAAATGGATCCGAACAACAAGTTTTTGAAAGCGGCCAAAGATGTGTTTGCCGCCCGACCGGGCAGTAAGTGGTACTCAGTTGCCGTCAATTGTTTTCCTCAATTGGATCACATTTTATACTACTATCGTCGCGCCGAAGAGTTACTTAAAGATCGATTGGGACGATCACCAACTGGTATACTCTTGGATATGAGTCAAGAGATAATTAATATAAGAAAAACCAATTCAAATATGAAACGTAAAGACCTCTTGCAGTTGATGATGGACTCGAAAATATCGGGTCAAGAGTTTTTCGATTTAAGTGATCATAAACTTACTGCCAGTACTGATCTACAAGAAAGTGATGTCTCGAATAATATAGAATTAGATACTAGTCTTCAAACAAAAGTTGCCAAACATGACATCCGACTGTCTGAAGATGAAATCAGAGCTAATTGTGTACTGTTTTATGAGGCCGGGTATGAAACGACGAGTACAGCACTGGGATTTGCCGCACATATACTGGTCAACAAACCCGAGGTTCAGGAACGGGTCAGACGTGAAGTGCTGAAACTATATGAAACTGAAGGACGGCTAGACTTTAATACCGTTACCAAACTCGAGTACATGGAGTGGATGCTCAACGAGACTATGAGATTGTATCCACCGTTGATTACATTTGTTACACGAGAAACCATTGCTGACTATTCATACGGTAACATAACAATACCGAAAGGCACGTCCGTACAGTTTGCCACATATTTCATGCATCACGACCCGGACCAATGGCCCGATCCGGAAAAGTTTGATCCCGAGCGGTTCAGTGCTGGGCGACGACATGAGGCGCACCCGTCATCGTGGCAACCGTTTGGCAACGGACCCCGTAATTGTGTGGGCATGAGGTTCGCATTTTTTGAAATGAAACTATGTTTGGCCAAACTATTGCTCAATTACCGACTGGAACCGGGACCGCGAACCGAAAGGGGAGAAATCACTGTCGATACCAAATTGGTTTCATTGTGTCCCAAATACGGTGTATTTGTTAAAGCCGTCAAAATTAGATAAAACAAAATTAATTATTATTTTGATATTTTGCTTTAAAATAATATGCAAATTATTAATAAATTAGATTTACAGATACTATTGTAAAAAAAATTAAATTTTTTATTTTAATAATAACTTGTTGACCACTATAATTATAGTTATAATTAACTTAAGTTGACTATATTAAATAAATAAATATATATATATATATATATATATAATTTTACAATTAAAATCATAAATAAAACTAATTTTATTTAACTAACAAAATAATTAATTAATTAATTTCTGTAAATTATAATTGATAAATTTACTATTGTAAATAATAATTATCTACTATATTTATATATACAGTATAAAACTTTATTTAATAAAAATAATAATAACTAACATAATAGTAAATAAATCAAAATTGCATCATGTACATTTTTGTATAAAAAATAATAATAACTAAAATGTCATCATGATCAATTTAGGGTTCAATTGCCATACAATTGATGAACACGTGATTTATGGAAACACTTGTTATTATTATACAGTGGGAGTCAATCATATGCTTAAACAATAAACACAATGCAATTGATTGTTGTTTGGGTTTATTATTATTATTATTAAAATATAGTGTTTAGTATTAACTGTATATTAATATTATTACTGTTTTTATAGTTATTAATAAATGTTTGCTATATTCGAAAGTGTCATTTGATATAAGGATTATAATTAATATAACAATAATATCCAATCAATGCATACAAACAATCAGTGTGTTTGACATTAACAGTGAAAACAACATTACTGTTACATTACTGCAGTCAACAATACATACAGTATTAAGTGATAAACCAATTGATAAACAGTTTGTTATCTCAACACAGAGTCTTGCGGTGATAATGGGTATCATTGTGTGACTGATACCACTGCTAGAGAGAGAGAGCACTGGTAGCCAATAATAACTGTTCTCAACAACTGATTAATTAAATACTATTTAACGCAATATTATGTTAAGCTATGCGATGGATGACAGCAATCATCGACAGCCACAACAACAACAACAGCAGTCACTTCTGCATCAGTCATGTCGTCATTAAATGTAAAGCCATTTCCAACAATCAAAAGGAGTGTCTCAACACCGGGTACTCTGCTATTCAATTGGCGATCACTTAATGTAAGACAAGTAACACAAGACATCTGTTTTGTAATATTAGTTAAAACCTGTTTGCAGAGCGAAATGGATCGCATGGACAGCCGTTTTCAGTTGTTGTCGACAACAGCTAACAGCGGCTCTTCTCCGGCCAACAGTTCGCACACCAGTGACAGTCAAGACGAATATCACAGTCTGACGACACCTGATATCGTCAGAAACAAGTCCGTCGATTACTATAATTGGTCGCCAATTAATACATTCCGGTTAGATGTTGGCGACTATCACTCAAAGTATGACAATATTCATGATGTACTTCGTGTCGCACCCGACGATTTGGCCACACAGTTGACACTAATTGATTTGGCTATATTTGTCGACATACGATCCGAAGAGTTGTCGTCTTGTCAATGGAATGGTAGCAAAAAGTTGCAAATATCACCAAATGTGGTCAAATTTACGCAAAGATTCAATAGAGTGAGTCATCAACTTTGTGGTCACTCAACCATATCATTAGTCACTCCTCTCTTACTTTCTCTCTCTCTCTCTCTTTGTCTGTCATTAGACAGTTAAATACATTAATTTAATCCATATGTTTACTCTTTAGATTTATTTTATTTATTTAATATGTAATTATAATGAAATATTAGTTTAATTAGTCATAGTTTGAGGAAAATCTGAGAAATTTTAAAATTAATAAAATAAATGTTTATTTCATTTTTAGGTCAGCTTTTGGGTAATTAAAGAGATCTTAGAGCACAAGTCGGCCAAACATCGGGCAGAGGTTTTGAGTCATTTCCTCAAAGTTGCCAAACGTTTACACGACTTAAATAACTTGCACTCAGCGTTTGCAATTACATCAGCCCTGTCCAGTGCACCCATACATCGATTATCAAAGACATGGACCGTAAGTACTAAATAAATACTATTAAATATTTTAGATCTGATTGTAATAAATCACAAATATTTTTGTTTTGTTTTTATAAACTACTGTATGATTCAGTGATAACATTGTTCAATAACAATGTATTATTGGTTTTATATGATAAGATATCCTGTATTATGATATATGATATTTAAATATTTAACTTTCAGTTTCTAAATTGTTTGCTAAAAAATAAAAAATAATTTATTATTGTTTGATTTATCTTTATTTTCTGATTATTTGCCAGAATTTGTCAAAAAAAGATAAACAACTCTATGAGCGTCTCAACGAATTGTTCTCCAGCGACGACAACTTTGACCGATTACGGGACCATTTGTCTCACACGAGAAACCCATGCATTCCATACCTGGGTCTCTATCTGACGGACATTACACACATAGATGTGGCCCATCCGTTGTCCAAAGGAAAGGAGACACCGAACCGAAAGCATAAAATGGATTCAGTGCTCAACACAATATCCGAATTTCAGAAATCAGTTTATGGTATTAATTTGATGATAATAATCACTTTAGATTACTATTGATTTTATTGTTTATTTATTTATTTGCAGACAATCTTCCAATTATGCCAAATCTACAGAAATATTTATTGTCCGTTCGATATATCGAAGAGCTTCAGAGGTTCCTCGAAGAAGACAATTTTAAGTGAGTTATTATTTATTTGTTATTAATTATTGAATTGTTTGTTTATTTTTATTTTTTATAAGGAAATCTCTATCACTTGAACCGCCAGAAACTGACGGCAAAAGTGTATTTTATGTCCGCGAACTTAGCCAAGCAGGCGGTTCGCAAACCAACTCGACCTCCGGTGATCAATCAACACTGCAAACACCTTTATCTCATAGCGGGACAAACAATAGGCTGTCCGTTAGTTTTAACTGTGCCGACACTCACGCCAACGCTAACTCAATGCCAACTTATAGTAAGCGAATCCCGTTTATTGCTGGTCACCGAAAGTCTCATAGTTTGGGCACAAATGTGTTGTCGACAATAACGAGCGCCATTCCATCCAATACTAAATATTTGCTTTCGACCCATCATTCAGATGTCGAGAACAAGAAAAACATTTGCCTTATAGATGATAGTCCTCTCATTGAAGAACCCGTTATACATAAGTCTAGAGATATTACCGAACAGACAGTTACTGTCATTACATTACCGACGATCGAAATTATTTACGACGACGAAGAACTAACCGAATTACGAAAAGATGTGGTCAATGATTATAAACAATATAATAGATATATTGAAAGAAATATACCGTTCATTAGTGGAGATATACTACTTCAAGGAATGGTTAAAAGAAAGACTATCTTAAAGGATGGAAAGAAACCTTCTGTAAGTTTATAAAATTTTTATCTTAATTTTTCATAACTAAATTGCAATTATTAATAATTAAATTACAAAACTGTTTGTTTATTAGATGGCCGGTTGGGTTAAATACTGGCTGATACTACAGGGCAATCATTTGTATTATTTTGATTCCAAACAATTTAAGACATATCAAACTGATATTGTAAGTACTGTTTGGTTTTTTTTATCCGCTAACTAATGTATATTAAATAATTACCGTAATATATATGTATATTCCTTTCCTACATCCAGTTTCCTTCAAATCCTCTAAAGTGTCGTTCACTCATCGGTTGGTCGGTATCTCTGTTTGAAGACACACAATATACGGATACCTTTCGATTGTCAGACAATTACGGCAAAAATATGTACAAATTTCGTGCGCCAACACCCGGACAGGCCTACGAGTGGTTCAAAAAGATTAGTCAAGTGGTGGCACAGTTCAAGTGTCGACAGCAACCGATCGATTCACTCATTGACTTTTGCGACGATTCCATAAACTGCAAGAATTATAATTACCTGTGAATTAGTTATATTTGAAAATATATTATAATTATATTTATTTTGTTTTTATATAAAAACCATACTATAATTTACTTTATTTTTAGATATTTTTTATAATTATTATCCACACTAAATAACCAAAAATTTTTTTAAATACTAGAATTTTAAACGAAACAAAGTAATCAATTGATATTTAAACTCGTTTTTGATAATCTATTTACCGTATTATATACTGTATATAAATTAGTTAACTCTATAATGTTATACAATATTCTGGTATAATTTTTAAATAATCATTATTTAGTATATGATATACATGTTGTGTATAATTTGTTGATAACATTTATTTGTATTTTTAAACATGCATTTGATTTCTAAATGTATGTTTCAAAATAATCACTCATTTTTTACTCATATTTCTATATAACTATATATAACATGTTTTATTCTTCAACTTAAAAAGTTTGATAATAAAAAACATTCATTTTATAAATAAATTTTTAGACAAAATATCAATATATAATAAATAAAATTATGAAATAAATAAAAACGCTTTTTAAATTAAAATATAAAATTCATGAAAATTATTAAACAAATAGTTTTATAGTATTTGTTTATATATTATTTTTATAAATGCTTTAAATGTCAATTAAACCAAATGATAGTCTGTTAACTCAATTTAGAGCAAACAATGACAATATATTTATGATAGTTTGGGTTAATTGATTGTCATTAAAATTGGTCATCACTTTGGCCACAAAACCATGAAAGCCAGTCAATGATTTCATTTGACTCCGACTCTTCGTCCGAATATTCAATCGTCGGGTCATTATGTGATGATCTCCGCTTCATTATGTGCTGGTCGGCTACCAATCGTAAACAACTGGCCAACCGTTTAAGTACTGATTCACTCCACTCTTGTTTGACAGTCCAAAGAACGTCGCCCTCGACTATCTTCGGTGTTGTGATATTATTGCCCAAAAGTGTCAACAAAATCGACTCGTATTTGTTCCAACTTTTGTACGATGATATTGATCTCTCCGATAGTATAACCAAATTTCGCGGACAAATAAATTTATCGACAATTATACTGAATTCGCGCCAATAATCAACAAATCTTTGTACAACACTGTCAACTAATAGATCGGGTTTGTTGGCTATGAGTGCCATCAAAAAATCTTTAACATTGACATCAATGAAATCAAGTGTACGTTTTGGCAGTTCTCTAGATTTCCGTCTCAATTGTGACAAATCACTGACCAAATCGCATATATTTATTGTCTCAATTTGGACTAATTCAGGACACTTGTATAGGTCGGCCATCAAATCACGAACTGTGTTAAACACGGGACAAATATCGACAACAGTTGACACGTCTTGTGGCTCTTCAACATCTGGCGTCACATTCGATGATTTGTTTAATTTTTTCTTCAATCCATTCTTTAGATTACTTTCCACAAGAGTAGTCGTAATATTCGTTTGGATCCAATCGACACACGTTTTCTCTGCATACTTAGTGGTAATACTAGTGGCAAACTCGTAGACAGTCGGATCAATGTCTTCATTGAGAAGAAGTGGTAAAATTTTGGTAATTTGTTGCGCACAGTAATCGTCAACAAAACTATTACACTGTTGATGAATGCAATTAGTTATGACAGTAAAGTCCAGGTCATCGACGGTCAAAGGGTCTGTCGATTCAATGTAACACTGTTTGCATTTAACAAACACTTCAGTCTTCACGCGGCGAATACATTTCGATGCAATTCTGTCCGACAAAAAGTCTACGGTCTTCTTGAGCGACGGTGAATGACCGGTGAAGAACTGATCTTCAATTTGAACACTCAGATCGTTGTTGTCGACGACGACAGCCATGTCTTTGGAACTATTGGTGTTCTTCTTCATCGGCGAAACAATTTTTGCCATTGATTTTGTTGTTGGACATGTCATCGGCGGTCACAACATTTTTTTGGTGGTCAACCAAATATGTCAACCGATGATTGTCTTGGATCTCATCTTTATTTGTCTTAACCCATGCTTTCAATACTTGAATATTGTTTGTAATAATCATTAATAATAACAATATAATCAACAAATGAGTCCAACTGTTCACACATTCATTGATAGGTCACTAACCTATACATCATATGTAAAGACCGCCCACTTGTCAATCATTTTCAGTGTTGACAGTTGTATCAAAAATATAAGCGGATATATAAATCACATTTTATCATCATTTTTATGGTAATACTGTATAATAAATCTAATAGACAAATGTCCATGATACAAATAATAATAATAATGAAAATTTATTAGTAAAAGTACATTTGTTAAATTTTATTGATAACAACAAAAACAATAAACAAATTTATAGCAATGTTAGCGCATTAGCTAATACTACTGTAGTATTACATACCAATACATGTAATATTGGTTGACATCTGGCGCTACCAAACAAACTCTAATGTTTTATTTGTATTGAACTTTGTTTTCAGCAATAATTTTATTACATTTTATTAATAATACAAAAATATATTCACAAATAACGTCCCAAATTGAGTCAACCAAAAAAATATATTGTATTCAAACATTCAAATATCTGTAATATTACTGTAATATCAATGCATTCAATAGACAGTAATACACGTAAAAAACCAAACATTTTTGTTTTTGGCGTTCATTCGAATCAAATGATTATCTGTTTGTATGTCAAGTGTTATCTGTTTTTTATATAAGACATCAAAAACACTATTATTTTGCGGCAAAACATTGCAATCAATCAATTAATTTGGTTTTTATTTTAAGAAAATTTTATTGTTTTTATTGTTTTGATTTGGTCTCAAAAAAGTGTGTTTAAGTGAAACAATGGATCAGTTGAATGACTTGATTAAAGCTGCCCTCACAGCAAATACTGATCAACAGCATCACACCATCAATACAAGACCACTGGAAATCATTACCATCGATGATGACGAAGAAAGTATTGATGATTACGATGACAACCATAACGACGACGAGGAGGAAGACAAATACGAAACCGTCGTTGAAAATGAGGTCAATTGTTGTTTGCAGTCATTGTATTTGATATTAATATCTCATGTCTTAAAATTGTTATTTAATTTTATCGTTCAGATCGATGACATTGAGATTGTCGATGAAGTGATCCACAAATTACCTGATATGCACGCAATTCGTAAGGATATCGGCCGAAGACTTGATGAGTATATAAACGATACAAAGTCACTGTTGGATACATTACCTGATGATGGACTTGTAATGACTAGTCTGTTGGACAGTTGCCATACAATTACTGCCGTAGATAATGGTGAGTATAAGACACCATTGCCAACCAAAAGTACCATCAAACGCATTATACCCACACCAGTGGCCACCACTTCCTCATCGCCTCACGAATCAGATTCAATACCGAACAAAATAAAGAGGATTTTGTCGCCGAAAAAGACGAAAAAAGTGAAAGACCCGAACAAAGTTAAAGCCGATCCCGACGTTTTAGTACAAAGCTATTTACAAACATTCAGTCATCGTATGATTGAGTTGAACGGTAGCGGTCAACAAACCGAAGATTTAGCGGATAAACTAAATATAGTTTTCGATAAACTTAAACAAAACAACAATCCGTTTCTTCAGTCATCACAGTTTGAAAAGTTGGTGACCATGTTTCGGGACGAAGTCTCCGCTATGACCAGCGATTTCCGTGTGATAGCCCATCACAACGATCTGCTCATCGAAATGAATCGATTAACTCAAGAACCGAAAAAGGCGGCGAAAAAATCTGCCGTAAAAGATAAAACTAAAGCTATCGAGAGATTGACACTGACGTTGAAGAAGTTGCAGCGACAGATGGTTGACTCAGAGAATGAGGTACTCGACTACGAGGCCATGGGTCAGAGGTCAAAGTTTACTGATATACCGAAATTGGCGCGTCGTATACAACAAGTCTGGGAGAAACGCGAAGAGTTGCTCAAGAGGTCAACCAATTGTGGCCGAACGGCATTCAAGCGTTTCAAATACGAAGGAACATCACATCCAGACATTAATAAATGTGTTGAAGATATTTTCAATACACATATGAAGAAATTAAAATCATTGAAATCCAGAGGCTATGTGGACGAGTCGTTTACTTTTATTGATTTACGCAAACAGATTCTCGATGTGATTCAAGAAAAAAATCTGTCGATTATGAACACAGAGTCGACGGTTGAAATGATTTATAGAGATTTGTTAAACGAAAAGAGGTCACGACGTATGCAAGACACGGAAGAGACAATAGAAACGCTAGAATTGTTGGACGATTTGAAACCCGAAACAATGCCAACCAATGATCCGGAAGTTGAGATCGAAATTGCAAAAAATAAATCGCTTTACGAACGAAAACTTCAGGATTTGTTTCAAAAATATGCCGAAGAAGACAAACGAAAGAATGGAGACCTTATAAAAAATGGATTAACAGAATGGGAGAACAATTTGGATGAAGACAATGAAGAATTTGAATCATTGGACGTTAAAGAAGGAGAACTTGAAGCCGAGTCTTCTGATGACGACGAAGATAAGGAAGACAAAGAAGAAGAAGAGAATGAAGAAATTAATTTCGGCGATACATCGGTCCCTAACTTTGACAATAGAGAGACTATTGAAACTGAAAATATAACTCTTGACAATAACAACACTATTAATTTGGACAGTAGTCAAAGTATTGCCAACTGTGCCGAAGAAATATCAATTTGTTAATCATTTGAAATCTCGTTGTCATTGTATATAAGTTATTATTATTATTATTATTATTATACCGTATAATAGACTTAAATTATAAACACTAACAATATATTCAACTTTGCTTTTGAAAGTAATATATTTTGTATAATCATATCATTTCATAATCTGTATATTAATGTTATGGTAATATAAAATTACATCTATAGTTGATTTATATTTGATTTTGCATGATATTATTGAATGAACATTATTTAAAAATAGTTAATATAAAATAATTTTATTATTATAAATGATGTATAAAAGTTTATATTCATATTGTACTTATTATTACTGATTATTCTAACATTAAAAATAATAACCAGTAAATGTGATTCTAATATATCTGTATTTTATTTAAATTAATTGTTGTAATTAATACAATAATTTTTAATTGGATGCAATTTATTAGATTTTTAAATAAATGAATTTTTTATTAATTTCATGAATTTTTGTATTATTATTATAATTATGATATTTAAGTTGATAAAATTTAAATATAAAATAATAGAAAAAAATAATTAATTAATTTCTAATGTTTTGAAAATAATATATTTTATTATTAATATATTATTTAATAATTAGTTTTTTAAATAAAACATAAAACAATAATGAATTGCCAAAATATCATTACTAAAAAAATGACTGATTTTTCTCACTAATATAAAACTTGTTTTTTTATCTAATTATCTCAAAAAATCTTTAATTATATTTTTAAATACACATTAATTACTTTTGTCTAATAATATAAAATAAATTACTATTAATATCAAATATAGAAGCAATAGATGATTCATAGAATATTTTTATCTTGATAAAAAATCTTATTTTTAACTTAGCAATAATACAAACAATACAAATCAATTAAATATAAATTTTAAATTAATTAATAAATACAAATAACAACAATATAAATATATAAACAATAAGCTAGTTTAGTGTATATGTAGAATATATAAGTATATAAATAGGATATATTTCTAATAAAAATTGAAATTTGATAACTTATTTTTTGGATACAAATTTTTGATAATTTTTGGTTATAACTAATTTTAATAGCAATACTGCAGTATTAATACATATAAAAATGAAAATTATATATTATTTATTGATAATAATGTCGGTTTATATGATTGTTAATTGTGTTGATGACGATCAAAGCACAGATAATGGCAATTCAACTGATCCAACAATCAAGACAACCACAACAGATAACCCGACGTCTACTGTAAGCTCTGATGAGACAACTGTCACTACTGTCCGATCATTTGGTAATACAGAACATCAACAACCAAGACTTGCAAGACATTCAACTGATAAACCATTGATTGATCAGAAGTCAGGATCAGAGGACGAACCGATGGCATCGGACCAAAAGATTCATGAGATCAGAGTTCCGGTCAAAGATGATTACCGTAAGACAATCACCACCGGCGATGATCTCGCCTCCTCTTCTACAAAGTCAAGGTTTGTGTCCAATAATATTAATATAAATTATTTAATACAATATTTATTCAAAAGTATTAAAATATTTTTCAAAAATGTTTACTTCAGTCATATTTTTATTTATGTTATTGAAAATATATTATACAATTATACGAAAAGTTTTTACTATTAAATAAATACCTGTTTAAATAATTTCATTTTAAAAGAAAACAATTTTTTTGATAAAATACTGAATTATATATTTATATATATAATTGAAAATCTCATATCTCTATAGCTCTGAAGTTTCAATCATCAGAAAAGTTTTCTACTATTTGAAGAATAAAATAATCGAAATATTTCTCTATTTATTAAGTTTGTTGACCACTACTGAAGGCACTACCGTTGAAGACAACTATACGGACAACACGGCGGCCACCAGTGCTGATGAAGTTCGGGAGTAAATATTCATTACTAATAAATATTATTTAATATAATATTACAAATCATTTAATTTACAATACTTATAATGCTTTAATTTTTTTATATCAATTATAATAATTAACATAAAATTTGTATCCTAAATAAATAATTATATTTAGTTAAATGTTTATTAGCTAATTATTATTATTATTATTATTATTAGTCAATATAATTTAGTTTAGTTTGCTTTTTAATTGCTTTTAATAATTTTTTTGAAAATATAATTTAGCTAGATGATTATAAAAATGTTTAATTTGTATTTAATAAATAATAAAATTGAATTTTTTGAAAAATAAATTATTACTATTGTTTGCTAAATGTTATAACTTAAATAATAAAACAAATTTATAAGTGACTGATAAAAATTGTATTTTAAATACAATATCAAGCTTTTATAGTTTAAATAAAAGTTTAAACTTTTAAAACACATGTACTGTAAGTAATGTAATGTAAATTATTAACTAAAAATTGAACTAAAAATGTATAAAAAAAATTTTAAAATGTTTTATTACAAAAACAATATATTTAATAATTATTGATTAAATATGACCTCTAATTGACCTCTAATTGACCTCAAGTTTGCCAATAAATCACGTGATATTAGACTTACGAAATAGTGATCACATGAGAGACACTTAAGATTTGTTCTATAAATCAATTGTCAGATCATTTAAAAACCCAATTAATTGCCGAAAATACGTGTATTTACGGGACATTATCCGAACACCCGAACAGTTCAAATGGCCAACAGATTATCGGATGAAGACGTTATTCGAGTACTAAAGCAATTGGGAATCAAAGTAACGGCCGAACAGTTGTTGCGTCCGACCAAAGATCTGGTAATTCAGTTATATGTCAGCATTTTGGCCGAATTCGGTGTTTACAATGTATCGCAACCGGACATTGAGGTCACGTCGGGCTTTGATGACATATCCAACTACGAGTCGGTTATTCAAGTGGTCAATATTAAGAATTTAGTGACCAATTTTGTGTCATACGATGGTATCCGTGATGTGACACTTAACGATGTGGTCAATCCTAATGGTCGCCGAACTAAACGTATATTGCGGTCATTATGTAAATTGGTGCTCAAGTTATCGGACATCACAACGGTATTCAATCGTCGAAATCAATGGTGTGTCGACCTTCCAGTTCGCAGACAAGCCATCGAACAGCGTATTCGGGAACAGAAGAGACAGATTGAGGCCAAAGCAATGCATTTGTCGACCAATAAGTGTCAAACAGTGGCCATCAGTAGACAGTTGAAAGAGATGGCCAAAAATTTTGAGACAAAAAGGACGTCTGCCATCAAACTCATCAATGAAACCAAACAAATCAAGTCATCGATTCTTCAACAAAATGTATGTTAATATATGATATGTTTTGATGTCTTTGAGTTTGATTTTTGTTTGATTTTATTTTAGGAGGAAATCAGTGAACTAGACATCAAAATCAGTAAAACTAAAGAAGATATCGAAAAACTGAATGAAAATCTGGTAAAAAGTCCGATAAGAATACAAATGAATACCGAGAAAAAAGAGACAGAATTGAGTGACAAACGAAACGAGAAGAAGATTTTAGAGAAACAATACTTACAGCTAATCAAAGGCAACGATAGTCTTAAAGAGTTTTCTCATAGTTTGAAGCCATCACTAGAAACGCTTAGCAAAACATTTAAAGACATTGAAACGATTCGTCAAGAATGCCAAAAGTTGTCGGACATGAAGACTGGAATGAATGCCAAACTCGAGAGACTGAAGTCAATAGATGTTCGGATCGGCGAACAGGAAAAGAGTTGGAAAACATTGAGACAACAAATGGTTAACAATGAGAAACAATTTGATTATCAGTTTCGGACATTGAAACAGATTGTCGACGGCATGAAAGGTGATGTTATTGTCAAGAAAAGTAATCAATGCGAAGCTAAGCGTCGGTATGTCGACCAACGCAACCAATTGTTGTGTCGACTCAACCAACTCGATGGCCAATACAATGCATTCAAAACAAACTGTGCGACACTTGAGAATAAAATATCGCTGCGAATGAATGCCCGCATCGATAAAGTTAACGATAAATTGAATGATTTTAATAATATATTGGATATAAAAAATTAAACATTAAATTAGTTAACATTAATAATATACATAATTTATCACATGTTTTATTAAATAAAACATTTAAAATATTAAAAACCGGGTTTTAATATTTTTAATGTTATTTTTATTGTAAATACAGTATAATTTTATAATTCAAGAGTTATACAGTATTATCATATTGTTTTTGTTTTTCTATTTATGCATAATATAAGAATTTATTGAATACTTTAATATAATTTTATTAATAAATGAATTTTATTATAATTGTTTGTTAATTAATAATAATGATTAAGAATATGTTAAGCAATCCGATTCCAAACCCTTACCGCCATATTTCTTGGTCTCACTTCATCATTGGAAACATCAAACTGGAAGAACCAGGGATTGCCAGTAGAACCGGCCTTAATCTTGGCGTGACCTCCCTTTCCAATAGGATCACTCTTATCCTTATAACCAGTGGCGTCGGCGATCTCAATCATTGCCAATCTGGGAGTCGATTCTTCCTGAATCTGACCAACCGGTGCGGCCGAACCACCGGTAATTCTGAAGAAGACACCCGCATAGTTAGCGCTGACTTCTTGCCACTTAAATGTCGGCCATATATCTTGCGGCGCTTTCTCTTTAGGCAACTGTACGTATGTAAAGCCAATTGGTATGGGATTAGCTTTTTTCAGTGAATCCATGTCTGCTATAATTGATTGCAATTGTTTTCGTTCATTCAGTAGTGTCTGTTGAATCATATCTATTGTCCACTTCTGTAGCTTTTGGCAAACAAACAAATTTTTTTTCGTACAGTTTTCGTCGTCCCATTTGCCCATATCTTTGGATTTGGGGACCATTTGTAGGCAATCTTCATTTGTGTCATTAGTTGGTGACCCATTCAGCCAATTAGTATACGGACCGATGTCAGCCTTTTCTTGAATCCACTGAAACACTTTTCCCTCCCGATGGCCACCAATCCAGACCTCGTCGACTACTTTATGTGTGATAAACACTAGTTTAGTGATAAACTCCTGTTCGTCGGCGTTGTGTATTGTGGCCAACGTTGCGCTGTTATTCTCGCAGATGGCCTGAGCCGAGTCGTACGTGTGTTGACCTAAATCGGTATATACACGGAAACATCTCTCATCTTTAAAGGAATCCCAATCACCGCACACGCCATCCGATCGGATATAACTGACTATATTTAATAAATGTTATAAATTTATGTGAATATAATAAAATGTTTTTATAAATCACATACTTGTCAGTAAAATATCAAATAATATTAATATATATTTTATAGTATTCATTGTTAGAATTATATACCAGTATATGGTATTATTGCAATGTTAATGAATTTAAATTATTATTTAAAAGAGTATAATTACTTAACTTTGATTTTATATTTACCGTATTTATAAGCTATTTTGATAATTGATAAGTTATTTTAGACAAAGACTATTTAAGTATCGTTTGATAACTAATAAATGATTATTATATTTTCATAATTTTTTAATTGATTATTATTTTCCTATTTCTAATGACTTACATTAGACAATATGTTAACAATGTAGTGATATCTAATCTAAAAATATTTAATTATTAATAAAAATTTAAATATAAATAAAAAATGTGTAAACTTGATTTTAATTTATAATTAAATATTACAATATATTAATAAATAACTTTTTATGTATAATGTTTAATAATAATAAAAATTATATGAAATTGATAAAATTGTTAACCACTAGACTCTATGAATAATAATAGTACAAAAGTCAACAATTTTTTTATTGATAATACTATAATAAAATATCGTTTAAATAGTTAATCATTATTATAAAAAAGTATATTAAATTTTAATCTGTTTAATGCAAGGATTGAAAACAATTAATATTCATATATTTTATACAGAATTTGTAATATTATTTGAAGTACTGTAAAGTCTTACATCATTACAGTATAACTATTGACATCTATTTTTAAAATAACTGTCAAATAAATGTATATTATTCTAACAATTAATTAATTATATAAATTTATTGTATTAAAGAAAATAAATAGAAACTAATTAAGATAACTAAAGTATTAATCAGTAAAAAAAGTTTAATAATTGACTTTATATTTAAATAAAAATAAACTTTTTGAAAACCATAGTATTTATTTTGAATATTAATTTTTGTATTTCATTAACAGCTCTTTATAAAAATTTCCAATATATTGTAATTTTAAAAATATATGTAATTATTATAGAAAGTCAACAATTAATAAATTACCAAAAATTAATTATAAAAACTTTTTTAAAAAAAGACATACATATTAATCATAAAAAATATTTAAAAAATTAATTTATTATTATTATTAATAACATCATTGAGACAAACATTACTAAAACATCTGTTAAAAAAATTGCGAACAGTTTATACAAACAAAAATTTATTTGAAACAGTTTTATAAAATGAATACTACTTTATATGTAATAATTTATAAATTAAATTTTATCAATTTTAATAGACAAATAAATAATAAATTGATTAAATAAATATATATATATATATATTTTAGTTCAAGATTAGTGAAATATTTTTACATAATATAACCAAATATAGTGATAATAAATTTTGTTTACTATTGATAACTCTAAATATTAATATTTAATATTATTAATTCATATTTTTATCGGATGATACTATTATTATTTTTTATGTGTGTATAATATTAACGTTATTATAAATTTCCTGATCAATTTTTTTTAGTTGATAAACGATTAGTTGTTTGTTTGTGTATACGATTTCCTAACAAATTAGATTCAATGTAAATAAATAATAATATATATGTATTTACTATTTTTTAGATAATATGATAAAATATATTTTTTATTAAAAAAACGACAATATTAACTATGTTTTAAAACTTGTATAGTGTATTAAATTTTTGTTGTAATATTTTTTTCGATAGTTTTAATTTAATATACTGTATCATATGTAATATGTTTTGAAAAATAGTTTTAATTTTTGTTATTGAAATTGAATTTTTAATAAATTACAATATTATGGCCACAAATCATAATAATGTCAAACATATTGATAATGATAATAATGACGAGAAAACAATAGACAGGGAACTGGAGTTCAAAAATCGTATTAAGTATAAGGAGTATCGGTTTAAGTTAGTTATTGTCGGCACGTTTGGCGTCGGAAAGACCAGTCTTATGATACAACACTTTGACCGACAGTTCACCGCAGACCCGAAGACAACAGTCGGTGTCGACTTTCGGCAGAGAAAGTTTCATTTGAACAGCGCTTCGGTGATACTCGAAGTCTGGGACACTGCCGGTGAGGAAAAGTACTCAAATATTGTGCAAATATATTATCGGTAATTAAATAAATATTATTAAATTTCTTATGATTTCTTTTAAATGCTTTTAATTATTCATTTTTTTTTGTTATTAGCGGCGCTCACGCAGTGGTAGCCGTCTATGACATTAGAAAACGATCGACATATACCCGTGCCTTACAATACATAAAAGAGATCAATAATCAGGCCGTACCTCCATTGGTGATCGTATTGGTCGGAAACAAACAGGACCTGTCCAGTGAACGTGAGGTAGACTACGAAAGTACATTGAAGTACGCGTCGGCCCGTAATCTAATATTTATGGAAACTTCGGCAAAATGTAACTCCAATGTCGACCAACTGTTTGAATCAGTAGCCGAACGGTTGGTCGAGGAGTGTGTCCGACGAAAATATGAGAGCGATCTGAGAAAGAAACTACAGTTAGAAAGTCATAGTATTCGGCAATCGTCGACACCAGCTATCGATCGTAGAAACAGTTGCTGTTCGACCTCATGATCTCGATTACAACACATAAACTACTGGTGCTATTAGTTATCAATTTGTTTTTGTTTTATTTAGTTTAGTAAATAAATGTTTCAGTTCATCAAAACAAGTAATCTAATAGTTAAACATCAAATTAAGCATTTGGGACACAAATATTGTGTTTATGTGTGAGTCTATGTGTTTGAATGATTGCATATCTGGTTAAAAAAAACAAATCTGATCAGATAATTAGGCAAATGTTGGTTAGGAAGTGCTACCTGTGCGCACATTTGACACCTTAACCATAGCCTATGTGTACCGGTATCTGTGTTTATAGTACTGTATATTTATCTGTAAATGTTTATAATGACTATTAGGGTTTTTAGTGCCAAAATTAAATATAAATATTATAATATTTTTTATTTTATTTTGTGTCAAATTGATAGCAATTCAATAGATTTCTCACCATTTCATTAAAAAAATACTGGTTTATGTAAAATATTGTTTAAAATATTGTATCACTTGAATAACAACAGTAAGACATATTGTGTACATTGAGTTAATCTATTTTATAAAATAAAATTTAAATTATAAAATACAACTTTAGATAAACTAATTAATTTGTTTGACAATAATTATTATTGATGATTAAAATATCTAAAATTATTTCTATATTGTTTTTTAATAATATTCTAATTATTAGTATAGTATAACTTATATTGTAATATATACTATATATTTGTAATTTTCTATTAACTATGAGAAATTATATAAATATGCATTTATATAAATTTAGTACAATATAAGTAAAGTAAAATATGTTTATATTTTTAGATATTAATAATGCATATAAACATAAAATTAAGTTAATTTACATATATATATATTAACAATATATTTTAAAATTATTGTATAAACTTAATAATATGAATAGAATAATAATATGTTATATTTTTTCGCAGACATAATTGTCTTTAATTATGTTTAAATAATTGTTAAGTAATAATAATTATGCACTTAATTTGTTTAGAGACAAATTAAAATAGTGTATTTATTATTTTGTCACTATTAATACTAAAAAATATTTATTATGTCAATATTATTTATGGTAATGTTAATTATATATTATTATTTTATCAATTATAAAATATTTAGTAGTCTTACATTACATATTACCAAATGAAAAATCTTTAAAAATATTACAATATGAAATATATAATTTAAATACAAAAAAAAAACTTTTTTCATACAAATTTAAAGTTGTATAATTTCATAATTTCATTACATTTTAAATATAAAATTCAAGTGGTTTTGAGCGCAAAGATTTTTTAAATAGAAGTTTAATTTACAATTAAATTTTAAATATATCTATAATACTATTGTGAATTTTTATTAGGAAAAAAATAAAAAATAATAATCATAACAATATAAGACAAGATCATCAATGGCATAGCTCCGGGTCTTTCAAATTCAACCAAACATACCTTTATAGTGTACATAAGGTACAGTATATTCTGTTTATATTGAGGCCATATATTTATCAAAGGGTATGATTGTAAAACATAAATAAAATAAAATGATTTTTTATGTAATAAACTATGTTTTGGTGTTCAAACAATTATAATTTATACAAAAAAATTGGTTAATTTTAATTTAATTTAAATTAACTAATTTGAAACACAAACTTGTATTATTTATTTTATTAATTATGCAAAAACCGCATAACTTTTTAAAAATATTTTGCTTTCAATTTCAATCAATACTTCCAAATCTAATACATAAAAATTGTTTTTGTTGTTGTTTTTGAACCAAATTTTATTTTTTTATAAACACATGTTTTCAAACTAATTTTTATTGCATTTATTATTGTTTTATTTTATTTTGTTTACAAAGTAATAATAATAATAAATTCAACAGTAATTGCTTATTGAAACTAGTGTTCAAATAATTGTTCATAACTTTATAATATCATACATACATACATACAAATTACTGTTTTGTAATAAAATAAATAATTTGCTAAATACTAAAAGTAATACTAATAATTGAATATAAATTTGAAATTTAAGTGTTTTGTAATAACATTATTGTAGTTTAAAATAAGTATTTTTATGGAAAAAAAAATTAAATGTATGTATTTTAAAACCTGCTATTATTAGATATATAACCAATTAACTTCTATATTGATTTTTTGACATAATATAAGTTTATAATATATGTGTAAAATTGTGTGCATATGTATAATAATTTATATGATGTGTTAAATTTGTTATATTTATTTAGCACTCATCGATAATTACACACAAACTAATGCTTTTTTTTGCCCAATTAACCTTTCAATTGTAAGTAAATACAGTATTATTATTAGACAACAAGTTTTTTTGTTTGACATCAATTGTCATTAATTATCTTTATGTTTGTTATTAATATAGACTTTATTTATAAATTGTGTTTTGTGGTGATAGATACACGCAAATAGTAAAACATTAAATGTTAAAACATTAAATGTTAAAATATTAAATTTATATCATATATGCAAAATAATAATAACAACAAAATGTGATAGTTTGAAAAAAATTTATTATTTCATTTGATTTCATATTTATCAAATATTGTAAATTATATTATGAAAAATTATCAATAATAATAATAATGCCATCAATTTGGAGTAAACTATTGATGCCCGAGTGGGCACTGCCCTACAATTGCTATGAAATTGGTAAATCATTTATCATATTTTAAAAACAATATAAATATATCAAATAATGTAAACTTTAACCTAACTGTTCCCATCATAGGCCATACGTGGACGCCTTCATGTGAAGACGCGGCTATAGATGTCTGAATCAACAATTGAATCAAAATATTATAGATTATAAAAATATATTAATATTATTATTAATTATTTTTTTCAGATGACTCTAACGGTGTTTGTAGAGGCCGTCAAACTGTATACACCGTTATATTTGATGAGCGAAGTTATGCGTAGTCGTCGTCATCGTAGCCAAAAATGGTCACTTCAGTCGGTGGTCACTTCGGTGGTCAGCAATACGTTGCGTTCATCAAGTTTTCTAGGATTTACGGCTATGTTAATGATGACAGTGTTTTGCAATATGAGACGATTTACCGGTAAATATCTAATTTATACAACAAAAACCTACTGATACCTAACCTTACACTTAAATAATGATTTTTGTGTATACTGTCCAAAAAAAACTATCCAGGTAAATTTTATTACACACTATGCGCTTATCTACCGGTATTTCTCAGCAGTTTGTTTGCCATACTTATCGAGAAGCGGTCGCGAAGGGCTGCGTTAGCCATATATTGTGCTAACATTGCCAGCGAAACACTATACAGAATGTTAGTCAACAGGAACTACATTAGACCCGTTCCCAGGGGTGAAGTCATACTGTTTACGTATGTATTTATTCAAAATAAATGTTTAAATGCAATCAATTTTTGAATATATGTTAATTACCAAACACTATATATAGTGTTTCAATTTCAGTCATTTTACTGATAGTACGTAAGTATGGCTATGGAAAGGATGCCGTCAGCTCTGGACTTAAATTTATTTTGGGTGCCGAAGAAAGTGGCAATTATGTGATAAACCACCGGTGCTCTAACAACATCAAGATTTCCAATAATAATAATAATATCAACAACAATAACAAAATTAGTGATAAACATAACAGAATTTTTAATAATTTTAGTGATAAAATTAAGTCATTAATACTAGAAATGGACAGTTGTGTTGTTAGACACCCTAAATGTAAACATACATATAATTCTTGTCTATTGAATACTCTGTGGTATTCAATGAGAAACTTTGCAATCGGTTGGTCGGCACAGTTAGTATTGTCGGTATTTACAAAACAAAAGTTTTTGAAATTACCGATTACCACATTTATTAATGGACTGACCGACAAACGTAATATAAATTTTGGACTATTTTTAAGTACATTTACAGTAGTCTACAAATCAATGATATGTTTGTTACATAAAACAAATAGTTTACCGCCTGAATGGTATACTATTATAGCTTCTCTATGTGCTGGTAAGTGTGATAAATAAAAAATTTATGACCACTTAATTAATAGTATTATAATAACAAAATTTTGAATTTAGGACCAACAATGTTATTATCGACATCCAGTATGAATACAACAATAACTATGTATTTATTATGGAAAGCCATAGAAATGGTTTATCTATTGGCCGTACGTAATGGTCTGTTAGGTGGTGTCAATCAGACAGTAATATTGTTGTACGCGATATCAACCGCACAGTTAGCATACGTGACAATACTGGAGCCGCGCGCTATGAGATCGTCGTATTTAAAATTTATTGATCGCATAACTGGCCAAAAGCTCAATAGTTTCAACAGATCAGGTATTTTAAAAACAAAATATTACACTAAATGCATATATAAAATAAAGTAAAAATCATGTATTTATTAATTATTTGTTACAAGTGCTGGACGTTTTTGGGACAGGCGCTTCAAAAGGTTACGAACACATACAGTTCCCTAAGTTATGGTTTCAATATACAAGTCGACAGTTTAAGGAAAATGTTTTAAGTTGGCTTATCTGATAGTAATAATAATTATTATTATTAAAATAAGTTATATTTTATATTAATTAGTCAATAAAATAAGTAAATTATTATTATTACTATTAATGATTTATTGCAATTATACAGTACAGACAACAATTATGCTTTTTTTAAATAATTTTATACAAAAAAAAATATGAAAATAATAAGAATTTTTCTAAGTAATCATTTCAATTAATTATATTTTTAACAAAAAATAAAAAGAATCTTTTATTTATTTTTAATGACATAAAATACTGTAAAATAACAAAAATAATAATAATAATAACAATAATAATAATACATTAATTTATAATATTGCTACATCTAATAATTACTTGTTGTACACTGAATAAATTAGTTATCAATAAAAGTATATTATTATTGTATTGTGAATAAAATAATTTGTTTGAAATTTCAAAACAAAATAAATTATTTTTATTTTTTCTTAACGCATTAAATCTTGATAATGATTTACTATTTAAGTATTATTGTTATATACGGTATTATACTTGTATAACAATAATATTAATAAATATTATTATTATAAATATTATTAAAATGCATAATAATTTTCAATAGCAAGTATAGTCTACAATGAATAGAAATCAATATACAGTATATATATATATAGAGTATATACTGTATATTATATATCAGAATATTCTAAACTATATTTTTATGAATGTATTAACATTGAAGATATAAATTAAATATTAGATAAGAATATAATTATTTTCATAAGGATTTCATAATAACTATTTTGTTTCATAAATAGTTTGCCTGTAGTTTGGATATTAGAAACGGAGAGGATATTCATTTTAATAATAATAAAATGATATTATCAATTAATTATCATTATTTGAAGTAATCATATTAAATACACAATATATTTAATCTACAAAATTTTATAATAATTAAAAATTTAACTAAATAAAATAAATGTAATAAAGTATTTATATTTCTGACCTAATATTATGCAATTGATATATCTTTTATATAGTAAATAAATTGTTGTATATGATTACCCGTTACTTAAATATTTAATACATTTTTTAAATAACACATATTAATCTATACTAGATTTTAGAGTATCTTAAATATACTTAAAGTTATTAAATTTTTAAAATATTAGTTTTTAAGAAATTTATTAAATATATATACATAAATGATATTTTAAAATAATAATATAATGTTATAATTATTATAGCATAATACATACATTACAAATAATCAATAATAATAATAATTTATTACTAAGGTATATACCGAGTATCCATTGGCAACATTAGTAAATATTGTACTATAAGTAGTTTAAATTATTTTTTCTTAAACAACATATTTGACAAAATATGATAAAATTACATATTTATATTTATTCAAACTATATTTTAAATATATAATAAAATAATGTTTAGCCATTTGTATGAAATGCATAATATTATAATTAATAAAATGTTAATGACTTATTCGGGTGCCATTAAATACTATTGATTACTTTATTTAATAATTATCATTGAATTCATATTTTAAACTAAACTAATTATAAATTGATTTTTGATATATGAAATTTTCTATTATTTAAAAATTTATTAAATATCAATCTTCTTTAATTTGTTAAAATGTTATTAGCTATTAAATAATTAACTTTAGTACTGTATATATAAATATTAAATATATTTAAAGAATCTTTATTTATATATATATATAAAGTTGAAAAAATATCAATAAAATTAGAAAGAATATATAGCGTGATAATTATTATTTTATATTTTATGGCAATAAAAACTACATTATATTCATAAATTTTAAAAATTTATTACATATATTATATTAACTTTAATAATATATAAATACAAAAAAAATAAATGCTATTGTTTTTTTATATTATTAAATATGATATTTTCATATTAATGACAACAATTGTGAGCATATATCTACAGTAAAAAAAATATCGGAGTCAACTCAGAAATAAACTTATTTATTATGTTTGTGTATTCATCAATAAATGTATTATAAGTAAAGGTGTTTTATTAAAAAATTTTTATAATGACAAATAATTTGTTATCTATTTAATGATAGCAACAAAAATTGTAATGGACACAAAAGTTTGCCATTTTATTATTGCGCTTATTATTTATATCAATAAAATATAATAATATTAAGCTTTATTTGTGTCAATAGAAAATATTGTGAATACAATATTCTACTACTAAATAATAATTATATATATATTTATTGTATAATATTTGCAATAATGTTTATTTCTAGTAAGATATTATCAAATAAATCGATTAATTAACTCAACAAAAAAAAGAAATAAAACGTTTCTTATATTTTTATTTGTTGATATAAATATATATTATTATTTTAAACATAATTTTATTTTCATTTCATATCATAATAGATTATTTACATAAAACTATATGTGCTTAGCTTTTTTTTAATTATTGTACATCTAATTATTAATATATTTTGATTATTATTAGTACAATATAGTTAATGATTTTTAAAAATAATAATAATAATAATCATAAAAATAATAAATGTTATATCTATTGATGATGTGTAAGTCTTTCATCAAAGTTTATAAATAATCAATAATATTATTGAGAAAAAAACTTCATTAAAAAGTCGTCATATGATGTTTAAAGTGTAAATTTAGTTAAAAATAAATTTCAAACTATTAATTATTCTTAAACTAAATTATTATTATTTATTAAATAAAAAAAGTAATAAACATTTAAGTTTATTAAAATTATGCGGACAAATAAAGCCAGTATTGAAGCCTTCACTGAAAGTAAGTCTAAATTATGACACAGTATTTATATTTATATATTTATATAATGTTTTTCATTTTTAAAATTTATTTAATATATGATTACCCCTATTATATTTATGATATAATTAGTGTGTATTATCAAAATTTATATCTTATTAAAACAGTTAAATCATTTTATAAGATATTTTTAAGACACTATATATATAATTTATTTAAGTAATTATAATAATTTAGATTTTTTCAAAAAAATTGCTGCTATTTTTTAAAAACATATTTTTGGTTAAAAACAGTAAATTATTAAAAAAAATATGTTTATAGCTTTATTATGTCACATACAAATTGTAATTTATGTAATATTTACTTATTTTTTACTAAATAATAAATATATTAGTAGTTTTTTGTGGATTATCTAAAGTTAACATAAAAAACACATTTTTAATTTATACTATTATACCTGTAATATATACTATATACCGGTATAATATAAAGTATTAATTTATTTAACAGTTAAAAATGTATTAATTTGCTGTATTTAGCTATAATATAATAATTTGTTTGTTAATTACATAAACAGATGAACCGGAGCAAAACAGTTATGGATTAGTTGGTACAATCATATTAATAGTATCGCTGATATGTATCGCCTGTACTCTACCGATCAGTCTATTTATATGCCTTAAGGTCTGATAATTTATGTATTTAGTTTTATTACAAATTAATTAAAATTTTAATTACCATTATTTTTATAACAACTACTACATATTTATTAAGTTTTATAGATTTTTTTAAATTATCAGATTAATTTGTGATATTTTAAAAACAAAATAAATTTAATTTCTATATTTGCATTTTTAGTATAAATTAGAGATGGGCAAATTTCTAATAAAATTTTTCTGAGAAAATTTCTAGTAAATTTCTTAGGAATAAATTTCTATAGAAGTTTTAGTTATTATTATACTATGACATCCTAATATTTATATCTATTGTAGTACTATATTAATTAGACATGATATACTGTACACTAGTCAACTATACATATATAAAATTAATATGATTATAAGGTACAATCTAATTATAATTATAGTTTTTGTAAAATTTTATTTATCAATTAATTATATTTTTAGTTTTTACATTTATTATCTTTTACTTTCAATATTATTAAACTACTATTAATAATATTTAGTTATTATTTGTAATTATAATGTATTGTTAGAATATAACAAATATTGAGAAAACAAAATTAACAAATGGATCCAATAAACAGAAATTTCTTTTAGAAACTTTTTAGAAATTTCTCTTTTCTGCCAACACATGTAAATACATGAATACTTACAGTAATATTTGATAAAATTTAAATAATTATATTTTATGTAAAAATGAAGCATGTGGATATATATTAATGTTCTCCAATCCAGGAAAGTTATATATAAATATAATAATGTATTATATACAGCATACAAAAAATTAACCATACAAAATAGTTTTTACTTTTCATAATTTTCATCATTAACTCAGATTGTTTATCAAATGAATTGTTGCAAATATTTGTTGGATTATTGGAAGTTTAAATTATTAAAATTTAGTGAATATTTTTAATTAATTTACAATAATTATTATTTAATAGCCAAATCACTTAGTTTTTATCAATTTTTTAAACTTGAATTTTATAAATTAATTTTTTAAAACTATTTTTATATAAATATTTAGTAATACTAATAACAATAATATATAATAATGAGCATTAATTCAATTTACTTAATTTTATTATTATTCTATATATTTATATATATAAATTTAATAATTAAAAAATATAACTTTTATAACTCTTATTAATTTTAGTTAATTATATAATAATTAGATTTTAAAAGTTAAGTTTAATTATATTTTTAATGTCTTGTCAATTTTTTAGCTTTTTAATTATTAAAATAAAAAAAGTACTTTATCAAAAATAATATTAATATAATAGATATATAATAAGTTCAATAAATAAATATATATAAATTTTTGATAAACAATCTGAGTTAATGATGAAAATTATGAAAAGTAAAAACTATTTTGTATGGTTAATTTTTTGTATGCTGTATATAATACATTATTATATTTATATATAACTTTCCTGGATTGGAGAACACTGATATATATATAAAAATAAATAACTAAAATATAATAATAAAGAAACAAAACTAAGTTTATTAATCAATTGAAAAAATAATATTTTACACTTGAGTTGCATAATAATGTCGTATATTATTGTATTTGACATTTAACATGCTATTCAAAAAACAATTATATTTTTAGCTAAATATATCAATAAAAGTATTTTATTTATACAATATTATACTGAATCTATTAATAAAATATTTATTTATTGTTTTTGTTATTTTTAAAAAATATAAAAAACTAGCATTAAAAAAGTATAGTAAAAGTAAAAATGTTGTTGATTTTGATACAGTATTTATAATACTATAACATTGTCCATGGTCACATTTAAATTCAATATACTATTAACCATATAATCGTAATCAAAACACTGTTTCATATTAATAATTATTTACAATAATAATAATAGTATTTGTAATTTATTTTTATATCATATAATAACGTAAACAAATCATATTTTTATGATTTATGAGTCAAATTTTATAATAAATTGTCTATAATTTTTATTGTAAATAATTTAATGATATTATTATTATACAAATAGTAATAATAAAAATAATAATAAATTATTTCTAATAAATTTCTAGATTTCTAGAAATTCTAATTCTAGAACAAAACAATAAAATTTTGTTATAAATGATTATAATATATATATTTTTTATTTATATTAATTAAAATTTTTATATATTATTTTTATTTAAAGGTTGTCCAAGAGTATGAAAGAGCAGTCATATTCAGATTAGGTAAGAAATCAATTGACAAGTATTTAGAAAAAAATAAATTAAAATATAATTATCACTAAAAATTAGGTCGTTTGGTTGATGGGGGTGCTAAAGGTATTATATATAATATTTATTTATGTTTGAATGCATAATATTTTTAATGTTGGTATAAATAAGTATAATAATTGGCTTTAAACAATATATAGGACCTGGATTGTTTTTTATTGTACCATGTGTTGACTCGTACACTGTTGTCGATTTGAGAACCATTACATTTGATGTACCCGTAAGTTAGACATACATGCGCTAAATCTACCTGACCCTGTATCATATATCCACCCATATATGTACATTTATTTTTTAAATTAAAATTCAACTTCATAGTCTAACTTTTATTTTTTAATCTAATAACTAATTGAATATTTTTTCTTTTTCAGCCACAAGAGGTATTGATTTTAAATTATCATTATATATATGTATAACTAAAAAATAATTAAATATCGAATTATATTTATAATGATTTTTATTAATAACAATAAAATAATTTTAAAAAATGTTTACAATAATGACAATAAAACAATTGCCAGGTATTGACTAAAGACTCGGTGACTGTCAGTGTTGATGCCGTAGTATATTATCGTATATGGTTGCCAACAAGTATGTCATTGTTTATATGAAAATGTCAAATTAAACATAAATAATATTAATGTATTTTTATATTATACCAATATATATATATTACATGTCATCATCATAGTTGCCATCGCAAACGTTCAGGTAATATACTGTATTTTTTTATTATTACATTATACTGTTAAACTTAAATATAAATTATATTAACTTATATTACATACTGTAATATGTATTTATATTACAGTTATATAGATTCTATACCAATGCTAAAATTAGAATTATCACAAAATTAATTTCTATGTTAAAAATGATATATCAATATATAACTAAATTACAAAAACTATTTATTTATTTTAATAATTTTTAAGTTAAATTAGTATATTTATTATCCAGCAACAAAAATTATCAATAGCTTTACAAATAATCAAATATTAATAGTAAAAAATTTACTTAAAAAAAGATTAGTATACAGTAATTATTATTTGGATGATTAACAGGATTACGGTAAATCTACCCGATTGTTAGCGGCGGCCACTTTGCGCAATATATTGGGCACCAAAACATTGGCCGATATATTAAGTGAACGGGAAAATATCAGTACAGGTGTACGCAAACTACTAGAAAGTGCTACCAAATCATGGGGTATATTATTCAATAGATACATAAACTATAATATTATAAATATGATAAACACTTCAAATAAAAAAAAATTATTTTCCCTTTTAATTAGGTGTTCAAGTGGAAAGGGTTGAAATGTATGCAAAACTTAAATTAAATTATTATTATTTTATATAATAAATTATTTAACAACAGTAAAGATGTCCGATTACCGGCTAATCTTCAGCGATCAATGGCTGCCGAAGCAGAAGCGGGACGGGAGGCAAAAGCTAAGGTATGTCATATGAATTAATTGTGATATCATATGAAAAATAATAAAATAAAATCAATTGAATAGATCGTTGCGGCAGAAGGCGAACAAAAAGCCTCGTTTGCATTGAGAAACGCCTCACAGATCCTCGATTCAGACCCGACGGCACTACAGCTTCGGTATTTGCAGACACTGACCAACAATGCGGCCGAAAGAGACTCAACTATTTTGTTTCCCATACCTATTAATATGTTTGAAAATTTTGGACACCCGCTCATTGATTTTGATAAAATTTAATATTCATATATAGATTTATCAATTTAATAAACATAACTGTCCCAAATACACTACCATATAAATTAAGTAAATTTATATATTATATTTCATAACTGTCATAAATTTATGTCAGGTTGTATTTATTGTATTAAAACTGTTGAATATTATATATTTTATTTCAATATACAGTATATTTAATTAATACTATTATAAGTAAAAACAATACATTTGTTTATTATTTTAAATTTTAATAATGTGTGCATTAAAAAATATGTAATTATTATTTATAATTTAATTGTTTAAATTTTGACTTATTTTTGCTAATAAAAAAATAAATATAGATTTTTTTATTTATAGAAACAGTATATTTATTGTCATAATAAAATTTTATTTAAAAAATTAACATAAAAAATATATTTAGTTGTTGTTTGTGTGTCTCATTTGTGTATTAATATGTGGATATTGTGTGACATACAAACAAATATTATTATGATATTATATGTCACTTAGCGGTAATTTTTTTAATACAAGTTTTAATCAAATTGTGTTCAAAAAAATACAGTATTAATACAGCATTTATAATAGAAAATTATTTTTAAACAAATAGGAAATTAAAAATTATTTTTATTATGTCTCAAGTTTTTATTGACTACAGTATAATGTTAATAAACTTATGTTAAATTTTCCCAAACACTGTTAAATCTAAGTCAGTAAGCATTTTAATAATCTCATACACATTAAAATTTGAAAAAATAAAAAAACCTTAAAATTTAAATACTAAGTGTCCGTATCTTTTAGGTATGAATACTGTTTAGTTAGTTTAATATATATTTTTAAATATTTTAATGACATTTTAATAATGTAATTGATTTAGTTGCCTGTAATAGGACAGATACTTTAGTTAAATTTTAGTTATGACATTATATCATTAATTCGTATTTATTTTTAAAATAAACATAAGAAGATCAATGATATATAACTTTATGTTTGTTTAAATAATTATAAAAAATAGATTAAGAAAACATACATTATATAATGTATATTTTCTATTTAAATTATAAAGTTTAAAATCCATACTTTACTTAAACAATATATAACTAAACTAATTTATAAATATAATAATTTATTATACTGTAGTATATATATTGTAATATACAATGTTTTTATTAAGATTGTCTGCAAATTTGTCTTTTGTAAGTAAAGTATAAAATCGTTTTTTAAAGATATACTTTAGCATTAGTTTTATAATTATTAATATTTATTAATCAGATTATTTTGACATAAAAATATAAATACAAAAATTGCAAATAATTTAATAAATACATTATATATGTAAAGGTTGTGCTTTACCTCATACTTTGTAAGCATAGTTTTTATTTAGTATTTAAAGTATATTTTCTCTAAAATTTGTGTGTTTTGCTAACTTTAAAAATTAAGCATAAGTAGTGTTTTTATTAATAAATTTTGCAAAAAATTGGAGGCAATGCTTAATAAAAATAGGGTATAACTAAACTATTATACATTAGATGAATAAAATAAATAACATATTTTATAAGTTTTATGGTTTAGAGTAAAAAATACTATTGAGTGAATAATTGCTATTTAATTTATTATTATTCCTGTTCAGTATTCATTAATTTATATTATTGTTATAAAAAAATATTTTATCCATTTATTAAAATTATTATATTGTTATTTTTTGGAATTAAGATAACAAAAAATTTATGATAATAAACAAATAATACAATTTCTAATGATTTTAGTTTGTGTTCCCATTTTAGGTAATCATCCATTCATAGAAAAAATGTTTTTTCATATTAAAATGTAAATTAGTCGCTCACTCACTCACTCACACACACAGATACAYACAYACACACACACACACACACACACACACACACACACACACACACACACACACACACACACACACACACACACTATATATACTAATCTAGAAAATTTGAATTATGGAGTGAGAGTGCAAGTGAGAGACATAGAAACCTACCTGAGCTCACATACATACACACCGGTTAAGGTCAGGTCTGAACGATTTGAAGCATTTCCTTAGAGCCACAGCTGACAAACCTAACCTCTCGTTTGCCTCAATTTTTTTGCTGCAATTTCTGCTCATAAATGTGTAATAAGTTTTATATTGAAGTGGAAGTGAAAGTAATGTAAAAAATGAGTGTAGAAAGCGGTCATTTTTGGTCTCAATTATATGTTTGAAATGTTTTTTGAGACCCAAAATCTATTGAATAGTAGTAGTGTTTCAATTGCCACCAATAAATCCATACAAACATTTGATTTTTGAAAGTCATTTAAAACTTTTTCAATTGCTACTTATTTTTCATATTAAAAAAAACTTTTAAATCTCCCACTAATATTATATATTGTTATATTATTTTCATCAATAAAACATACAATTATATGAAAAAACATAGTTTATTCAATTGCTATCTCTAATGTGCTATTAATCTATATTTTACTCATCAATTGATTTTTTTATGTTTATATTATATGGATAACTTTGAGTAAATAATTAAATAGAAATTTTGAAGTACACTATTCATCAAACTGTTTATTATTATTATTATCTTTTAAAATATAAGATATTTATTTGGAAAATACCAAAAATTGAAAATATTTTTGCGAAAATTTCCTTAAAAAAGAAACTATTTTGAAAAGTTTATATTAAAAAAAAATATTTATTTTAAATGATTATTATGTCTATTGATTGTCTGTATGTTTTGAATAAAAGATTCAAAAGTTTTTAAACTTTTATTATTGTTATAAAGTTCAGAATATAATAATTATAATATCTATTGTCATTTTTTAATATAAATAATTATACAATTAATTTGTTAACTACTATCACTTAACATCACTTAACGTAAGTAATAATTTCTATTATAATTTAATTATTTAAAATAGATACTTAAAAAAATTATCAACTAAAATTTATTTAATTGCGAAATTTTTGCCTACAAAATATACTGTATATTTGGTCATTCAAAATAATTACATGCTTTGTTAATATTTATGTTATTTTAATTGTAGTAAATTTTAACTTTATTTATTAACAAATTAGATTATAATAATAGATTATACAATGTATTGATATAATATACATCATATATTGTATGCTATTATTGAAAATCTATAAATAGTAAACAAAACGTGTTTTCACTCTAAACAGATAATATAAAAACCACATTTGAATGTGAAGTTTAACTTTTGCCTAAAGATTTTTTAACAGCAATTTAGATAATGGTTTTGTTAAAAAAAACTTAATTATGTTAAAGATTTTATTTATTTATTTAAAATTGACATTTTTATAGCTATTTAGTATTATTGTGTGTAATCTTTTAACAGTACATTATTGATGAGTTAATAAAAATTTTAAATATTCAGTTTAATTGATTTTTTACAATAGTTTATCTTATATTAAAAATCTTAATTTTGATCATTAAAATCAGTGAATAAGAGGTTAGGTTATAATGTTAATTGAAATAAACTTAAACTTTGAACACAAAAAAAATAAAAGTGAAAAAGTCGGTCATTTAGGAGGACATGTAGGAAGTGGTTATGTGTGTATGCATTTAATTTCATTATTATAAATATTAATAAAAGAGTTGTTATTATGTATGTATTACATGTCTGAGTGTATCTGTCGTGAAGTGGACCATATTTATTGGGTTTATCAGACAATTCAATAATTTAATTGCCATTCAAACCATCATTATGTGGGCACTTACAGTATATAACAGATTTTGTAATTATAATTATAATACTATTATTATTTAATAAAAGCATTTGGTTTTAAAAATATAAGAAAGTATAATAAAACTGAATTAATTATTTATAAACAATTAAAATATTATTATTAATATTTTATTAATGAATATTTAAATGAATAGAAATAGTTCCGATATTTCAATTGTTTTATTACATTTGCATTTATTTTATTATTCTTATTATAATATAGTATAATAACAATAATAAAGATTTTATGATTTAATAAGTTATTAATAAATTATTATCTAAGGTTTAGATTTAATAATACATTATTATATTGTATGAATAGCTAAATATAAACCAATTAATTATTGCTTAATAAAAAATGACAAAATAAATGTTTATCCAGTTTAGGTTAAATTGAGTTTTGGTAAGAATTTTGGTTTTTTCGGATCTATTTTATATTATAAAAATTATTATTTATTATATTCTATATTAATATATATTTATATTAATCATTTCAATAAAATATATTGCTTTAAAATTAAGTAATTAATATTTATTATGTTATTCATTATGCAAAAGTAATAATTTTTTCTAAAGAATAAAATATTTTAATTTTTAAATAATTGTTTTTCGTGTACACTAATGTTTATTACTAAACATCATAATATTTATATAGTATTAGAAATATCAAAATAATCTGAAATTTATTGCATACAAAAGCTTAATTTATTGTTTAAATTTTATTCATATGATATTAAATTATATTGATAATTAAATATTTTTTAAAATTATAAACAAAATAATAATAACAAAAAGATAATAATAAGTTAAATACTACAGTATATAATAAATATATTATTAATAATAAAACTAAACATTATATTCAATAAATTAAAAAAATATTATTAAAAATACAGTACTTTTCCGGAACAATATTTTATTTATTGTTTTTTAATAACAACTTTTTTTGTTTATTTGTTTTACTATAACTATGATATTAACTTTAATATGTTTTATCAAACAAATACATAGACACGACATATTAGACATATTAAGTGAAAGTACTGCAAATATTTTTCTCTATTGCTATTACTTTCATACAACCAAACTATATGTTATAAAACTTAATTTTCAATTTAAAAAATACAATTTGCTTTGTATTTCTTTTATATTTAATGTTAATATATTATTATTATTATTATGATTACATTATTTTTCTTCGTGTGTTTGAAAGATGAATAACTAGTTTTCAAGTTTTATATGTCGAGTAAAAAGAA